GCTCAAAAACATTGGAGGAAGTCGGATCAAACGGCGGCACCTGGTCGCTCTCAACCGCCTAAGTCTCGCCATCAGTTCAGCAACTTCGGGACACAACAATGGCCACATGAAAGCCAGCACCTATACCAGCACGAAACCCCTAAGCCAGGAGCACCGGATAATCCCGGAAACACCAATTTTAACGGAGCTAATGAGGACTAGTACGCTGCCCAAGCCCATCGTAAGGGAAAGCATCCGACGCTTCATCGAGCGGCGCCGGAACGAGGGGGCTCCAGCTGTGGCGGAGCATGAAGACCACGCGGCTAGAATGGACGGTGGCGACGCTCCCCAAACGATGGCGGCATATGAGAGGGTAGCCGATGGATCGGACGGAGCCACGCCTGCGCAGGCGGAGGCCAACCGAAAAAGTAGGGGGGCCCGGCGGTTAACAAAAAGGCAACGCCTGGAGGCCTACATAGCAGCAAATACGCGCACGGTGCCCCAGGGATGCGAGGATGACAGGGTCGAGACGGCAGAAGACATGCGTGCTGACCCAGTGGGAACTAGCTGGACGTACTTCGGCCCCGGCCTGTACAAGCAACTATGTGCTCGACACAAACGAATAGGGCAGACAGGTACCGAAGGCGCCCAAGCGGTGAGGGTGAGGCGCCTCCCGTCCCGCGTGCAAGCCCTCCTGGACAGCAACACTGGGAGAGAAGCCGCATGGATCGGGGATCGTGAAAACAACCTTACACCACGCACAGGGCCTAACGTGCGCCTGGACTTACCAGACGTGTACGAGCCTGAAGAACTCTGGGGAGAGCTGTTGTCGGACAACACGGAGGGCTCACCCCCTCAGGCAAACGAACATGAGCAACGCCTATCCACATGCGGCGAGGGCCAGGGAGGGGGAGACACGGCAGCAGGGGAGCGACGTGCACACACAGAAGCAAGGCGCGACGAGGGCCGCAGAAGGACCAGAGCACGCGGCATGAAACGTAGCGAATCATCCCGGCAAGACTGGCGGCTTGCGCGCCTACAATGCACTAGGGGCCCCCTCCCGGACATGGGTGCCGCAGAAGGATTCCGTCTCACCACCGCCCTATTCTCCCATAGTGATCGTGTAACGAGGATCGAAGCAATTATACGGAAAAGAACAAGGCTACCACCAAGGGCAGGGAAGAAACGCAAACCCGACACACCTGACGATGACGGCGCAGACAGCATGGTAAACATAACGCAACAACCATCACACGAAACATATTACCTGGTGCACTGGGCTAACACCATCGTCACCAGAGCGTCCGTGCCAGTCTTCCTAAGGCAAGGATATCAGCCAAAACGGACAGTAAGTATCAGCAGGACGTTTGGGTCGGGGGCATCTAGCAGTCTGGTAGAGATAGAATGGATGCCCACGGAAGAACCAGAAGACAGAGTCGCCGTACAGGATAACTGGTCACAACTCCTGGAGCAGTACCGCGCCGAGCGAAGGACAGAAGAAAGCACGAAGAAACGCCGGGAGACGACAAGGGACGCACACCTTACCGAACAACAGCGACAAGGGCGATGGGGGCAGGACCCCGCAAACAAGACTGACCTCCAAAGGCTGCTGCGGCGGGCGGTGGAGATAAACACCGAAGCCAGTAACCCAGATGTGGACATCCACCCCACTGGATCCTACAGAATCCAAGTTGGGCGGCTCCGCCAGCGGTCCACCACCGACACCCACCTCGCCTATGTGTACGACCCGCGAGGGCAATGCATGGGAGCCCTAACCCTGAACCAACTCACGGCGCTGCATCATAGATACCTGCAGGCAAAGAGAGTGGACCCTGAGGAACACGCTCGGCGCGCCGCCCCAGGCGGGTTCCCTGAAGACATCGCCAGGCTTACCCTGCGATACAAGCCAGGGTGCCGTTGTAAAAAGAACCCAATCGTAGGAGCTTATGAGAAGAGGCTAACGGACGAAACAATGGGGCGCATCAAGGCCACATTCGCACACCCCGCAGCATGGGTGGAACGCTTCGCATCCCCCCTCAACGTCGCCAGCTGCACAGAGGTATATTACTCCTCCTTTGAAGAAGACATGGTCTTCGGTGCAGCGCATGATGCCTACTCCCAGCCTTTCACTGGGATATCCATTGCCTTCCCTGAGGCAACAACGCAGGCATGCATGCACGCTATACACTGGGCACTCGCATGGGCACACGAGGCGCGCGAAATGGACGCCCCTACAGCGACCCTCGTCGTTCTCCCCCGCCAACCCACAGCCCTGTACAACACGCTTCTGTTTAACCCGCATGTGAAGCGGGTAGGGGAGGCGCCCCCCACCCACCCCGCGGCATGCTTAATACCGGACCAAGCCGCACTGGGGGAAAGCAGCGCACATGCCAGGAACCCATACGCACGAGGACTAGATTTCCTGCTGGTAGGAAACCACGCGGGCCTGAGATACAGCGACGCCCTGCAACGGGAGCTGAGCTTAGAGAAGCCACGGCATGCTCCCCACCCCCGCACGATCAACACGACTGGGGAGGAAGACCATGAGCAACGCATAGCGGGCTGGAAGGCCCCCCAGTGGGTAAAACTGAGAGTGCACCAGATGACAACATCACCACCCTCCCCACCTCGCCGAACAGTCGCCACAGAAGACCTCGACTCTAACACGCTGACATCCTACTATCCCGCAAAGGTGCCACTGCGATACGACGCCTGCAATGGTATTTACACAGACGGCAGTGTGCAAAAGGAAGGCAGCTCCAATCGCCTAGGAGCAGCGGCAATAGACGCGTCCACAGGTAATACCACGTACATAGATGTGAACGGGGGCTGCCACGGGTGCCAGACGATAACAAGGTGCGAACTCAGCGCCATGCTACATGGGCTGCGAATGCGTGACGGCACACCCGCGGCAGAGGAGGACCTTACCATATGGACAGACTCTGCTGCAGCATTATTCCTCGTGAGAAAGGCTATCAACGGCCTCCACCAACCAGACAGGCTTCGATGGTGCAAGCATGTAGCAATTGTGGAAAGTATCGTCGAAATTCTCGCACAGAGAGCTAAGAAAGGCCTTAAAACGTATCTCCTGAAAGTAAAATCACACATCGGTGTAACCTACAATGAGGCGGCCGACCAAGCGGCAACAAGTGTGGCGAGCGGTAAAAAGGAAGCCACGATAAAAGAAGAATGCGATAACAATCCCAGGAGCAAATACTTCTGGCTCGTGTCTAAAAAGACGGGGTACTACACCAACGACCTCAACGTCGGGATCGATAAAATCATGGACGACGACGTGAAAGAAGGCTATGCCCGGCCCACTCTCTACACTGACCTCATAAAAAACGCCCTTCCGGTAATCGACACCAAGTCAAGTACGAGAACACAGCAAGCCAGCGGCAACCGGCATGTCAAAATGAGACGGCTAAAGTGCTACTTATATGGGTGCCTCTGGAATGCCAAGCTCGCACAAAGGTACAAGAGGACCCTTGTAGGTAAGCACTACCATCGGGTGCGGAGCGCGGCTATAGCCGACGTGAACAGCAATGAGCATGCTCCCTGCCCGCTATGCGGGCTACCCGACTCAGGAGGCCATATCCTAGGGGGCTGCAAGCATTCGCTTATGCAGGCCATGTATATAAAAAGACATAACCTGGCGGTCCAACTGCTCACCCGTGCGATCGCGAAAGGAAGCAGTGGGGGATGCTTCATGGTCATGGACGCAGCTGCGAAGGATGCACTGCCTGAGTACATAGCTGATGACCGCCCTCCTGCGTGGCTGTTTAACGGGAACGTGCCCGACAATATAAGATTGAAGCTGCGACCCGACATACTGGTCATTCCAAAGCTGCCCAGACAAGTAACCGTACAGCAGGGATACACAGGACCACGCAATAAAGCAAATTATACAGTACACATCCTTGAAGTTGGCTACGCTGCAGACACCAACCACCAGGCCAAACAAAACGAGAAGAAAGACCAACACCGACAACTAGCTGATCTCCTCACACAAGCAGGGTGGAAAGTACACTACACCCAACGAGAAGCGGTCAGCCTAGGATTTGGTGGAACGATATGCAAGGACTTGCACCCGCTCCTGCTCACCCTGGGTGTCAACGCTCACGCCGCACGCTCATGCTGCGATGAACTACACGACAATGCCATCAACTTCCTCAACGCCATAGTGAAGCACCGGAGGAGGATGGAACGAGGCCTCCCTCCAGAAGACCCAGGAGGGTAACGCCCACCTACATACTACTACCCCACAGCGGTGGCGGAGGGTGTACAGGGGAGGGGAAACCCGTTGATCCTCACCACCACCCGCCCCCTTAAACCACGCCAGGGCAAGCCCGGCGTAATCTTATTATTATTATTATTATTTCCTTTGGACCTGTTCCCCCTCCCGCTGCGCATGGTGGCTTGGTCACAAGGGGGATCGGCGCATGCTGCTGTCACTGTTATTTGGATACCCCCACCACTGGACTGACTTGAGCCCGAGGGGGCGTCGCCTTCTTCTTTCACTTTCACTGTGCCGGGACCGGTCTGCAAACCCGGCTCGTGCATTGCATCCATCGCACAGCCGGCTCCTGGAAATTGGACCTCTGGGTGATGGGGGTTCTGAGCTGGGCAACAGCTGGAAAGGACTGGAAAGTGTTCGGACCGAATTTAGCATCATTTACAACTGTCTTGTTTTAGTTTTATCTGGTTTTATAGCAACCATTTGGTGGTAAGGCAAACGGATAACAGCGGTGGTCGCCACCCGGCAGGCGTTCAACCACTGCACATGCATCGCTGGCAGTCTGCCATGCTCCATATACAAGCGTAGTTTTGTATACCTTTTTGTGAAGGAGCACAAACACCACCACGCGTGATGAACATGTGAGCCTAGCCGTCCAACCACCACTGAACACCGCATCACCCACACCAAACACCACCACTCTACATGCGCTTATCTGCTTCACGTCACTTCACGCCGCACTGCTTCCCCGCAGGCACAGCGCCACCATGCTGCCTAACAGCACCTCATCACCATCATCCTCGTCCTTCTGGCCCTTGCTGCTAGGGCCAGCAGCAGGCGGGATGGCAAGGGCTGCAGCCCAACGGGGTCGTCATAGGTGTGGGCTGCTGGGCGGTGCTCGTTTTTCGTGTTGTTAGTGGTTGCTGCTGTTGCTGTTGTTGTTATTGTTGTTGTTATTGCTGTTGTAGGTGTAGTTGCTGTTGCCGATGTAGTTGCTGTTGCAGATGTAGTTGCTGTTGCAGGTGTAGTTGCTGTTGCAGGTGTAGTTGCTGTTGCAGGTGTAGTTGCTGTTGCAGGTGTAGTTGCTGTTGCAGGTGTAGTTGCTGTTGCAGGTGTTATTGCTGTTGTAGGTGTGGTTGCTGTTGCAGATGTAGTTGCTGTTGCCGATGTAGTTGCTGTTGCAGGTGCTATTGCAGATGGAGTTGCTGTTGCGGATGTAGTTGTTGTTGCAGATGTAGTTGCTGTTGTAGGTGTAGTTGCTGTTGTAGGTGTAGTTGCTGTTGCAGATGTAGTTGCTGTTGCAGATGTAGTTGCTGTTGCCGGTGTAGTTGCTGTTGCTGATGTAGTTGCTGTTGCCGATGTAGTTGCTGTTGCTGATGTAGTTGCTGTTGCAGGTGTAGCCGCTGTTGCAGGTGTAGTTGCTGTTGCAGGTGTAGTTGCTGTTGCAGATGTAGTTGCTGTTGCAGATGTAGTTGCTGTTGCCGATGTAGTTGCTGTTGCAGGTGCTATTGCAGATGTAGTTGCTGTTGCAGGTGTAGTTGCTGTTGCCGATGTAGTTGCTGTTGCCGATGTAGTTGCTGTTATAGGTGTAGTGGATGTTATAGGTGTAGTTGCAGTTGCGGATGCAGTTACTGTTGTAGATGTTGTTGTTGCTGTTAATGTCACCGTTGAATTTTAATGCTGCCGCGCTGCCTGGGTGGTCGGCTGCTTGCAGGCTGCCCCCGATGCCGCTGCCCAGGGGGTCCGGAGCGCCGAACATGTTGAGTGGGTGGAGGGGTTTACAAGGGATGGGGACTGGCATGACGCGAGCAGTTTTGGAGGTGGTGGTAGCAGTTGTAGGAGTGGCAGTGGGGAAGTACGTGTCGGGCGCGCCGCATCCACCACAGCTGCTGCTGCTGGGCCCACGTTGCTCCCACTTGCTGCGGGCGCTGTTGAAGACGGAGGGGCCGGGGGCGGTGTGGCTTTCCTTCACGAGGCCCACGTCGGGCTCCTCCTCCTCCTCCTCATCCACATCCTTCGTATCAGCCCCAGCCAGAACCTCTTTGAAGTGCAGGTCAGGCTTGTGCTCGCCGCTGACATCCCCTTCCTCCTCCTCCTCAGACTCCTCTTCCTCCTCAGACTCCAGTCCGCCTCCGCTGCTGACGCTCCCGCAGCAGCAGCTGGTGACGCCAACGGACCTGCCGTCTCCCTCCTCCTCCTCCTCCTCTGCGTCTCCAGCAGTGTTGCTGCCACCGGCGGTGGTGGCAGCAGCAACCGCAGCAGCGTCAGCGGGGCTCAGGCCTGCGACAGCATGAACCACACCAGGTAATGAGGCGGCTCAGGAAAGGCATGGTGCAGGGAAGACATGGTTCGATATCCGAGTGATGAGGCAGCGGAGAGGTGGCGGAGAGTATGAGGACGAGGCAGGAAAGGAGGAGACCTACTCGAGAAGGGGGTAAGCAGCGAAGGCCTCGGCATGTCGTGCAGCACGAGGCAGGCACTGAGTTCGCGCACGCTACACAAGCAACCCCCTCAAAAGCCCAAACAGTAGCCCTCGCACACCCCGCTAACATGAGGTGCTACCTTGCCGCCCATGAGTGATAAGGTCGCGGCCCTGACCCCAACATGCCCCCTTCACCTGGTCCGGCAGGCGCTTCCAGCTCCTCCTCCTTCTCCTTCTCCTTCTCCTTCTCTCCCCACCGCGGCTCCTCAGCCGAGCAGTCGGAGCCAGCATCGGCGCCCTCGAAGGCATCATCGTTGTCAACCTCGTCCTCGAGGGCAGCAAAAGCGTTGTGTACGGCAATGCCGTACGACCCATTTTTAGAGGTGCTCTTGGGCTGTACGACTGTTGCTTTCTTGGAGCTGATGATGTTGGGGGCGGCGGTGCGCGCGATGTCAGACTGGCGGAAGAAGACCGCGGTCGGGGCGCGGCGGTGCAGACCCATGGGGCGGCTGCCGCCGATGCCGACCCATTGGGCGGCGGAGAAGTGGGAGGGTGGCGGCGAGGATCCTAGGGGTATCCTGGCGGAGTAGTCCGGCTTGATGGCGGGAGAGGTGGACGGTCCAACCGTAGCTGCGGCGGGGTGAGGAGTGTCTGCAGCGGGTGGCAGGGACAGGCGGGACGAGATGCGGGCCAATAAGGTCAGAGCATTCGTCGTGTGACAAATGAGCAACGAAGGGACCTTAATGACCATAGCACATAGGCCAGCAGGTAACCTGTACGTCAGTTACACATGCCTAGTTACCGGTACACCACTAGGTTTTCTCTATCACGTCGGAATCCTACTTGTACAGCTTATCATGGTTTTTCCCCCTCGATACGCACGCAGCTGTGGAAACGAGGAGGCAAGATCAGCCCAAGCCAAGGCGCCAACGCTCCCTTTGACTTCGTCTTAGCTCACCTACAAGCACCATACTTGGCTGCAGCGGTGAACCGGCGGCACGCTTGTGAGGCGGAATGTAGGCCTTGATGCTGTTGTCGCTGCCAGTGCTGCTACCAAGAGTGGACTTGCCTGCTATGATCCCAATACAGCAAAGGTAGGAAGCGGAAAGTCGTCAACATGTGAGCGTCTAGTCGCGTTTCTGATATTGGTCTAAAGCAAAGAACTGCAATGCCTCGCTCAACCGCTATGACAGGGACGCCCATGACTTTCCCAGAAGCCCAATCTGCTTACCTTTGCCATCAGATAAAGTTACAATTTCTTGTTCCTCTTTTTGGGCCGATTGTGGCTTCCTGAGCAGCAACTCCGACGGGTTAATTGACAGTGGTAAGTTTCTGGGAGATGAGGTCGTTCGCAGCGCAAGCAGGCACAACGACTCGCATTCTCTTAGCTTTGCACATTGAGCTCCTATAGACTGCAGCAACCGACAGACCCAAATCGAGCACGGATCTACCTTCGGTTCTCGCCCTCACTGCCCGGCGAGCCGCGTGCCAAGCCTATTGACTCCATCGAACAAATTGGCCTTCCAAAATGGGGCCAAACGGCAGAGCCCTAACAAAATGCGCAAGTCTGGATTGAAAGGGTTTGCAACACTCGGTTTGAGCGTTTAAGGTTCTAAGGTTACTTGAGCTGTAATACCTCCTGCTGTGTTGGCTCGATCCTGATAAGCATAAACGCGGCACGTCAGCCCTAGAGAGTATCCCATGTAATCCTGCCGTACCAGACTCCGAAGCTCACCGCAGCTTTATAGAAGCTTCGGTTCAACGCTTTAGTCATGCGATGTTGTTAATGCGACAAGCTGGTAAAGGATATTTGTTCGCGAGCAGGAAGAGCATAGTGTGCTTAGCGTGCAAGCGTTTTGGAGGGAAACCTATTGTCAGCGTTTCACGCATCCAATGGCGCCCAAGGACGTTGCTAAAAATTGACAGTTAGATAGCCTGGCATGCCCCGGGTCGCCAGTTTCCGCGAGTTGCCGATCGGGTCAACGATGGATTGTTGTTGCTTGGTCCTTGTTGGTGCCTTTGCTCATAATGTGCGTCATTGTTGTCTGTAAATATGTTCCACCTTACCGTTCGATGTAGTCTGGCTTAGGCGCTGCCCATCGCTAAGCTGAGTTTCAGAGCACCTGGTAAAGGTAGTGCGGCGGTATGGAAGAGTGCCCCCTCCTAGCAGGGAGGCGAGCGAATGTATACCCCAGGATATGCCAAGAGTAAGGGTAGTGCGAGATCCCAACGGGTAGTCTGCACAGGAATGAGTATGATGCTACATTCAGCCGGGTTACATGGCCACTGTAATCTAGCCACATCGCCCTACATTGCATTGCATCCTTCTGCATCTGCAACAGTTTCCCTCTGCCAGATCCAACGAGTCCACTGGCAACAACGGGCGCTAAAAGCGAAGTGAATCCTCCACCCATGCACACATCATTCTATACTAGCTAGGTGCTAGCGGCATCACCCTAACGTTGCAACCTGCGTTTCAAGCTTGTGGAGCTGCAAAGAGCTCAAAATCCCTTAAACCACCTCCCTCCCTCCTGCTCATGGGACCTCCTAAAACCCTAACCCCACAGCGTTCCCCAACCCCCGCTGCTGCTCACAGCACGCCACCCTCGAAAACCTACACCCTAACCCCTACCTCTCCCCCCTGCTATGACTTCCGCTATCCCTCTACCCCTTTACTGCCGCTGCGACCCATCCCCCCGCGATCGCAGGCTCCCCAGGGCCGACATGGACCCCATGCCGCCCGCTCCCCCAGCTCCTGGCCGGCCGTACCCCCGCGGCCCGCCCGTCAGCCTGTCCCCATACCCCATACCGCCGCCATCCCGACGGTACCCCCCTCCCATGCCGCGACCACCCATGCCACCCGACCTGGGCCCCCCACGTGGGCCACTCCGCTCCCCCCGGTCCATGCCGCCCCGGCCACCCATGTTGCGGACCATGCCCAGCCTCGCTCCGCCGCGGGTGCGGCCGCCGGCGCCGCCCTCGTCGTCCCACTGGCCGCCGCCGCGCCGGCGCGATTGGCCGCCGCCGCCCGCGCCGCCCTCATCATCCGCATCGCGCAGCCCCCCGGTGCGGTAGGCCAGCGCGCGCTCGTTGAAGTCGACCACCACCGCCGCCTTGTCCGCCAGCTGCAGGGCCATGCGCTGCATGCGGCTGGCCTCGGAGGAGTGCATCACGATGGTGCGGGTGGGCTGGTCCCACGAGCCCGGCAGCTCCTCCGCAATCATCATCTTGCTGGCGATCGAGTAGATCTGCTTGTCCGGCAGCTCAAACATGCCCGTCAGCTGGTCCAGCGACAGCGAGGCGTACTGCGAGCTGTACGACAGCAGGTAGGTGCGCACCGCCTCCTCCTGCACCTTGCCGCGCAGCATGGCCAGCACCGCCTCCTTCTTGGGCAGCAGGTTCCACGCGTTCAGCGCGCGCAGGTAGCCAAAGGACTTGGCCCAGTCGCCCTGCGCCAGCGCGCGCGAGGCGGCCATGATGTGGTCGCGCACGTTCTCGGGCGGCCCAGTGAAGGCCTGGCGCGCGTAGGTGTCCCAGATGCGGTGGAAGGACTTGGAGATCATCTTCTTCTTGGGGTTGAGCGGGTTGGCTGCCATGTTGGGCACCTCCAGCAGCATGGCGCACGCCAGGTAGGCGCTCTCCAGCAGCTCCAGCGTGATGTGCATGTGGAAGGGCATCTGGCGCCGCTTCTCAGCCAGCTCCTGCTCGGGGGTCTTCTCGTGGTACTTGCCCATCGACATGCCTGGAGGAGGGAGGGGTAGGGAGGAGGGGGGTAGGGAGGAGGGGGGGGTAGGGAGGAGGGGGGTAGGGAGGAGGGGGGTAGGGAGGAGGGGGGTAGGGAGGGGTTGGTTGAATTTGAATATGACCGACACACTGGATCCTACTATTTTTCAGAGTAGGTCTGCTGGGCTCCTTATCCAGTTGCAAGCCACAGGCGCATGTTACCAAGGTCGTGCGACTCCTTCATACAACGCATTCCCCCCACTCACCCTGCGCCAGCAGCTCCTTGATGTGTCCGCTGCCGTACAGCTCGTTGAGGCAGGCGTGCGCCTCCTGGATGAGGCCCGCGCGGAAGGCCGCCAGCCCCAGCTGCGCGATGGCGCGGTTGTAGAGGATCATGGTGCTCACGTCCATGTGCTGGATCGAGTCCTGCAGGTGGCTCATCAGCAGCAGGTCGCGGGCGCCGTGGAAGTCGTCGTGGATGGCCTGAGGGATGGAGGGAGGAAGAGTGGGGTCGGGCATGTGAGGGAGGTTTGAAGCGGATTTCACAGCTTACATACTGAACTCGCAACCGAACGAAAGGATAGCCCTCGTATTGTTTCATTCAGCATCCTCCATCCTCCTTGCGCGCCACCAACCCAAGCAGTCGTCCCAAACCGGCCCTTTCCTCTTCCCAACCACGCTCCCTCTCTCCCCCGCCCGCCCTCACCTTGTGGTAGATGTAGCACATCATGGCTCGCGCCTTGGTGCGCTCGTCCCCGTGCCGGAAGATCACGCCGCCCACCAGCGACCGCATCAGCTCGTGGCAGTTCTCCGCCATCTGGTAGTCCGCGGGCACCAGCACCTCCACCTTGGGGCCAGCGTCCTCGCCCTCCTCGCCCTCCTCAGTGGCCGCGGCAGCCGCAGCCGCCGCCTGCTGCCCCTGCTGCTGCAGCAGGGTGAGCTTGCGCATGGCGCCGTACACCGCCTCGGTCTTGTAGTACAGGTGCTCCACCAGGCGGAGAGCCACCTTGGGGCTGCCCACGTTGTCGCCCACCCTGAGGGGGAAAGGTAGGGGGGGTGAGAGGGTGAAGAGGGGCGGAGGCGGGAAAAAGGCGTTATAGCAGCGACATGGCGTAGATCACCCCCTCGTGCAGCCTTCTCTCCTTCATCGTTGATGGAAGCCTTGTTTGTATGTCGGGTATAGGGCAAAGCTAGGTCCGGCAGTGGGGTGGCTTGCAGTGCACTGCACAGGCTGGACCGGCTTCTTTCCTACTGCTGCTCACCCACTCCACCCCCCCTCCTCACCTCTGCAGGTAGTCGAGCACCTTGCTGCCCAGGGCCAGGTAGAGCGGCTCGTCCTTCAGACGCGCCATGTACTCGTGCGTGTGGGGGTCAATCACCTGAGCAGGGGACAGGAGGGGGGGCGAGGAGCGGTTGAGAGGGAGAGAGAAGACGCGGTTATGCGGACCACCAGCCAACGTCAGTGCTACTATCCCAATCAGGAGCTGGTGGTATCGCTGGCTCCTCCGCCTGTGACCTGTCCTCCCAGTCCAACGGGAGCAGCGTTCCACCCTCCCAATTCAAACCGCGCCACCTTGCCTTCGTTCTCCCTATCATGCTCCCCCTTCCCCCCAGGCCCCCACTCTCCCCCTTTTCACCTGCAGGCTCTTGAACAGCTCGTCGTCCAGCCGCTCCACAAAGGCCACCACGTTGCCCCACACCTTCACCTCCGCGCCCTCAGCCGGCTGCTCCGTGCGCTCCTCCAGCGCATCGGCGCCCTCGTCCACCTTGATGTTGGGGTTGTCCTGTTTGGGGGGAGAAGGTAGGAAGGGTTGGAAGGTCCGGCTTCTGGGCCGGTGTGCTTGGAACCCTAACGCCTTGCCGTCTCCTCACCCAAACGGCCCATCATCTCTGTCCCCCCCCCGCCCCACCCCCCGCCACCCTCACCTGCAGGATGCGCAGCATCTCAAACAGGTTGGCGACGCACTTCTTCCAGAGCCCCGTCTGCAGGTGCCCCATCATGCCGGGGTTGAGGTCGAAGAGGCTGCTGGTCAGCTGGGCGAGCACCTCGAACCGCTGCGCCGGGCCGCGGGACACGGTGATCAGGTAGGTCAGCATCTCCACCTGCTCCTGCTTGTCGGTGCCGCGGCGACCCCTGGGAGCATGGTGAGGGAGGCGGGAGGCGGGTGGAGAGAGGTTAGACACCGGATGCTGCGCGAGACCTCTCCTCCCCGCCCTCCCCCGGCGTAACATCCCCAACCCTACCCGCCCATAATGCCCGTTCCCACTTTCACCATCCTACCTTCTTCCACAGCACCGTTCCCCCCCCACCAGCGCCCCCCCACCTGGACAGCACAATCTCGCGCAGCTTGCGCGCCACCATCTCGTAGGTGATCTCCTTGGGGTCCATGGTGAGCAGCTTGTCCTTGGCCTTCTGCTGCTGCTGCTGGCCCTTCTGCTCCTCGCGCTCGTCGCCGCTCTCGCTCTCGCTGCTAGCGGACTCGCCCGCATCCTCCTCGTCGTCCACGTCGGGGTTCTCACGGACCTAAGGGTAAGGGAGTGAGGGGGTTGGGTTTTGATGGGTTAGAAGGGCTGTGCAAAAGATGCTCCAAACGCGTTTCCCCCTTGTGGCGTTGTCACATGGAACAGGAACCGGCCCGTACCTTGGCCATCTGGTCCGCGAAGTTGACGTTATGCTTCTTGAGGCGCTGGCGCATGGTGTTCAGCGCCTTCGCGTTCGTCGGCGACATCTTCTTCTTAACGTCCTTGTTAGCCAGGGTTTCATTCAGGAAATCCTCCAGGTCGATAAGGAGCTTCACGTAAACGCGAGGGGCAGTGGGACCAACCACGAACTTCCGCGCCTTGTCCAGCCGCTGGTTAAGCACGTCGAACAGCTCCTGGATGGTGCTCCAGTCGTTAATCTTCATCTTGTTCTGCAATTATCAAGGCCAGGGCAATCCGGGTGTTGCCGCAGCTGGGAAAGGATTGCGCCGGCATCTCCCGCCAGAAAACAGATTGTAGCCTAGAAAGCTGCTGCGCTATTTAAGTGGCTGAAATGAGTTCTTTTGGCTGCTTCATTAACTGACCCACCCGGATGTCCTCTGCCGTCTGAGCAAGCTCGCCCATGCGCTTGTCCTTCTCACTCTTAACCACGCGGCGATCATCGTCCGAGTCCGAGTCACTCGAGCCAGCCAAGAACCTATACACATGTTATAGGGGTCAAGCAGCTGGGGGGCAACAAGCGCAATACTGCATCGCGGCGGCTGCTGGCTCACTTGTTCGGCCCCTCGTCGTCAGAGTCGGAGTCGGAGTCCGAATCTGAGCCCGAGCCAGAGCTGGACTCTTCAGAGGAAGAGCCGTCCTCAGAGGAGCTGCTCTCCTCCTCGCTGGAGGACTCCTCCTCCGTGGTCTCCTCCTCCTCCTCATCGCTGCTGTTACGGCCCCAGAACTTGGACTGCAGTGTGAAACAATTATGATCAGCAAGTGCACTCTTACTGCTAAGGTACTCAGACTTTTAATGTGAGCTAGTCCCACCATTCTTCAAGATCGGGCGCGCCGCCGAAAGAAAGCTTTGAGAAAGGGCACAAGTTATTACCACAGTCGAACAAAGAGTATGGCCCTACCCTACTCTTCTGAAAGGAAATTGTATTGGACAGGATTCCTGTACTTAACTTCCCCACGAGGGCCCCATGATGGAAAAGTCCCATGCAAGCACAGACAACGAAACGCCTAATTGTTTAATCTATTAAAAAGTTAATTTGTTTGTCTTCATGATATCACGATTTGCGGCTTGTTCGTCGACACGTCTATCCACTACATTGTTTCATGCCATGTGCTAATATGTCCAAAACCACTACAAGTGACTTCCAATCGCATATGTGACTCCCATGCGCAGTTAATGCACACATCACCCTGTGTGAAATAACACCTCCTTCAAAGAGCTGCTCTCCAACTTGGACCAACGGGTCATGCCATGCGCCATACCTTCCAACCTGCGCGCTCAGCTCCTTGTATCCTGACACCGGCGCAAATCCTTAACTGCTGTGTCCAGCTGTGGCGCAATGGCCTCTTGCTGAAAGGAGCTTAGCGCCCATGCACATGCTGCGGGTGCAACTTTGGCCCCGGAAGAACTCCTTCCATCAGCGGGGCTTGACGTGGGCTTCATTTCAGGGCCCTAGTGGCTGGCCCTCCGTTTTCATTTGCACCTGCCACGTGTGAGGTACGCTCCTTGCCACTCGCGGTGGATATGCACGGGCCACTGCTGCATGCATCGTTGTGAACAGCTACACAAGAGAAGGACACCAGCCGCCCCAACAGCCACTAGCTTGTCGTAGATCGTGGCACGAAGGTCGGGCTTCAGAGACATACGAGCGACGCCCTTCCCACCCTTCCTTCTTTCCCACCCTTCCTTCTTTCCCACCCTTCCCACCATTTTATCGCTACTGTGTCTCTACGTACGCCCCCTTACACCACCACCTCCGCCACTCTACCCCTGCCACTGCTCTGCCGCCGCCCCGGGTGCTGCTGCCCGCACCAACCCGCACTCCCCTTCCGTCCTGCTGCCATGGCTGTGATCCTCCTCCTCCTCATTCCGCTGCTACTGCGCCATCAATACGGTTCATACCGCACCACCACCTCCACCCCTGCTACTGCTACTGACCCGCCGGCAGTATCCCAACCGCCCCGGCCACTCACTCCCCCAACGCTACCACCACCCCCTCCAACGCTACCGCCGCCACCCTCCCCAGCCACTCCCCCCTCCTCACTCCTCCTCTGCCGCCTCTGCCGCCGCTGCCTCGTCCTCCCGCTGCCTCCGCGACAGCAGCAGCGACTGGTACACGCCCCGGCTGATGGGGCCGTACCTGTGTGCAGCCGCCGTACAGGGGGGTGCACGAGGGGGTTTTGGGGCTTAGCGGTTGCTTGTAGGAAAGATTTGGCTTCGCTGCCAAAAGAGACGGGTACAGTGAGAAAGTACGGTTGCGCACATTTTGTGTCACAAATGTGCCGCAGAACGTGCCAACCCACCCAGCCTTCCCAGCCTAACCCAGCCCCCAACCAGTTCTCAGAAACTCCCTTCACCCCAATCCAACCCAACGCAACCCAACCCACAGCCCCCCCTTCTCCCCTCCTCCCCATTACTCATATATCCCCCCTCCCCCACCTGGTACTGAAGGCCTTGTAGCACGCTCGGTCCGCAATCACTACCCGGTCATCAGCCGGCCGCCGCCACCGGCCCCCTCCGCCGCCTCCGAAACCACCCCCTCCACTGCTGCTACTGCTGCTACCTTGTCGTACGGCAGGAGGTGGTGCTGACGTCACCGCTGAGGGTGAAGACGGCGCTGCAGCGGCTGCTGCGAGGGCTGCTGCCTCCTCCTCTTCGGCCTTCTCCTCCGCCACGATCATCTGGGAGGGCGTATTATCAGCAGGGAGAGAAGGGAGAGAGTGGGAATCAAGCAAGAGGAGGGCGCTAGCTCCCGTGGTGCTGCCGGCATGCATGAGCGGGAGATGCACCCCCCTGCCCCTCCCTGCCCCTCCCTCCCCCCCCACCCCCTAGTGGAGACCTTCCTCTTTAGAGGTAAGTCTCCACTTCTTTCACCTTTCTTGCCTAGTCGTTTGTGCACTGCTAATCACCCGTTTCTTCCGGTCCTGCCTACTTGTCACGCCCGAGCACATGTGGGGCCTTGGTGACCGTAATTCTGACAGCAGTACCATCAGTAGACCACTAGAACAGCCAGCTTGCTTCCGCCCGCTCGCTGGAGTGTCAACAGTTCATCATCACCGCGGACCCGGTATCGGTAGGGAATACTAACCACCACTTTGTCTTGTGGCACCCTGCCGCCTCCTACCCCCATTGCTTTGCCCTAACCTGTGGATTCCTATGGTTTGGTATGGTCTTTGATCCCCCCCCCTCCGCGTACCTCTGCCGTCTCCAGCGCCACCGCGCTCCACCACAGGTGGTCGGCCGACCCGGGGGTCACCTCGCCCACCAGCGCCGCCACCAGCTCCGCCAGCCTCGGCTCCAGCTCCCCCCGGGCCCCCAGAGCGGCCCACAGCAGCGTGTAGAGGGGCACCACAGCGGACTGGGGGGGGTGGAGGGTGGAGGGGGGGTGTAAAGAGGAGGAAACTGACGGGGTGGGGTGGGGTTGGAGCGGGATGATGTTGGGGGGGGGGAAAGGGAGAGGGGGTTGGGGGGCGGGGTTATGCACGGAGCAGGGGTGCGGAGAGGGAGGGTGGAGTAGCAAGAGAAGGTAAGGTGCTGTCAAGGCCGCTCATCCATCCACGCAACACACACCGGTTCGTTTCGCCTCGCGGCCAGTTATTTTAACACACCGGTTCTGTGGGGACTTCATCTTCCGACATCCCAGTACGTTCCTACTCGCGGCCAGTTTTCTTAACACACCGCATGTCCGTGGGACCACGACACGTGTAACGCCCTCCCTCCGTGACGGCGGCTGCTCAGCCCCCTCCTTCACCGCCTCTACCTTAACCTCCCCCCCCCGCCCCGCCCCCACCCAACCACCCACCTGCGCCGTTATCTGCTGCTGCCCGCTCAGCCGCAGCTTGGCCATGGCGGCGTCCAGCAGCTCCACGAACAGCCCGGCGCGGTCGGCGATACTGGGGGGGAGGGAGGGGGAAGAAGGATACCCGGTGTGTTGAGTGAGATGGGGGGATTAATTTGGAGACGTAATCCGCCTTAGGCTGGATTTTAGGGATAGCAATTTATTGTAGTTAGTAGCAATAATCAATAACAAACCGTATTGTAAGCTCCATGGTGAGATGGGGGGAGGGGTAAGGCAGGTGTGGGAGGGGAAAGTGAAAAAGACGATCATGCCCCCCATGGAAGGCTACCGGTACTGGAAGGGAAAGGAGCGTCTGCACCGGCATCCCGCCCCGCATGCGCCCTGCTTTCCACTCCCTGGCCCTCCTTTCACCACCATCCCGAACCACGGTTCCGCAGTTGGTTCCCCCAGCCCCAGCCCCAAACGCCAGCCCAGTCTGGCCCAGTGCGGAATACACATTCTCCCCTCTCACCCCCCCCCCCCCAGCCCCACCTGCCAACTTGCTCCCGCCACCGCCCCCCGTCACCACCCTCGTCCTCCTCCTCCTCCTGCTCCCCTCCCTCATCTTCGCCCTCCTCCTCCTCGTCAACTTCCTCCTCCGCTGCTTCCTCCGCCTCCTCCTCCTCCTCCCCGCCCGCCCCCTCCTCCATCTCCGCTATTGCCAGGGCAGTCTGGCCGACAGAGGCGGGGCAGAGGCGGGGCAGAGTGGTGGTTTGACAGAGGGGGCGTTACGTCGGAGGTTGGGTACGGGGTGGTGGTGGTGGTGGTGGTGGGTTAGGACGGGAGAAGCGTGTACGTCGGGGGTTGGGGTGTACGTCGGGGGGTGTGCTTGCGGCTGAACAAGCCACTGCAGCCTTCCCTGCCCGCCCGCCCGTACTGGAGACCACCTCCGAACATAACACCTCATCCCCCTCCCTCCCTCCCCTAACCCCCCGTCCCCCTCCCTCCCTCCCCCCACCTCCAGCTCCTCCCTCAGCGCCACCACGCCCGCCGTCACGTCCGCCATGAGCGCCCGCAGCTTGGGGTCCTGTGACCCGTGGGTCGGTTGGGCAGGGAGGAGGCACGAGGGAGGGAAGGACAAGAAAAGGAGACCCCATTGGGTTGGGTGCGAGAGGTCACGCAGGATTATCACAGTGCACCCTCCCGCCTGCGCAATACCCTGCCACCACCCTAGCCACCCCTCCCTGCCACCACCCTAGCCACCCCTCCCTGCCAAACCCTAGCCACCGCGCTCCATAGCGGGTTCTTATGAACCCCCCAGCCCCCCTACCCCCTCCCCTCCCCGCCCTCCTACCAGTGCCGCCTCCCCCCTGCAGCGGCTGCAGCCGCACTGGAAGCCCCACCCGCCCGCCAGCGCCGCCCGCCGCTCGGCCAGGGGCGACAGCAGCGTGGCGGGGGCGGCTGCCGTACCGCCCCCACCTGCCACTCCTCCTGCTCCGCCTGCCCCCGCGGGCAGGTAGGAGAGGGTGAGTTCGGAATCGCGACTGATCTTGCGGCTAGCGCGCAGGAACAGGGTGTCGCTGGGGGGGAGGTGGGAGGGAGAGGGGGAGAAACGAGTTCAAAAGATGAGGGGAAACACACACGTTTTCCTTTCCAAGGGGAAGTGGGAGATCAGGAGGCTGCGTGTGTGGGTGGCGGGAAGGGTGTGCCGCACACCTGGGAGGCTGCGCCGTGTGCGATGGGGTTGTTAGGGTATGTGCGACGGGATGGCGGAGGCGGTGAAGGGGCCGTGGGGCGGCATTGAGTGTTGAGGGTTTCATGCGCGACGGGGAGAGCCCCCTTCACCTCCTCCCCTCCCCCCCTCCCCTCCCCGTCTCATCATATATATTTTATTTTTTACCTCCCCCCCCACCCACCCACCCGACCAGGTACGCCAGCGTGTTGGGCATGCAGGAGTGGTTCAGGTAGGCGGCTGGCGGCCATAACCCCAGCACGGCCGGGCGGGGGGCGGAGGGGGGAACAATCTGGGCCCCTCCTCCCTCTGCTCCCCCTGCCTCCCCGGCTGCCGCCACCTCCCCGGCTGCCGCCTCCGCCGCCCTCTCCGCCGCCCGCCTCCTGGCCCAGAACACGTGTTCGTCCTCACCCCCGCCGTCGGGCTCTAGGCAGTTGGCCTGGGGGAAGGGAAAGGGGGAGGAGGGGAGAAGGAGATGAGCAAGACGGGTTTAGTGCGTTGAAGGTAAGTCAAGAGGGGAATGGAGGGACGAGGGGGAGTTTAGGTAGGCGAGTAGTTGAGGAATAAGAGGGGACGAGGGAGCTGACAGGTATTAGAGGGGCAGCGGCGGAAGGTGGAGCTTCCATTCACCCGCGCACGCACGCATGGTCCGCCCAGCACGCCCCAATACACACACCTGCACACACCCAGCCCACCCCAGTGCCCCGGTACGATTGTACACCGTGCACTCGCGAGTCGCGACCAGCACCCCCTCCCCCCTCCCCTGCAACCTCCCGCTCCCGCCCCCACCCAGTTCGTTACTCCCTCTCTACCCCTCCCCCCCCCCCCCCACCTGCACCACATCCGCCAGGGTGTCCGGGCTCCGCAGTCGGCCCGGCAGCGGCAGCAGCTGCAAGGGGAGGGGGAGAGCAAGGTGGGGGGGAGGATGTGGAGGGAGGTTAGGTCACAGTGGCCGAGTGTGGGGGAGGGGAGCAGGGCAGGCAGGAGCTGGCAGGGGAGGGCAGCTCCGGGCTCCGGGCTGCATGTGTCCGGGAGGGAAGCAGGGAGGCCACCCGGGGGCCCAAGGCTGGGAGGTGGGCGGAGGAGGTACACGGGGAGGCACCAGCAAGGCACCCGACCCGCCCCTTGTCCCGGGCCACACGGGAGGCCAGCCCGCCCCCCGCCCGCCCCCTGCCCGCCGCAGGGAGGTCCAGCAGTCCCCCAGCCCAACGCCTCCGCCCCCCCCCTACTCGACCCACCTGGGCCCCCTCCTCAGCTGCCGCCTCCTCCTCCGCCTCCAACTCCGGTGGCCAGGGCCGCCCTGCCCCTGCCTCCTCCCCTGCTGCCCCCTCCCCTGCTGCCCCCTCCCCCTCACCCCCCTCACCCCCCTCACCCCCCGCCCCAGGCAGCCCGGCCAGGCTGTCCAGCCATGCGGCCTCCCGCCGGGAGTACCTGCGGACAGCAGGCGCACAGGGGACACAGGCGCACAGCGGACAGCAGGGGACAGCAGGCGGTGGCGTCATGGCAGCTCCGCCTACCCTGGTGCACAGCTCTGTCTGGCAGGCAGCGGCTCCGGCCGCGCACGGCCCGCGCCCCCCTGTTGGTCCGCACATCTCTACCAGGTCCCCCTCGCAAGCCCCTTTTGGGGGCACCAAGCAAGCAGCACACATGCCACTCCCCGTCCGGGACAACTGGCACGTGGCCCACCCCTCCCCGCACCCCCCCGCCTCCCGCACCCGCCCGCCCACCCCTTCCCCCCCCCACCCATCCCGCCCGCCCGCCCCTCACCTCCTGCTCAGCAGCTGCCGCTGCAGCGCCAGGAACCTCGCATCCGCCTCCTCACCCGCCTCCACACCCCCTCCCGCCCCTCCCGCCAGTGCCAGCGGCTGCAGGGCCAACAGCAGCTCCCCGGGCAGCACCGTACGGCAGGCCACCAGGCCCCGACCCCTGCAGCCTGGGGGGGGGCGCAGGGGAAGGAGGGGGGAAGGAGGGGAAGGAGGGGAAGGGGGGAAGGGTGGAGAGGAAGTAAGGAACAAGGGAGTACGAGGCGGATTACCGGTAGTGCCCAGTATGGTGTGGTGGGACAACTCCTCCCCGGGGGGCAGGGGCGCTGCACAACACCCTTCCCTTCCCGGCCCACACCTGGACTGGGCTGGGGGACCGCCTGCTGGGGGACCACCCACCCACCCACCCACCTTCCAGCTCCGCCACCCGCACCGGCCCCACCCGCGGGGCACGCAGCGGCCCCTCCCCTGGGTCCAGGAACAGAGCGTCCGCGGCGGCTGTAGCAGCAGCAGCAGCAGTGGAGGCGGTGGCAGCAGGTGCCGCCCCCGGGCCGCTGCGACCGGGGCGGCTGGGGGCGCTGCTGCTACTACTACTGCTCCTGTTGTTGTTGCTGTTGGGGGTGGTACCGGTGGTGCTGCTGGCGCTGGTGCGGGGCTGATTGCGGTTGAGTGAGGGGGAGGGGGCAGCCGCAGTGGTTGTGGCGCGGACGCCGGCCTTAGCAGCAGCAGAGTCGGAGTCCGGGTGGGAGGCATCGGGCGTGGGGGTGGTGGCGGTGTCTGTTGGGCTGGCATGCAGGGCCGTTGGCAGACGGAGGCGTGGAGAAGGGCTTTGATGGAGCGATGTAAGGGACTTCACCGCTGGCCGCGCTCCAGGATGCTGAGGAATACCTAGGACACACAGAGTGTGAATTTCGCGTCAGATGGCCGGTTGCCGTTACCCATCTCCCAGGGGTCAGACCAAGCTAAGGAGGGATGTACGATTTTCAATTACATACGAGTAGTGCGTTACCTTGAAGTTGTGGAAGGAGCGTGCGGCGAATGATGCTGGGGGCCCATGGTCCGCATTGTGGTCCACATGTGGTCGCCGCCGGGTAAGCATTCCCCGGTCTCAGATTCGATATACTGCCAAAGTACATCTTATTATACTATTGATCGCTATTGATGCACCAGTAACGGTTGTAGCCCGAAACTTGTTAATCTTGTTATCAACCTTTTACCGGTACTGTAGGCCAGCCTCCTGGAAAGCAACTCGTTGCCGCTTTGCAGTTTATCGCGAATTTCTTGAACCGACCCAAACCTTTTTACACCGCCTTCCATGCAGGCGTGCAAGGCTATTTGCGAGACAGGTCTGCTGCGCGTGCTGTGGAGCACAGCTGTACGACAAGTGCGTAAATCTTTGCAGGGATTTGGAGGGATTGTATGCAAACATGATTGGCCGTGTTTATGCCATGCTGGTTGATAACCCTTGAGCAAAACATGTACGGTTTTAGGGCCATCCGTGCCGCCTTGGTTGTCAGCCCTTCGTAGCAATTCTGACTTTTCATCTCGAGCGGAATGGACTGCAATACATGATCGTTTTTGAGGCCAGTGGTAGCTATGTTAACAGCTGAGAAGTTTAGGGTGCCAGTCGTTTGCTTGCTGCGGAGTACCGTCCACTCTTCGACGTTTTAAGGCCTTGAAACTGGATGCACGCCCCGTCGCTTGTAGTTATACTCATCGCAGCCGCTTTAGGGGGCCAGCGCTTTGTGGCTGCACAAGGCAGCTTACATGGCCAGCAGTTTGGTTCGTCTCAAACCAAGCGCGAGGGTTCCATCCTGCAAGAGGCCTTACTTTATTCCGTTGCCAAATGGAACCTGACTACTACCAGGAAAAACTTCGGATTGACCAGCGATGCCTCAACTGCCATCGGAACGCCAACCACACCATTGCAATTGGAGCAGGAGCTGGTGTCCCGGCTCCTTGAGGTCCTAGAAGTTACCCGACAGCTACTTACTGCGCACCAAGGCACCACCCTTAACTGCACCAGTACATCTGCAAACGGGACCACCACCACCACCACCAATGTCTCCACCGCCTGCCCTCCACCACCTCCTCACTCTCGACACCCTGCTCCCGAGCTGCTTCACGGCGGCACCGCGGCCTTCCTGTCCGCCACGCTGCACCTCTACCCGCGCGGCCCCGGCTCTCCGCAGCAGCTGCGCGAGTGGGCCTCCGCGGCCCTCGCACTCCTCTCCGACCACCACCGCCACCAGACACGCAGCCGGGCAGCGGTGCGGGGGGCCAGGCAGGCGGCGATCAGGGCAGCCCTGGCGAGGGCTAGCGCGGCTCGGAGCAACACAACAACAGCGACGCGGAAGGGAGCTGGAGGCCATGGCGGTGCTTCAGCCAACCCAACCGAGGGTACGGGTAGGAGGAACTGGTGGAGCCCCGGGGGGCGGGCGGCAGGCGGCCAGCAGGTGGCAGGCGCAGGGTCCCGCCAGCAGGCCCCCGTAACAGCCTCTGCTGAGGCATCAGCTGCGGCTGCTGCGGTGGTTGCTGCCGGGGGCGGGTTGCCGCTGGTTCGTCGGGTGCTGCTGTCTCAGCTGCTGCTGGGCTGGCTGGGAGGGCTGGGCAGGCAGCTGCCGGCTGCAGAAGGGGAGGGGCAGGGCCAGGGAGGGCAGCGGCAGGAGGAGGAGCAGGGGTCGGAAGGAGCAGCGGCAGGCGGGGGAGAGGGGGCTGGTGAGGGGGCGGGGCTGCTGGTGCAGCTGGTGAAGAAGGTGCGGGAGGGAGGGGGGCGAGCGGGAGAGGGGGGTTAAGGCACTGTGTTGGGAGTTGGGTAGGCTGCATGGCAGCTGGTTTCGAGGAGTGTTGGGCTGTGCTCCTGAGGTGGGTGGCGAGGAGGGCTCGAACCGCCCCCACCCCCCCACTGACACCCACCCCCACATGCCTCCTATTGCATCCCCCCCCACCCCCCAGTTGTACGAGGTGCATTTGGAATCTGTCGTACAGCGGTCCGTGATGGAGTACTTCCACATCTCCAAGGCGGGGGGAACCAGCTGGACGGCGGCAGCACGTGAGGGGGGGCGCAGATGAGGAGGGAGGGTAAAAACATAATGAGACACTGACGATGCAACTGACGAGCTGTATGACAAGGCTTCACCATGGGCGGGGAGAGGGGGGCCCGTAGGTCGGATCAGACACTGCTACGCGCACTGCAGCACTGCAGCTCACGGAGCCCTCCGCAAACCCCTTCCCCCCAGGCGCCAACTCCTGCTCGGTCCCACCCACTCGGGGCGCGCACCTGCCGCACTCCGACGACGAGTGCCGCTGGGTGCGCGCGCGGCTGCTGGCGGGGCTGCTGCGGGGGGCGGGGGGGCACTGGGAGGCGCAGCGGGTGGAGGCGGCGCCGTGAGTGCGGTGGGGTGGAGACATGCAGGGGGGTGGGGGTGGGGGTAGGTGATGCGGTGGGGTGGGGTTGTACCGGTATGCGGTGTGCGGTGGAGCGTGCAGGTCAGCAGCCGCCGGGTAGCAGTGCTGTGTTGCGTCGCTCATAGTGCACTCAGGTGTATGTCAGCCAATCAGCCAACTAGGGACCTGCATGTCCGCCCTGACCGCCCTGACCGCCGGCTGCTGCTGTGTTGCTGTCTCCTGCTGCCTCCGGGGCCCTGCTGCCCCTCCCTAGAGCTGCCCCACCCTAGAGCAGCTCGTTCATTGTCGTTGTTGCGCCCACTTGCACGAGTGGGAGTCGGAGCCGTGGGACCTCTGGGAGGGAGTATAGTGCCTCATACTCGCTAAACTATTTCGCCCCACCCCCTGCACACTGCTTGCTTGCATCTAGGGTGTGTCCTCGGTACGGTATCGTGGAGCGCCGTACACTCATGCGGGATTGCATCCAGCGCCTGGATGCCGTACACAGCCGCGGCCACCACTACATATCCAATGAGTACACGCTGCATGGGGGCGAGGGCAGCATGTACGACACACACCTCTGCCCGCAGTTTGTTAATGTCATCAGCATCAGGTGAGGAGGGGGGGGGTACAACCCGTACAAGGGCTTGTTTCGCGTCCCGTTGCATGACTCCTATCGCATGGTATTAGGGATTAACGGATTATTACCCTTGCATCTGCAATTGTTTCACAATCATTTTCAAGGTCTTCCCTGCACTTGCACCCACCGCCCCCCCCCCAAGGCCCTCCTGCATGCATCCCCCTGCACGCAGGGAGCCCCTGGCCCGCCTGGTCAGCAACATCAAGTACATCATGCTGCACCTCAAGCACTCGCTCTTCCACACGTCGCCGGCCACGTCGCCAGCCCTGGAGCGCGCCTTCAACCGAACCTTTTGTAACGCCCCGGCAAAGATATGGGAGCTGCTGGCCCCACCGGTGGTTGATAATTACAATGTTCGGTAAGCAAACGCCCCAGTTTCACCCTTGTTTGCGTTGTGTCAACCAAGCCACGTAACATCTGTGCTGACAAAACCCTTGTGTGCTATTCCAAGCCCTCCTTCACACCACCTCCTCCTCTCCTTTCCCCTCTACACAGCTCCATGCTGGGCGAATCCGCCTTCCACTCGCCCCTCTGGACGGGTCTGCCGCCGGACGCCGTGTCGGTCGCGCAGTCGCTGCTGGCGCAGTACGATCTGGTGCTGGACCTGGCAGCGGCGGGGGAGGGGGGGCTGGAGGGGGTCATGCGGGGGGGACTCGGGTGGAACGTGACACTGGCAGAGGTGAGGCTGGTGGAGGGGAGTGGCGTGGGGCCCATGCATGGTGGCTGATGGCTGGACCAGGCAGGAGTTCGGTATGCTGTGGCAGTGGGGGTGCACATGTGTGTAGGCACTTGCAAAAGGAGGCACATGCAAACCCATCAGATTCTCTTCAGACTTTTCCAAGCAAGTCCCCCGCTTTTCCCCTTTATTTGCAGGTGCACGTGTGGAACTGGGATATGCTGGCGCAGCGGGCACGGTTCTACATAAAGGCCTGTCCGCTGGGGAACCTGACGCGTCTGCTGCCCCGCCAGTCGCCCGACCTGCGCTGGTACCGCTTCGGCAGCAGCCTGGCGGCACTGGACCAGCTGTTCCTGGGGGCGGCGCGGGGGCTGGGGCTGGCAGCCTGGCCGGAGGGGTGGCAGGACGAGCGGGGACTGAGCAGGCCGCCTCAGCTAGAGAGGCCGGCGGAAGCAGCGCAAGGGGAGGGGCGGGTGGCGGAGTGGGAGTGGCGGTCGCAGCTGCCGGTGAGTCCGTGCGGGCTGCTGGGGATGGCCCCAGCGCTGCCACCTGAGGGGTAGGCTGTTGGCTTCAGTACACTTGAGGTGTGGGCTGATGCGAAGATTGCAGGGTAACCGTTGTATGGATGTGAAAGGGCAATCAAGGTGCCATACGCGCACGTGCGCAGCTCTTGGGGTTAGTGGGCTCAAAGATGGCTAGTACCGTACTTGGAATGGCACGATAGGCAGGAGGCGGAGCACAGGTCAGGTGAGCCGGTGGTGGGTGTCAGAAGTCAGGGCTTGCTTGGGGTGCATTGCCAGGTGCCGCCCGGGGACGGTGACGAGCTCGTCCGGGTGCGGTGGAGGACAGGAGGCAGCGGTCACGTGTGCTGCAGAGCCGGGGGCTGTGGGAAGCGGCATGCAACCGACTCCGCACGCGGTCCAACGAACGACACTTGCATATCTCTGTGAATGCAACGTAGCAGGTGCCTATGATCAGGATAGAGCATCTTGGGTAAATGGGGCCCGCCTTGACGCTTGGAAACTCTGAAGAAAGTTTAGCTTTCATTGCGACTCTTCTGCTGCCGCTGCTGAGCTTGGTATGCCGGGAGTGCTGCCAACACCCCCACCCGTCGCAACCCCTGCGATGGTGGTTGGGCGCAATACTTGCGGACATGCGAGCACTTACCAGCTCTGGCTCGATTACGGTGCGGCGTATGCCTTGTGCCTTGCTTGCACGTGCATGTATGGCTAGGAGCCGGACCCTAGTGCTAAGAGAACCGGCCGCGAGTAGTCATGCACTGGACTGTCGGATTGTTTTGCGCACTAGGTTGAATGGATAACTGTAAAGCGGCGAGCGGAACGGCTGAGCCAGGTCAGGTCAAGAGAAAGTCCTTCCTTCCCGCCGCCATGTTATCCCCACCTCACTCCTCTTCACTACCTTCCATCCAGTCATCCCTAGAGCCGATACCCACCAACACACCCATGCGTGCGAGACAAGTCCGCTAATGCTCTGATCGCGTCCGACTGCCCCCTGTTTCCGTACTCCTGTGCACACCCTTACGTCCCCTCCTGCAGCCCCTCGAGCAACCCTCGCCACATGTGCAGCATCGCATCGCCTCGCCTGCCAGCTACCTGCTAGCGCTAGCAGATCCAAGATGGCTGCTGCAGCTTTACACTCCCCCCCACGTCACCCACCCGTCCAAGGGGTGTACCGCTATCGTGGAGCATCAAGAGGGAGCCTAACCCTTCGTGGCATCCTCATTCAAACCTCGGAATTCCGGCCTAAGAATAATAATTGGATACCATGCTCTGACAAACACGGGCTGCACCACTACGACGCACCCACTTCACAACCGTCCAAGCTGTATCCTTTGCTTTGCCCCCACCCACCCCACCAAGCCCACACTAAATAGCACCTCCCCCCTCCTCCCTTGCTCACGTTCGCCCCTGCGTCAGACGTTACAAACCTCCAGTCCGACTCGAGATAGGTCTAGAAGAGTCCAGTGAGAGTCAGGTTGGTGGCCAGCTGCACAAGCGCAGGATGACCCATCGGTCACCGTTCCCTCCCTCCACCGCCTCCCCCCTCCCTTCACCCCCTGCCAATGCTGAGCTGCTGCAGCGAGAGCCCGGGTGCGATGCGGGCGGTGAGGCGCCAGGTGAGGTCCCACAGGTCGCCTCCCTCCGCGTCGCGCCAGCCCTCCACCAGCAGACCCTGGGGGCAGGTGGTGTGGGGGGGGGGCAGGAGAAGAGGAGAGCGGGATGAGGACGGAGGTACGGCAGGGGGAAACATAGCAGCAATGTAGCGCCCCCCTTCCTTTCCCTCCACTTCCCGCCGTAGAACGGTGTGAGTTCGGATCGGAAACTTGCATCTAACCGCCAGGGACGTTCGCCATGGGCTGTCACTCTCCTACACAGCAGCATTGTGTTTTTCTCCTCCCCTCCCTTCCCCCCTTACCCTCCCCCCACCTTGCTGTGCAGCACCAGCAGCATGTTCTTGAGCGCCTCGGGCAGCGCCTCCGCCAGCACCTCCCCCGCCGGGTGGGTGGGCGCGGCGGCGACCGCGGCGGCACTCAGGCCCCCGCCCCCGCCGCTGCCGCCCCCGCTGCGCGCCACCTGCGCCGTGTTGGCTGCCGCCGCCGCCGCCAGGACCTCCAGGATGCCCCGCCACACGGAGCCGAACGAGGGCAGCGACTCGAGCTGCGGGAGGGGGAGGCGGGTGGAGAGTTTCAGTGAACAAGATGGCGGGCGGCGGAGGGGGTGGTCTCTGATGACCTTCGCAGGACGCATGATTGTCAGGTGTCTGAACTACGACCACCACACTTTCGGTGTGTCCCGCGCCACCCTCCGGCCCCCTCCTCTCCGGGCCCCCCTGTTTCCACAGTGGTTTGCAATCTCGTCCACAGCACGACCGGTGGATCCTCCCACCCCACCTGCGAGTGGTAGAGCAGCACCATCTTGGACAGCGCGCGAACCAGCTCGCGAACCGTAACATCGCACTGCAGGGGGCGGGGGGTGGGGGGTGGATGGGTGGGAGCGAAGGGCGGATTGAGGGTTAGGGCTGAGAACGGTACAAGTGGGCAGGAAAGGCGGGGGAGGGATCATCCGCCCCACCCGCTCCTCATACACCACCACTCACCATCACCCATGAATCATCTTCGGTGCGCTACGCCTGACCCATGTCGACCCCCCCGCAGAACATCGACCCACGGGTCACCCCCCTCCCCCTCCCCACCTGCGGCATGTCCCTGTTGCCCATGCAGCGCACCAGGTCCTGCCCCAGCGGCAGCAGCAGCTCACTCAGCGACCGCGCCAGCCCCCCCGGCGGCACCAGCAGCCGCTCCGCCGCCACCACAGTGCGCTGCAGGCAGGACATGGTGCCGGTGCGGACCTGGGGGGGGGGTGGGGAGGGGGGGAGGATGATAAGGTGTGTGGGCCGTGTGGTGTGTGGTGTGTTTTGTCAAACCAGGCAGCGAATCGGAACATTGCAGCGGCTGTATGGGTGCAGGTTCATGGCCAGCCGCACGTGCCGCGGGGCTGCCGCATGATGAGGCGTCGTGATGTGTCCCGACCCCCGCCCGCCCCCCACCTCCCATGTAGCAACCCATGGTGAAGCCTCGTCATACAGCTCGTCAGTTTCCTCTCTTTACCCACCTCCAGGTTGGTGTTCTTTGCCAGCCTGCACAGCCAGCCCAGCAGCAGGTGCCAGGTGTCCGCCTTAAAGCCCAGCAGCCCCAGCCGCTCCAGCGCCTCGGGCGGGTGCCGCGACTGGCTGGACATCCACCACAGCTCCAGCCACTCCTCTGAGGGGGGAGGGGGGGAAGGGAGAAGAGGGAGAGGAGAGGGAGGTGACGGGGTGGAGAAATGGTATATTGCCCGGTGCGCAATGAGGTTACTGCTGCTACTGGCCGGCTACGACATGTCTCTGCTACAGCCCGCTGCCTAAGTGACACAGTCCCCCTTCTCCGTGCTTATCCTCCTCCCTCCCCGCCCCCCCCTTGTCCCTCCCCGCCCCCTGCCCGCCCCCCCACCTGCGCTCTGCACCACCCGTATGGCCTGCGCGATGTGCGCCGGGTGCCCCTGCCGCTCCCCCCTGCGCGGGTCCGGCACCGCCCGCTCCAACAGGTCCACTGCGGTGCTCACCACCGCGTGGTAGTTGAGCACCGTCAGGCTCTCACGGACAACCCTGGGGGGGGGGTGAGGGGGGGTGAGGGGGTTGGCGACGGGGCGACGGGGCAGACATGTATACCCCGCCTGCCAGCAAGTGTGCGCTGCCTTACCTCTCGACCCCTCCCTCCCTCCTCACCACATCAGCATCACACGCCCCCCGTCCACCCGCACCCCCGCATGCATGCATCCCAGCCCCCCCTCACACACCTACTCGACCTCAACACATTTTCTCTCCCTCCTCCCGCTCCCCCCCTCACCAAGTGATGGTGTCCAGGCAGACGGGGAAGGACGCGGGGTCCAGGTGGATCACCTTGACCAGCATGCAGATGCTCATCCAGGCCTGCTGGTTGTGGATGTAGGCGGCAGCGCCCTGCAGGGGGGAGGGGGGTGTTTAGGAGTCGCTACGGTTGTACATGTAGGAAAAGAATAACATCGCGAAGGGTTAGGGGGCAGTGAAAGGGAGGATGAGGAGGGAAAGGTGTTCCCCGGACCGCACGAGACCCGCAGTCTCGCAGGGAGCAACACACAGCTCGCTGCCAGCCCCGCCGCCCTCCCTGCCCTCGTGCGTTCACGCCTCCTACGACCCCACCCAACCCCGCCCCTCACACGCTGGTTTCTCCCTCTTCACACCCCCCGCCCTCACCCCCCCCGCCCCTCACCTGCAGCAGCGATTGTATCTCCAGGGCGATGGTGGAAGCCAGGTCGTGGGCAACCTGGGGGGGGGGAGGGGAGGGGGAGAGGGGAAAAAGAAATTCCAATGTGTGTGGGGGAGGGGAGGGGAGAGCAGGGGAGGTTGAAAACGTGAGGAGAGTCATAGCAATGACGGTTACGCCCCCCCATTGGCTTCCACCCCCCGGCCCCATGCGCACACCCTCCCACCCCCACCCCCCCACCTGCTCGTCCACCAGCGACAGCAGCTGTATGCCCCGCATGAGCGGCTCGCTGATGTCCGCCGCCTTGTACGGCAGCAGTCGCTGGCACAGCCGCATCATGGCCATCACCGCCTTCTGAACCAGAACCGTGTCGCACTCGCGGGAGTGCTGGAAGATGGTCTGGGGGGGAAAAGAGGGGAGGGGAGGGGTTGGGATGGTTGGAAACTGGAGATGAATTCCGCATCTCCGATACGGGAATACAAGAGCACGGGCAGTACGGTGCTCCGAACCATCGCGCACCCTTCCGCCCCCACCCCCACTCTTAACCCTCAGCAAGCCCCACCATGCTCCCCCCCCCCATTCGCCATCAACTTCCGATCTTCCTGCAGTCACGGTCGGTTTTGTTTCCGTCGCTCATCAGCTGCATACTTCCCCGGCCCCTTTTGCCTCCCACCTCACGCTCCGCACCGTGCTTCACTTCATCCACATCTACTGTATACTCGCCCCCACCGCCCCCCCTCCCCCGCCCTCACCGCAAAGTGTTCGTACGCCCGGGGCCACAGCAGCGTGATTCGGTCCCTGTTCCTCAGCAGCACCGTGAACAGCAGCTCCAGACACAGCTCGCTGGCGTCCCAGGGCAGCTGGGAGGAGGAGGAGGGCGGGCGGGGGATGGGGCCGCAGGAGGAGCAGATGGCGCGAACCAGCTGCACCAGCGACTCTGGAGGGGAGGGGAGGGAAGGGGGGGAGGAGGAGGGGAGGGGAGGGGGAGGAGGGAGGGGGCTGTAGGTAAAGGTGTCAAAGCAGTAAGAGGTACCTTCCTCCCCTCCCTCACCCCCGCTGCCCATGAACACATCGTACCCACCCCTTCCTCCCTTCCTCCCCCTTTCCCTGGGACTCGTGTTTCACTTATTTTATTTTTCCCCTCCCTCACCCTGCTTCAGGAACTTGCTGTCCATGAAGGCGTCCTCGAAGGCGCACCGAATCAGGCACTCCTCCGCCGCAGTCACCGCGGCCCGCTCGCCCTCGCTCAGCGCCGCGTTGCCAGCCTCCCAGGCAGCGGCGGCGGCGGCGACAGCACCGCCCCCGGCCGCACCTCCGCTGCCGCCTGCCGCCCCTGGGCCCCCGCCTGGCCCCCCTGCGGCTGCTGCCCCCGCTGCTGCCGCCCCTCGAGAGGTGGTGGGGTCGGGGTCGGAGGCGAGGGAGAGCATCTGCGTAAAACTGCTGGGAGGAAGAGGGGGGGGGAGAGTATATGTGAAGCAACTGGAGTCCCAAAAGTGAAGCAACTGGAGTCCCAAAAGTGAAGCAACTGGAGTCCCAAAAGTGAAGCAACTGGAGTCCCAAAAGTGAAGCAACTGGAGTCCCAAAAGTGAAGCAACTGGAGTCCCAAAAGTGAAGCAACTGGAGTCCCAACCCCATATCAATTCATAAGGGTGGGGGATAATAGGGATACAGGCTCCGCATTAGGGGCGGGGGAAGGGAAGGGGAGGGGAGGGCAGGGCGGGCAGTAGGGAGCCATGTCTGGCGGTGCGGGGGTGCCCCACAAGGACCCGCAACAAGGCTCCTACACGCATCCATCATGCCGTCACAAGGGCCCCTCCATTCCCCCCACCCCCCACCCTCGTCATCCAGTTCGTCAGTTGTTTTTACCCCACAGGGGTCTTCCAATGGTTTGGTCCATCTTTGGCCAGCCGTTGCAACACCCACCCATTTTACCATTCACCCCCTAAGCCTCTTCCAGCTCGTCCGTTTTCCTCATTTTTACCCCGCCCCCACCCCCACCTCCCCACCCACCCCACACCCCACCCCACCTGGATATGTGTCGGAATATGGAGGAGCTGCCCGAGGCCGCCGAGCCGCCCCGCTGCAGCGCCCACCGCCGCACCCGCAGCGAGCCGCACTCGCCCTCGCGGACCACCAGACCGCCGTCGCCGTCGCCTGGGGGGGGGGGAGGGGAGGAGGGTAGAGGAGGGAGAGGTGAGGGAGGGGGGGAGGAGGTAGAGGAGGGAGGAGGGCAGCAGATGATGCTGTGCGAGGCTTTCGTTCCTCCCCTATGGCAACACCCGCCCCTCCCGCCCCCCTTTCCGCTCCCCCACCCTCCACGCACCACCCCTCACGCCCCCCCCCCCCGCCCCTACCGCTGAGTGCCCTGCAGAAGCTGTCCGGCAGCAGCGCCCGGCGGTAGAGCTGCACCAGCAGGTCCATCACGTTGGTCCAACCGCCGCGAAGGCAGTCGCCGTGCCTGGGGGGGGGGAGGGGGGAAGAGGGGCAGGGGGGCGCTGTTTAGAGGGCGGCCTTTACCCCTCTTCCCCGTCTCCTCGCTCTACACCCCCCCTTTCACCTTGCTCCCCGCTCCCTCCCTCGCCCCCTCCCTCGCCCCCTCCCTCCCCTCCCCTCACTTGTTGATGATGGAAGCCAGCGCCCGAGTGACGGCCCGCATCTTGGGGTCCCGGCCGAACGCGACATCCGAGCGAGCGGAGGCGGGCACCTGGGGGGGGGCGGGGAGAGGGGGGTTGAGGGGGGCAAAAAAGAAATTCCAAAGTGTGGTGGGGCGGGAGTTTCGACCCGTACCCGGGTGGCGGGTGGAAGGGATTGTGTGGCTTTGTTGCGCTCCGCAACCCAGGCCTCAAGGTCACGTAAGCCAGTCACCTGCGTAACCGCCCCTCCCTCCATGCAACCCCCCATGTGCCCATCCATGCACCCCCCCCTCCTCCCCGTCCCCCCCCACCTGCGCCAGGTGCTGCAGCGGTATCTTGGAGAGGTTGACGATGATGGAATCCGCCACGTCCTCCAGCTCGTGCGCAGCAGCGATCTGGCAAGCGAGCTGCGGAGGGGGGGAGGAGGGAAGACGGGAGGGGTGGGGGACAGAGAATCAGACCAAATGAGACCAGAAGTTAGGGCGAGGCAATGGGAGGGAGCGGAGGGAGAGGGAGTCCCTCCTGCCCCCAAACCCCTCCCCAGCCCCTCCCCCAAAACCCCCAAACCACACAACCCCTCCCGCCCCCCGCTCCCCCCCACCTGCAGCCCCTCCAGTGCCGACCCGATCAGCGCCTCGTTCGTACAGTTGTCCACGATGGCGCACATGGCGTGTACGGCAGGACCCCAGATCAGCCGGAACATGGTCGTGTCGAACAGGTGACGACCTGGGGGGGTAGGTAGGGGGGGGAGAGGGAAGCAACATCAAGGGGAGGGAGGGGGGGTGTAGGGCGAGGAGACAGGGTGGGGGGGGATGTGAACGGGGGGCTTGGGGTGGTCAACACACATTGCATGAATCCACCATACGCACGCATGCACTACACAATGTGTCTGCTGTCGTACATGCACACGCAAATGTCGTACACGTACCTTGTTCCGATGGCAGTACGAGGCCCCTCTGCGTGCCGCTGGTTTGCGCGAGCTGCAGGAAGCACTGCTCCGAGACCTCCATGGAGGCGGGCTCGGACAGCCGCAGCGGCCGCCGCACGATGGAGTAGAAGATCTCCTGTGTATGGGGGGGAGGGGGAGGGGAGGGAGGGTTAGGTTTAGGGCGGCTGATGGGGTTGGGGGAAACACAAGAGCCTAGGCCAGGGGCTTTCCTTTTTCTAGTAATGTTGTGGGAGGAAATTTGACACGCTACCGTACGTCTCCATAACCCAGCTGACGATGGAATACGGGACAGTTCCTGAAAAACTAATCTTGTCTCAATTCGACTGCAGTCACGGACTACAGTCAACCCCCCACCTCCACCCCTGCCCCCCCCCCCCCCCACACACACACACACGCACCTCCAGGAAGGCCCGGTCAAAGTCGGCTCCGTCGTTGACGCCCCTCAGGTTGCGCTGGAAGGACTCCAGAGTCATCTTGTTCTTCACCTGCGGCCCAGGTGAGGGCGCATGCGGCAGGCGGTAGGCGGGGTAAAAGAAGAAGAATTCCCAATGTGTAAGCAGGGTGGGGGAGGAGGAGGTTGGAGGCTGGGGAGGTTGGGGCGGCAGCGGAGCCAGCCCGGCACGATACGACGGGCGCGGCCCCGTGCAGGGCTTGGCCGCAGAACCCAACCAGAGCTCCCGAAGGGAGGGGGTTTGAAAGATTGGGTGTGGAGAAGAACAGAAGGCAGTTGGTAGTTGGGTGCGTAGCAGGGCGGCCAACTTGACCCAAATTCCCAACTCCGCCTAACTAACCTAGCATGGTCTCTCATCCCAACCACCCCCTCCCCCCCTCCCCCCCCCAACCTGACTGTTGTGCTGGTCGGTGTTTAGCATGATGACCGAGTAGGCCAGCACGTAGGGCGCGTCAGCGGAGCGGAACACGTCCGAGTTGGCCTCGTAGTAGTGGCGGCCGAAGGCGTTGATGATGCGGTCGATCTTCTGAGCCTCGCCTGAGGGGGAGAAGGGGGGATTCATAGGGATATACGTTCCGCATTAGGCTGGAGAGTTGGGATAGCGTGTAGGTGTTACCGGTATACGGATATAGGGAGGGAGGGGGGGAGGCAACCTAGCTGCCCAGTCCCCCCACCCTGAACCTGCGCAGTTCGATGTTCTCAATGGAAGCGAGGTGCACACCCAATCATTGTAACACACACACATGCCCACGACTCGCGGCCAGTTTTCCTTACGTGCACAACGTCCCTGCCGCCCCATACCCCTCCTGTATCGTCCCCCGCCCCCACCCCTTCCTCGCCCCACCTCCCCTACCCCCCCCCCACCCGGCAGTTTGAAGCTCTCAATGAACATGCGCAACGCGGTGTCGAACTTGAGCTGAGCGAAGTCGAAGCAGGCGGTGTAGGCGTCCAGGACCTGGGGGGGGGGGGGGGAGGAAAGAAGAGTGGAGGAGGATGGGGAGGGGGAGCAAAGCAATTAAGCCATCAGATGGTAAGGGTTTGGGTCAGGCAGCTGTGCAGGAGCGCACCTTGCACCCTAACACCCCTCCTCCAACCCTCCTCCAACCAACCCCCCTCCCCTTCCCTGCCCCCCGCCCCACCTCCAGGTAGAAGGGGTCCGGGTCCCCCAGCAGCTCCCCCACCGTGACCTTGTTCAGCCCCGGACACACGAACAGCAGCTGGCCCAGCCGGGCGGCCACAGCGCTCTTGGCGGCGGAGTGGGCGGCCACAGCGGCGGCGTGGGAGGCGGCGGCAGCGGCGGCGGCCTCGGGGTCGGCGGGGGTGGAGTCGGATGAGGCGGCGGGAGGGGGAGGCGGAGGAGGGGGCATCTCGGGCAGCAGCTTGGCGGCCTGGGGAGGGAGGGAGGGGGAGTTAGCGGGGATGGGGCGACAGAGAGTTGCTGCGGGGCCATGGCCATGCGTTAGTGTACTCCAAGGTTTCCAACCCTCAACAACGAATCCCAACCCCCATTCCTCCCCCCCCTCACCTGCATGGCCACCAGCCCCCATTCCTCCCCCCCCCCTCACCTGCATGGCCACCAGCCCCCATTCCTCCCCCCCCCCTCACCTGCATGGCCACCAGCCCCCATTCCTCCCCCCCCCTCACCTGCATGGCCACCAGCCCCTTCTTGAAGTCCTTGTTGAAGTGGTCCACCGCCAGGGCTGCGGGCAGGAAGGGGGGTGGGTGGCAAGACCATACCACATTTAGGAAACCACGGGTTAGGGCAAAGGAATAGGGACAGGAGGCGGCAGGGTGCCACAATACAAGTGCACGAGGGGGCAGGAGGGGGGGAACGGGAGGTAAGGAGGCGGGAAGAGGGGAATTCAGGACTAAGCCACCCGCTGGAAGTAGCACGTCAGAAGGGGGGTCGTGCTGCAAGGAACAGGATTTGGATGATTTGGAAGACCCATATCTGCTCCTCACTCATCCTCCAACCATGCTCCCCCTCCCCCCTCGTCAGTTTCCTTATTTTGTTTCCCCCCACCCCTCCCTTCCCTCCCCCCACCTATCCGTGTCTTAAGGCACCTCTCCGCCATGGCGCACCGCAGCTCCAGCGGCCCGCTCACCGGCACCCCCCGCACCCCCCGGGCAGCGGCCAGGCAGGCGGCAGCAGCGGGGGAGGGGGAGGGGGAGGGGGGCCCGGCAACACCGTTGCCAGCAGCAGCAGCAGCCTGCATGGTGAGAGGAGCAGGGGGGGGGAGGTACGGTATGAAGTCTGCGCGGTAGGATGAAGGCGGTTGGCGCAGAAAGCAAGCAGGGGCAGGAAGCAAGCAGGGGCCCCTGGTTACATACGACGGGAGAGGCACCCCGTGCGCCATGTCCTGCGAAGTCAAATCCCACACCGGACCCGTCCCTCCCCCCTCACCTTCGCCGCCCGCTCCTCCGCCTCCGCCTGAGCCGCCACCTCCGCCGCACTCAGCACCCCTCCCAGCCCCGCCGCTGCGCCTCCCATGCTGCTGCCGCCCGCCACCCGCCCCTGCGCGGCCTGCTGCTGCGCCCCATGCGGCCCCCCATGCGGTTGCCCATGCAGGTGCCCCGGTGGCGCCAGCAGCGCCTCCGCCAGCCTCTCCAGCTGCGGGTGCTGCCCCGCCACCAGCGGCCCCCACACGTCCACGTACAGCGGCACCTCGTTGGCGGGGGAGGGCGCGGACAGCAGCTCGTGGCCGGAGCGGGCGCTGCGAGGGGGGGAGGGGAGGAGGGGGGGAAATTTGATATAATAAATGCAAACAACTGTAGTCACAATCCCAGGAGGAGGGAGGGAGGAGGAGGGAGGGAGGGAGGGGTGGGGGCTGGATGTGTTGGAGAACATGCATGTTGGAAGGGGCAGGGAGCCCAACCCCCACCCTCATCTACCTACAATACTTCCACCTTCCCTCACCCCCTCACCCCTTCCCCCCACCTGTGCGCCAGCGCCCCCAGCACCGCCAGCAGCGCCTCCAGGCTGATGAAGTTGAGCGGCCCCACGCTGGTCTTGGAGACGGGGAAGGCGGTCTTGGAGATGAGGGAGCAAACCTGGGGGGGAGGGGGAAAAAAGAAATTCCAATGTGTGGGAGGGGGCCGGTGCGAGGGGGCGGTGGGGGCGGTGGGTGGGGCACCAGGTACCAAGCATGTGGTGTCACCACCCCTCCAGCACCACTCCGCCCCCCCTCACTCCGCCACCATCGGGCCACACCCCAGTCCCCTCCACCGCCTCCTCCCGCACCCCCAGTCCCCCTCCTCCCCTTCCCCTCCCCTCCCCCCCCCGCCCCCCACCTCCTCGAACAGGTTGGCTCGCTCCACGCGGCAGTCGCAGTTGACAAACATGTCGTGCACGAAGTGCGGCTGCCGCACCAGGTCCAGCAGACCCTCCAGGGCGGCCTCCTGGGGGGCGGGGGGAGGGGGGGGGAGGGGTGAAAGGTGCGACCGGGGGGTGAGGTGTGCGGGGAAGAGGTAAGAGAGGGGAGAGGGGCACGGCAGGTATGGATGCTTGGAAGGAGACACGCAGGGACCCGCGGCGGAGACGATACAATGCTACCAAGGTAAACACAGAGAATGTGTCCACAGTTCCACAGTAGTGCTCATCCTCACGAAGTGTACTAAACACAATATACACACCCGCTCTCCTCCCGGTGACCACCCCATCCCCCCAATTTGCTCCCCCCCTCCCTCCCCCCCTCCCCCCCACCTGCTGCTCCAGCGCCACCACCCCCTTGCCGTCCGCCAGCCTCAGCAGCACCCGCTGCATGACGGTCTCCGTCTGCGCCATGCTGACGTGCCCCAGGTACGTCACCACCGCCAGCAGCGTCTGGCAGAACCCCGTGATCACCGACACGCTGCTGTGCTGCACCACCGCCTGGCACATGGCGTACAGCAGGTCGACCTGGGGGGGAGGGGGAGATAAGGGGGGAGGGTAAGAGGGGGTGGTACGCGATGGCAACTTTCGGGGTTATAGAGGTCAAGGGTCGCCGTGTCGGGGTGATTTGGATCAGGGGCAATGTGATATGAATCGCGGGCGATGTGCGGCACACGGTGTGATTCAAGGCGATGCAGGGTGGGGCAAAGAAGGAAAGGAGAGGGCGTAAGCAAGGAGGACGAAGAAACCAACAGATTGGACCCTCCTCATACCCGAGTAGCTGTGCCCACATACCGGACACTCCCCGCACCCCGCAGTGAGGCCCCGCACCACCCCTGCATTGCCCTCCTTGACCACCTTCCCCCCCTCCTCCCCCCACCTGCACCAGCCTTGCCAGCGGCTCCGCCAGCCCCAGCGCGCCCCCCGCCTCGCACAGCACCTGGTGGATGGTGTTGAGCGAGAACACCACCATCTCCTCCACCGTCTCCTTGGTGGCGCCCTGGGGAGGGGAGCGGAGGGGGAGGGGAGGGTACCCAGTGTGTTGGATGAGAGGGGCAAACAAGACGACAAGCTCCCTCGGGGAGGTGAAGGGGAAAGCGGGGAGGGGATGGGAGGGCAGGAAGGGGTAGGACAGAACGACATCCTGCTATAATGTAACCAGGGTAACCCCTAGGGCACGAGGAGGGGAGGAGGAATGCATGGATGGGCAGGGCTGGCGGGGGTGTGCCAGCTTAGCCGCTGCGCGCCTCCCTGACCTGCCGGCACCTCATGGTCCGGTAGGCTCCGGAGTACAACACCCTCTTCTTGCCTTGCAACCTTCCAACCCCCCCTGACCTCCCCCAGCTCGTCAGTTCCTTCCTACCCCTACCCCCACCCCACCCCCCACCTGCAGCGCTGGACCCTTCTGTATGAGGTCGATCAGGAACTCCAGGATGTTGGCGGCGGCGCGCACCCCGTAGCGGCACCCGCAGCCGGCGTCGGAGGCGGCAGCAGCGGCAGCGGCCTGGGGGGGAGGGGGGCATGCAGGGGGGTGGGGTGGGGTGGGGTTGCATGGGGGGTGGAGGATGGGGTGGGGTGGAAATCAGGGAGTGTGGGGTGTTGTGCGGGAGGGGAGGGCCGTGTAGATGCCGTTGCGAGAGACGGGTAGCGGGGAGGGAAAGACGGTTTGGAAAGCGGTGGTTTCCTGCTCGGGCAAGGAGAGGAAGGGGAACGTGGCGTAGGAAGGGGTGACACGGAACTTGGGCCAGTATGCGGATAGGCGAGGAAACCCCGTGTAAGCCAGCGGCCCATCTTCCTCTTGTCCCTGCCCACCTGCCCACTCTCAGAGGCACTGCCACCCACTCCATCTGCTGCCGCTGCCACCGGCACATCCCCCGCGTGCTGCTGCTGCTGCTGCTCCGCCCCTCCGCCTGCCGCCGCCTTCTCCCTCTCCGCCGCCTTCTCCGCGCGCTCCTCCGCCGCCTCCAGCTGCAGCGCCACGTGGCGGAAGACGGTGCGGATCATGTTGCCGCACGCCTGCCGCGAGTAGTAGCCCATGATGTCTGGGGGGGGAGGGGGCGGGGAGGTAGGGAGGGGGGTGAGATAGGGACTAGGGAGGGGTGGTCGGGAGAGGAATGGAGAAACGGTGACCCCAAAATGTGGGAGGGGTGGTGCCAAACGCTACACACCCGTGGTGGCCATACCCCAATCGAGTGCAACGCAAAATCCGCACCCTTCTCCTGCCCCCGACCCCTGCCCCCTGCGTCCCACCTCCGTACTCCTTGGGCTTGCGCGCCGGGTCGCCCAGCATGAAGGCCGCCTGCACCGCCTTGCACACCGACTCGTCCGTCAGGAACACGCCCGCAGCGCTGCCGACCGCCTGCTCCAGCACCTGCAGCAGGCGGGCGGGGAGGCGGGGGGTGTGAGACAGGGGGAAGGGGTTGTGTTGCGTAAAGTGGGTGGGGTTGTGTTGCGTAAAGTGGGTGGGGTTGTCTTGGAACATGAAGAAGAGGGGGTAAGGGGAGAAGTAGAGAGTGGGGGTCAGAGGTTTTGGCCGTGACAGTCCTAGCGCCTCCTCCACGACACCACAGCGGCCCGCCCCGAGGCGCACCTGCACGATGTTGAGCAGCACCACCTCGTCCGAGGAGTTGTTCGTGGACTCAAACTTGCACTGTGTTGCATCTTCAACGATTTGGTTGATGGCCGTCTCCACGTTGCGGGTCCCCGGAGCTGCATACCCAACAGAGGGGTTTTAACAGCGCTTTGATGCGGAACGCCAAGGCTATTCGTAGCAAAGGAAGTATCTGACAAACCCACCAAGCAAGTCGCTTTGAAGGATTCGCTGCAGGGCCACCGCCGCTGCTCCTGTTATGGGCCCGCTGACATCTGACGCTTTAATCAAATCCAAAAATGGAGAAAGGTAAATCATGGGATCCACCTCCCTCCAGTCTGCATGCGCAAGGGACAGCCAGTCAACTACGAGACAAGTCGGGTGTTGCGATCAAGCAAGCAAGCGCACCATGATACGTAAATATCTCCGACCGCAGTGCCCGAAAAGCATCATCATATTTGCTTGGTTCGTTCCGGTCCTCCTCCTGCAGTAAGGGCCGTTCCAGCAGCTGGCGATTGGCGAAAGGCGCTGAACTGCCTGGCCTCGACTGGAAAACTTACATAGTAACGCGGCACCATAGCCCATTTTGCATTGTGTCGCATAGCGGTAATAACCGAGGCAATTTCATGGTTTAGCAGCAACGTTGCTGCCTGTTTGTTTGGCATTTTCACCAGTCCCCTAGGGGGGAAATTTTCTTCCTCTGGCTCACTTATCTAGCAAGTAAAAAAGGTCGATGCTAAGCAGGACCGTTGCTAACAAGCGGGGTTACCGCGGAGCCCGCGCACGTAGCATATAAACGGACACAAACATCTTTAATGTGCCTACTAAGAGAAACTGTCAGATCATGAAGGTCAGCTATAGCTTGAAAACAGTTTTGGGTTCGGCGTGGGAATTGCACTGCAGGACATGCGTACGGACCACAGGGAGCTTTAGACATGCTACGCATGAAGTGGTTGCCTTCATGTATAGAGATACTGTTGTGCTTCCACCTGACTTCTTTCCTACTTGCGTCACGAAAGTGTTAGTCGGCTTGTCCATCATACCTCTGCACGTGTCGCTTCATAGCTGCCTCAATCGGCTGGTGCTCTAATGGCCAGCCCTCCGCTGCTACGCAGCTTGAGGCTGGTGCTCAGCAACGGTGCCTCCATCAGCATCCCATCGGTGCTCCGGCGTGAGAAGCCTTACTTCCTCAACTTTGTAAGTATGCAGAGCCAGCACATGGTAGTTTACATCACACATACGTCTTCTCGAATTTCTATTCCCCCAAAGCAAGTCAGGTCTGCTTGACGCGCCCCGCTAGTTGGACCCTTCTGCAGCCAGCCTCCCATCCCCTCGGCTGCTTTTCCAACCCTTGTCCTGTTCCCACGCGCTCCCCTGCATCCCCATTCGCTTTGACACCAGGACGTGTACAACCACAGCCAGTGGCGGCACTCCATTAAAGTGGAGGCATCAGCGGAGGAGGGCGACCAAGCGGCACCTGACCGCACCCGCGGCTTCTACGCTCGCTTCCAGAAGCAAGGCCAGGTGAAGCAGCAGCAGCAGAAACAGCAGAAGCAGCAGCGCCAGAAGCAGCGGTGAGCGGCCATCACCGCCGCAGGAGTGGCTCAAGACCTCCGTGTGGTGGGGGTCCAGGCCGCCTGGGTGGAGTGGGGAGCCAGTAAGGACTACTCAACTCCATGACACCGAATGGAGCAAGGAAATCAACAGACACGCAGACAGGCGGGCGGCCAAGTGCAGTCCGATGGTGGCGTCAACAACGGCAGCATCAATCGCAGCCGGGGTGTTCGGCTGGTTGCTGGGAGCACCGGCGGTGGAGCAGTGAGGGCATGGCCTCGGATTGAGGAAATGGGCAATGCATGGCCTAGACTGGAAGGGCGGCCCTGGCTGGAAGCACACCCCTGGCCCCGCCCACGTGCACGGGAAAGAGAAAGCGAGGACTCAGACCGGGTGTTTCCAACAGCGGCAAGTGAACCCACGTCCCGGGTACTGCCAACCATGACGAGCGAACCCCTAACCCGGGCGCTGCCTGCTTCTGAGGGCGAGCCTGCCTCCCGGGCGCTGCCCTCTGTGGCTAGTGAGCCCGTGTGCCGAGTGCTGCCAGTTGCGGAGGGCGAGCCGGGCGCCCAGGTGGAGTACGGCTGGAAGTCGTGGCCGAGGCTGGACGGGCGGCCCTGGTCGGGGGAGCGGAGGCTGCGGGCGTCCTGGCCGCCCCCTGCGGGCGCGCCCAGCCGCCCCCCTGATGCCCGGACGGGGTGGCCGGGGCTGCTGGACAGGTTCTGGCCGCGGCTGGAGCCCAAGATGTGGCTGGAGGCGCTGTGGAAGGTGTTGAGGAAGAAGCAGGAGAAGGCCTGAGGCGGGCAGGGGGCTGGGGGCGGTGCTGCGGGGCTGAGGCTGGGGAGGAGCCTTGTGAATGAGGGATGAGGTTAGGGGGCTGCTGTGCGTGCAAGTGGGGGCAAGGCAGGCAGGTAGGGTGGCTAGGAAGGGAAGCCCTGACTAAGGAGGTGACCAACTGGGAGGAGTGTGAAGTGGGCGAATTACATGTTTGGTGCTTTTTTAGCTGCTGGTAGGACACTGCGTGCACGCAGCGGTGGGTCGGCGGCGGTGTGCTTGGAGCGACTGAGTAGCACCAGGGTCCTCCACTGCCTGGCGGTGTGATGGCACACCGTGCGGCTCACAGTGCGCTGAGTGGGTTTCCTGCACCCTCCTACATACGTGCGCGGTCGGTGCCTGACAGCTCAGTTGGGTGGGTCACACGGCACGGCTCCTCTACGACGCTTCAGCTTTTAGTACTGTAAGAGGTGCCGGGCTGGGCATCGTGTAGGTGAACAAATACCCACAGTGCTCTATTGGGGGTCCACCTTCTTGCGACGTCAGGCCGGGTGGTTGGGCCTTATGCATGCTTCATGCAGACAAGGCAGCCTGTCGCTGTGGACCTGCGAGCTGCTTCCCACAGCACCGGCCGTGCTGAGAAGTCCAGCGCAATCAGCCGAGCACCCGAGCGTAAGGGTTCTAAATACTAGTTGGCCCGCTAGGACTTCTGCTGTGTCCCCAGCTTCCCTAGTGTTGCTTTTGATTGGGAAGAATCGCTCAAGAGGATCAGAATGGTGGTCTCGACAACAACCTAGCCCCTCAGGGGTGCGGTCCGTGGCGTTTGCCCAGCCAACTCCAGCAGCACTGCACTGTGCACACACGCGCCCGGGCGGGGCCCTGCTCTCCCCGCCGACACCTTGAAAGGCGTGTGCACCCCTGCTACACCGGTATTCCAACTCCACCCCCACCTCCGTCCACAGCCCAATGCACCCCTCCTACAACCTTTCCGTCCCAACCCTGTTATCCTCCTCCTCCGTCTGCCCTCCTCCTCTATACCCCGCTCCTCTACATTTCGCCTCCGAAGCCGCCGCTGCCGAAATAGTCCTTGTTGGCACGAACCTGTTGGGGTGAGGAGTGGGGTGACCGGGTGGGGGGTGGTCGGCGAGGGGCGGAGTCAAAGGGGCTAGTGCAACAACGTACCGGTACCCTGCTGTGCCGAGAATGAGGAGCGGACGCAGGAGGTGAGGACCGAGGGGGCGCGCGGTGGGCTGCGCCCTTTCCCCCCTGCCCCCCCCCAACCCCTCCTCTCCTCCCACCCTTATGCCTGCTAGCGGTCCGCTGCTACCCCACACTCCCGCCCCCGCTGCTACCCCACACTCCCGCCCCCGCTGCCCCTACAACCCCGCTCTCCTCGTGTCCGGGCCGCGTCGGGTGCGCCCCCCACCCCGCCCCCGCCCCCACCTTGGCCTTGTCCTCCGACCGCAGCTTGGGGCAGTTGGTGACTCGGTGGCCCAGTCCGCCGCAGTAGCTGCAGCCCTTGACGCCGCTCTTGGCCTCCAGCTCGGCCTGGAGGGAGGGGGGAGGAGGGAAAGAGATGATGGAGTGTAGCGACGGAGTCCCCATCCCGAATCCCGACTCATGCAGTAAGCGCATACGAGGGAAGGGGGAGAGAGGGAGGGAGAGTCGTGCACCACCCAAAGCCCATGGGGGCCATGGGCAGCGGCAGCGGCAGGGTACGGGACGGAGGCGGCTTGGGGTTGACAGGAAGGGGGTTTGGAGGGATCATGCACCTGCCCAGGAGCCCCCTGCAGCACACACATGCTACCCCCTCACCACGCCCTCCCCCCCTCCGCCCCCCCTCCCGCACCTGCGCCTCCAGCGGGTCATCCAGTGCCAGCAGGAAGTGCGGTACCCGCTGCTTGGCCTCCCTGGGGGGGAAGAGGGGAGGGAGGGAGGGAGGGAGGAGGGGGGGGGGAGGCTTAGGCTTAGAGTTTGAGGTCCAGCATAGAAGGGATTTCTCCCTTCCTCCCCATCACTCCCTTCCTCGGCTCCTCATCCTTAGCAGGTGCTGCGGGAATTCCCTCCCCCCTCACCGCCGCCCTCCCCACATTGGGTTACAATGTATGGTTTCCTAGTTGGTACACGGCCACCGACCCACGGGTCACCCCTCCCCTCCTCCCTCACTTGAGCAGGTGTTTGAGGTCCAGCAGGATGGTTTCGGAGCACTGCTTGGTGTTGATGAAGGTGGTGGCCACTCCCGTCTTGCCGCAGCGGCCCGTGCGGCCTGAGGGGGGGTGTGGTGGAGGGTGGGGGGGGCAGGATGGGGGTTAGGGGGTAGGTAGGGGTGAGTTGAGAATGAGAAGGCGTCCGCAGCCGTATCCCAGCGACCGCGGGTAGGAGTATCCCGATACCACACCCCTCCCAGCCGCCTCCCCAACCCTGCTCCTCCCCCTCCTCCGCCTCCCCCCCTCCCCACCAATTCTGTGCACGTAGTTCTCGATCTCCTCGGGCATGTCGTAGTTGACCACGTGCTGGATGTCCGGGAAGTCCAGACCCTGGGGGGTGAGGGGGGAAAATTATATAAGAAATGCAAACAACTAAGTCCCAATCCCATATCCCGACTCATGCAGTGAGGGGGTGAGGGGGGGAGGGAGGGGGGGGAGGGGGGGGAGGCAATGTGTATGGGGGGTACTGACAGAGCAGGACTCGTACACGGCGTAGACGTCGCACAAAACCACTGGAAGGCACCAAAGGGAAACCCGTCCCACCCCCCCCACCCACACACACACGTCCTGATCACACAGGCAAGTACGAACGCGCGCATGCACGGTGAATGTCAGTTGTGCGACTCAGCTGCTGCAACAGGCACCTTCAAACCCACACACCCCCCACACACGCCCGTACCTTTGACGCCACATCCGTGGCCACCAGCACGTCCTTCTCGCCCGCCTTGAACTGCGCGATGCCCGCGTGCCGGTCCTCCTGCGCCTTGTCGCCGTGCACCGCAACCGCCTCAACACCCTGGGGGGGGAGAGGAGGGGGGGAGAAGGGGTGTCGGAAGGGAGAGGAACGAAGAGGGAAAGCAGCAGGCGCTCGCCTTCTTGCTCGCCTGCTCTTCCTCCGCCCACTCCCGCCCCCATGTCTTCACCTACAGCCACCCGCGCATGCAGCTGCCCCCCCCCCCGCCACCCAGTGCCCACATCGCTCACCTGCACCAGCAGGTACTCGTGGATGGCGTCCACATCGCGCTTGTTCTCCGCGAAGATGAGCACCGGGGGGGCGGTCTTCTGCGGGGGGGGGGGGGGGGGGGGGGGGGGGGGGGGGGGGGGGGGGGGGAGGTGTACGGCACAGTGAGCTGGGGAGCACGGGGCAAAGGAGGTGCGCAGCCGTACTCTTTACATACTCCTTACATACCAAAAGCTAAAGCCGGTCTCAGCCAGTGCGGCGGAGCAAGCCACACCGCACGCAACCCGCTGCCGTACATGCATGCACCATGCCCATGTGCCGTACGACAGCATGCACCTGCCGTACCTGCAGGCACTCTAGCAGGTACGGCAGCTTGGCTTCCTCCTTGACGTACTCCACCTCCTGGATCACATCCATGTTGGCGGCACCTGGGGCGGGGGGGGGGGCGGGGGTGCAGGGAGGGGGGGGGGGGGGAGGCGGTAAGGGGGTGTTGTGGTCTGGAGGGGTTTGCGGGGGGATTTAGGGAGTATGCGGGGGGAAGGGTATGCGGCCTGCTCTGCCCTCGGAGGTTGGTGCTGCGTCGTTGAGGGTTCTGACGCACTCGGGCCCCCACAGAGCCCGCTCAGGGCAACCAGCCAATGCCTTGTACGTAGGCAGACACACGCCTGCGTGCGTGTGCGTGTGTGTTTTCCCCTTCCCCCTCCCCCCTCCCCCCCGGTCCTCACCCGCCCTGCCCACGTTGACCTCCACCGGGTCCACCAGCGCGCTCTCCGCGAAGGCCTTGATCTTGGCGGGCATGGTGGCGCTGAACATGAGCGTCTGGCGCTGGCCGCGGAAGAAGGAGAGGATGTCGCGCACGTCGTCCTCGAAGCCAACCTGGCAGGGGGTATTAGAGATGACAGATTCCACAGGGGGGGAGGGAAAACAAGGTATAAGAAAGAAGGCGAATTAAAGGAGAAAGGGAAGGGGGGGTGTACGTAGGGTTTACTGGAAACGGGCTGGCTGCTGTGCCAGTAGAAGATCATCAAATGTGGGGGGGAAGGAGGAGGGAAGGGCAGGGACGGATAACAGGAGAGGGTGTGGGATTGACGCGGTCGCTACCCCCCCGGCCTCCCCAGTGCCAACCAGCATGCCCCCCCTTCGTTTAGCGCGGGAGGGAGCGTTTGGCGTTCCTTCTCCCCACTTTCTCCCCCTCCCCCCTCCTCTCTCGTTAGTTGCCTCGTCAGTTTCCTACTCCCCCCCCTCCTCCTCCCCGTCCTAAAAGCCCGCCTAATGCGGAATATGTATCCCCCCTCCCCCTCCCCCACCCACCTGGTCCACCATGCGGTCCGCCTCGTCCAGGCACAGGAAGCGGCACACGTCCAGCAGCATGCGCCGCTTGTGGAGCAGGTCCTGGGGGGAGGGGGGGGGGGGGTAACAATTAGGAAAACTGATGAACTGGATGATGAGGCTTCACCATGGGAGGGAGGAGAGGAGAGAAGCGTGTGGGTTTAGGAGTGTAGGTATTCGGATTGCAAACCGTATTAGCAAGAGCAGAGCGGCACACCCCCGCCCCTCCCCCCCCCCCTCCCCCCCCCCTCCACCTCCCGCCCCCCCCCCCCCCCCCCCCCCCCCCCCCCCCCCCCCGCCCCCACCTTGAGCCGCCCTGGAGTGGCCACCACGCAGTGCACCCCCCGCCGGATGGTCTCGTACATGGGCTTGGCGTCGATGCCGCCGATACACAGCATGGCACGAACCTCGGGATAGCGGTCCGCGGTGAGGGCCTGAGGGGGGGGAGGGGGAGGGGGAGGGAGAACAAAGTGACGTGGGATTAGGTTAGGTTAGGTGTTAGGTGCCTCCTCAGGCATATCGCCTCAGCCAAGGCAAGCCCAACACACCACCCCTTCCCGACCCTGCACAGCGGTGCCCGCGACTCCTAACGCCCGCGTGCCCCCTCCCTACCCCTGCTACCCTACCCCTTCCCGCCGCCCCTAACCCCCTCCCCCCCCACCACCTTGCAGTAGGTGTCCGCGATCTCGAACGTCTGGGTGGCCAGCTCGCGGGAGGGGCAGATCACCATCCCCACCGGCCCCTCGTTCTGGGCCAGCGGCATGCGCATCTCCTCCTGGGGGGGCAGGAGTTGGGGGGAGAGAGCAGGGTGGGGGATGGGGTAGGTGGGGCGTGCGCGTGTGTGCAACCCGCTGGCGCACCCCATACCTCAAGCTACACATGCCGCCGCGAGAGACATACAAGCACAACCCCCCTTCCTCCCCCTCCCCCCCTTCCCCCACCTGCAGCGCTATGAGCACCATGGGTAGTGTGAACACCAGTGTCTTGCCTGCCAGGGGGAGGGGGCGGGGAGGGGCGGGCAGGGTGGTCAGAGGCGGGCAGGGTGGTCAGAGGCGGGTGGAGGGGCAGGGGCAGGGGAGGCAGCAGGAGCTCCCCGCAGTTACACACTGGGCTGTGTGGACGAGCGGGCAGGGAGTGCAGGGGGGAGGAAACGGGGCGCACGGCTCGTGTGAGGCAACCGCTTGGCCATACTGCCATACTGACATGCTGGTGCACCCCAAACACCCCCGTAACCCCCATTCAACACACTGGGTCTGCTCCCCTCCTCCCACCCTCCCTGGTTTCCTTACTTCTATCCCCACCCCCTCCTCCCTGGTGAAGCCTCGTGATACAGTTCGTCAATTTCCTTATTTTACCCACTCCTCCCCCCCCACCCCACCTGACCCCGTGTTCGCGATTCCGATCATGTCCCGTCCGCTCAGCGCCACCGGCAGCCCCTGCATCTGGATCTGAGTGGGCTTCTTGATGCCGCGAGCCGCCAGCACGCGCAGCACGGCAGGCGGCAGCTTCATGTCTGGGGGGTGCAGGGGGGTGGTGCAGGGAGGGGGTGCAGGAAGAGAGGAACCAATCCGGGTAATAAGAAGCCATACCGGTAAGCCAGGGGGCCAGGCAGTGGGGCCAGGAGGCTGCCGAGTACGGCCACCAAACATGTCAAGACCCCTCAAGAGTTAGCGACGTGTGCCCGGGGGGGGGGGGTAATATGGATGAAGATTCCGCATTAAGCTGGATTTTAGGATTGCGCATAGTCAATGGGGGGGGGGTGAGGGGGGACCGGTTAGCGTAGGGGGTGTGTGTTGCAAGGGGGGTGGCGGAGCAGTCCGGGGGTGGGGCTGCACACGTGTTTGCCCCCCGCACATCACCCCACCTAGCCGCACCCGGGAGCACACAGCCGACCAACCCCACCCACGGAGGGGCTCGGTCGTTGCGCCCCGCCCCCCCACCTAATGCGCCAAGTGCACCAGTTAGGATGGGGACTCCGGTTGCCTCATGCGCACTTCTCACTTACATGTCCTACCCTCCCACTGCCTCTTCCCCTCCCCCACCCGCCTCGGTTGCTTCACTTTTCAGTTATCCCCCCCCCCACCCACGCCTCCCGCCTGCCCCCCCCACCTGCAAAGCTGGGTATGGGTGGCGGGATGTTCTGTCCATCACACACGATGCGCAGCGCGTCCCGCAGCTGCTGAGCCAGCTCGGGCGGCAGGCGGCGGTAGCGCAGCGGGGGCTTCCAGCCCGTCTCCACGGAGTGAGTGTAGGTCACTCCCTTGGAGGGGGAGGGAGGGGGGGGAGGGGAGGGAGGGCGGGGGAAGTGGGCATTTGGGGCGAGAGGCGGGAAAGAGGGGCAGGGCAGGTGGTCAAGGAGCAAAGAGACCACTGCTGCAACCCCTCCGCGCGGCTCCCTGGCCCCCTCCCGCACATACAGCCCCGCCCTGCGTAACCGCCCACTCCAACCTCTGATGCCCCGTTCACTTGCCTTGCCTAGTCATCATAGCCGGCTCCCTCTCTACCCCCTCCCTCCTGCCACATGCCAACCCCCCTACGCCCCTCCCTGACCCCTGAAACCTCCTGCTTTACCCTCCCCCTCCCTCCTCCCTCTCCCTCCCCCCCCTCTCCCCCCCCTCACCGCCGCCAGCTCCTTGACCGCCTTGAGCGCCTGCTTCTGCAGCGCGTGTCGCATGATGTCCGCCTCCTCCTCCAGCAGCGCAGCGGCCTCGGAGGAGGGGCCGCCGGGGGGGGCGTCCTTGCGGGTCCTGGGGGAGGGGGGAGGGGAGGAGGAGGGGAGGGGGGGGAGGGGGGGAGATGAGGCACGTGGCGGCGAGGGGGGTGGGCTAGGTGCCGGTGCCGGTACAAGCTGCAGAACGGTACTGCAGCTGGGGCTCTCCTGCCCCCACACCCACCCACCCACCCCGCTACCCCTCCATCGCACACCACGCCTCTCCACCGCCACCTGCGGGCAAGCATGCCCCCCTCCCCCTGCCCATCTCCCAACCCCCACCTTCCCACTTGCTTCCTCCTCTATTCCCCTCCCTCTCCCCCTTGTTGCAACCCATGTTGACGCCTTATCCCTCAGTCAGTTAGTTGTTTCCTCTTCACCCCTCCCCCGCCCCCCTCCCCCGCCTGCCTAACCCCACCTCGCCGTCACCACCAGCAGGCTCTCCTTGGGTCGCTCCCCCGGCGGCGGCTCGCTGCCCGACCTGTCGCCGCCCCCGCACCCCGCCTCGGCGCTGCCCTCGCGACCGCCCTGGGGGCAGGGAGGGGGGGAGAGGGGGGAGAGAGAGGGGGGCATGGAGTGCATGGGCAAGGTCGCAGAGGGGCAGATGAGGGGTAGGAAGGGGCGTGGGTGCATGGGGTGGGGTGAGGGGGAGGGGAGGCGAATTGGGCCTAGCGCGGGTGGCGGCGGGGGGGAAAGGAGACATGGGTGGGGAGGCGCGGGGTTCCGCAGCTGCACGGCGGCGGCCCCGGGCACACGGGGCGGCTCCGAGAGCGCCACCCGGCGCCCTCTCCTCCCCCCCTCCCCCCTACCAGCACCCTTCCTCCCCCGCAGTCTCAGTCCGCAGACCCTCGCACCTTCCAGCATGCCTCCTCCTCACCGCCCCGGCATTACCGGTATACTGATCGCATACCCCTCGCTCCTGCTCCTGTTTCCGTCCCTGTTCCCCCAACCCCAACCCCCATCATGCACCCCCCCTCCCTCCGCCAACCCGCCCAGCCACACCCACCCCTACCCGCAGCAGGTGCACCAGCCGGGACTCCTCCATCTCCCTCCGCTTGCGCAGCGGCACATACTCCTCAGCGCTGCGGCAGGACGCAGAAGGAAACAGGGAAGCGGAGGACGGGGTTTAGGGGCGCCAGTCAGTATGGAAAGGCGGTAAGGGAGAAGGATTCGGGGACGCGAGTTCAGCGGAAGTTTACACGCATGCCCACCAATGCCACACGCGCCCTGAGCGGCTAGCCGCAAACGAAAGGTATTACAGCAGCCAACCCTCTGACTACTAGATAAGCAACCCTACAGAAAAACTAAGCCACGAGCGTCCTCGCGCCTTTCAACGTGGCAGCAACCAACTCCTACCCGTCATCGTCGCCGTCTTCAGATAAAAGAAGGTTGTTTTCCTCCTTATCTAACTCCTCGCGACGGTAACGTTTTACTGGCCGCTCTGCTGCCGTTGCTGCTTGCAAATCTCCTCGCGCATCTCCATCCTGTACCGTCGACTGCTGCTGGTTCAGATGGCGATCCTGGTCCTGCTGCTGGTTGCCTCCGTCCGCCTCCTCTAAAGCCATGCTGACTTAGGCTTGGCGACCCGGAGGCCAGCCGGGTGGCAATAGCCGACGTTGCACAAGCTAGGCTTAGCAAATGTAACAATATCTTAAGTGATATACTACAGGTGCAATTCCGGATTGGTTAGGCTTGGATACTATTTCGACAAAGCAATTTCTCAGCAAATGCGCAAGTCTGGTCAAGCCTAAGCAAGGACAACGGCTTTGGATGCACCTATATTTGCGAAGAATTTCCTCTGAAAGGCTCAATGGCATAAGCAGCGCTGATCGCAATGCCATGCATGTCGTTAATACGGCGAGCACCAACTGCCGGCATGACATCACAGTCGCCCGGTGCACTCTTTATCCGCTGTTCGTACCCCTCCTTGCTGGCACACCGTGTAGGTGTCCCTGTTAGGCGCGTGCAATGCATGTGCAACCCCAACTAAACGTCTATGTCTACCCATATTGTAGTCCTCAACCGCCCTCCAGCCATACATGCATGTGCAGATCCCTTTTCCATTGTTGGGGCGGGCTGGACCCCAGCTGGCGGGATGCTCTTGACTGGTGATGGTAAGGGGACACGTGATCCCCTCCTGCAATGTAACCCCGTACATCTTGTATGACGGCGGTCACGGTTCACCCGAACCTATTTCGCCAGCCACATCCTTTTCCAAAGTTTGTGGCTTGCAACTCGCACTGCTGAAGGTAACTTGAGAAAACGAATCTTGACATGCATTGGCAAATAGGTGGGACCTACCACCTCCGCGAAATCTGTACTACGTCAGCCTTGCCGTACACGCATTTCCTGCTTGTCTGGGCAGGAACCCATACACATCCACACCAGTACCGTTCAGGCCCTGCCGTACACGCACCTCCTGCATGCTTGCCGCGCGTGGGCACCAAAAGAACTGCTCGGCAGCTTAACACGAGTGGTTTGCTGTATGTATGTGTCTAGAATGAAATCCCCTTTGGTAATCACACCTACACCCTGAACCCCTCAGTCATCTGTCAAGTCAATCACCTCACTCCACGCTTTCCCTGCTGCTGCTCCTCCCCCACCTCCCCCGCTTCTTCCTCCCCCGACCCCACCTCCTCCTCCACATCCACCAGCCCCTGCCGGCTGCACTCTTTGCGGCTGCTGCTGCTGCTGGGAACTGCTGCCCGGTGCCCGCTGCGGCTGCGGCTGCGATGGCGGCAGCAGCGGCTGTTCCTGCTGCTGCTGCTGCTGTGGCGGCGGCGGCAATCCTATCTCAGGCTTCCCACCCACATGCGGCTGCCTCTGCTGTGGTGGCCTCCGCTGCTGCGGCTGCCGCTGCGGCTGCATGCGAGCCAGAGCCGCCGCCGCAGCGGCCGCCGCCATGGCGCTACGGGGCTGCAGCGCTCCAGCCTGGAGGTCGGGGTGCGGGGCGGGTGCGGGCTGGGAGGGCTGCTGAGGACACTGGTTGGGTGCGGCCCCTCGGGGCACTGCTGGTGCGAATGTGGTGGGCGGGGGCGGCTGAGGGGGGGGTGGCGGCAGTAGCTCCCCGGTGGGCTGGTGAGGCGGCCGGGGTGGAGGCCGCTGCTGGGCTAGTGGCTGCTGTCGTTGTTGCTGAGGTGGTGGCAGGCACTGCTGCACAGCAGGACCGGCTGCAGACCCCCCCTCCACACCTGCCGGCTCCTCCTCCCCTTCCTTCCAACCACCCGCCACCGCATCCTCCTCCTCCTCATCCTCATCCTCATCCCCCCCAGTCAGGTCAATCACGCCCTCCTCTATCCGCCGAACCAGCTCCGCCTCCACCTCCTCCACCTTGACCACCGGGACGTGCGACCCAGCACCAGAGGCAGCAGGGGCACCAGAGGCAGCAGGGGCAGCAGGGGCAGCAGGGGCAGCACTAGCAGTGCGAGCCTCCTGGCCCCCAACCTCAACCCCACCGCCTCGCCTTTTGTCCTCCTTCCTCCCCTCCCCGCTTCCCCCACCTGCCCCCCTTGCTGCTGCCCCCTCCCGCCCCTCCCTTCCTGTCCCCGCTGCCACTGCCTCCCTCCGTGCCGCCGCCCCCCTCGCCCGCTCCACCTCCCGCTCCAGCGCCCCCCGCAGCGCCTCGCAGGGGCACCAGCGGTTGTCCGCGCACCGCCGCTCCGCAGCCGCAGCGGCGGCGGCAGCGGGGGTGGCGTAGCGGCGCTGCAGCGCACCCCCACCCCCCTCCCCCTCCCCTGCGTGCCCCAGGCGCCGGGGTCCGGGGGGCATGAGGCGCTGCCGCTTGGCCCGCTCCTCCGCCGCCTGGAGGGGGGAAGAGGGTGAAGGGTACGGGAGGAAGAAGGAAGGGTGAGGCTCAGGAAGGTGGGGCGGAGGAACTTCTGCGCTGTTTGGGTAGACTCGCCAAAGGGAGCAGGTCGGAGGTAAGGGCGGGGACAGCAGGTGCCGAGGCGGCGGCCAAGGGCGAAGCAGCGGGCGGCGGCCGCAGCAGGAGTGACACATCGGGTACCTGGGGGACGGAGCTCCGGCATGCATCGGGTGGCGTTACCCGGCTGCTCGCACACCCCTCCCGGGCCTCCTGTCTTCCTAAACGATAAAGCAACCTCCAAACACGTTTCCCTAGCCAACCCTTACCCCTTACCCCCCTCCCCAGACGTTGATTACAATACTTCGAAGTCTGGAACACCATCAAGATATTTCCGGTAATCTACGGTCAGGGTCAGTGTTTCCGCGGCTCAGTTTATCTAATTCCCCACGCACCCTCAGCGCCGCCTCCCTGGCCCTGCCCGGCGGCGGGTTGTGGCGCCCCCCCAGTCGGCCGCAGGAGGGCCCGTCGAAGCCCACCCCTGTGCCGCCCACCCCCGCCGCCAGCAGCTCCTCGCACTCGCCGCTCAGCTCGTCCAAAAGGGAGTAGAAGGAGCTGGGCGGGGCGGGGGGGAGAGGAGGGGAGGGGAGGGAGGGGGGGCTAACCGACGAAGAAGAAACCAAAAAGTCATGCAGGCCACCCCACTACCCCTCTTGCCCTCCTCGGCCAACATGCATCACTTCATGCGCGGCCTCAACACTACACTTCCCGCCCCCCTTCCCTCCCCCCCACCTCCCTGCCTCCCCCCCCGCTCACCGGTCATGCGGCCCCCTCACGTTGTGCACCAGCTCATGCAGCATGGTTCCCAGCAGCGACTCGTACGGCAGGAAGGAATCCGGATCTCGAGCGGGACGCAGCCGTACTGTAATGCCGCCGTTGTTGTTGTTGTCGTAACGGGCCGTCGCGTGCATGGCCGCATTGAGGCGGGCGGGGGGAGAAAAAATTTAGTTAGTTATATTCTTCAGGGTGGCGAGGGGGAGCGGGTAGCAGACTATATTAGCGAGTGCTGATGCGGATCCTTCTTAGCCCCCTCTTTTTCTGTCCCCTGCATTGCGCATGTGGTACACTGTCGGACAATGTGTCCCACCCGCCCTCCACTTCTTGTCCCTCCTCGCATCGCCCCGCTCCCCACTCTCTATTCCCCGCTCAGCCGCCTCGGCAGCTGCTCTGCTCCCTCGCCCCGCCCTCATCCCCACCCCACCCACCCCACATGCTCCCACACCTCTGAACACATACACACCACACCACCCGCCCCACCCTTAATCTCCCGGGTGCGGCCGCCGCCCCCGCCGATGTTGAGCCCCAGCAGGTTGGGGTTGGCCTGCCATGCGCGCCGAGGGGGGCCAAGTGGGCGGGTGGAAGGGTGCAGCGAGGTAGGAGGTGGGAGGGAATGGACACAGACAAACCAATCGAATGTTAACAGGTGAGGGAGGCGGGAGGGGGAAATGCGGATAGGATTGGAAGGATGAGGGTGGGAAGTGGGAGGATACGCTGCAGGAGGGGAGATGCATGGCCCTTTCAAGCGGGTTTATAAGGCCCTTTCAGGCGGGAGCCACGAAACCCTGGCCCAGCCCGCAGCAGTGCAAGAGTGTTCATACCCCGTGACAGCCCCAACGTGTCAAACGACCACCGGTAGCCAACCGCCCAACCACCGCACCGGAAAGAACTCGGACAGCAGCGGTACCCGCCACTCGCGGCGCCGCATGAGGGGCTGCACCTGCTGGGTGGGGCGGTGGGTGGGGAGAGCACGATAACGTTCCCTGGGCTCTTAACATGGCGGAGGGGCTGATTACAAGCAAAGGAGTCGGAATGTACTGCTCTATGTTACTGACAAGCAACATGCAGGGGAAGGTCGACGAGCTAATAGGGACATCATGGAGCCATAGCGCAAGCGTATAGGGGAGGAAGGGTTAGGGTACGGTAGGGAACGGGGTGAAACCAAGCCAATACCAAAGTGTATGGCGCTAAGGGATGAAATAGAAACGGCCTTGCAACAGTCCAGGTTTGGGCTCCTGTTGCTATTCGTAAAGTACCGTATAATGCTGCATTCGAACCTGGTAGGCAATTTTCGCCAGCAGCTCCTTCGCCTCATTATCACGGGGTTTGCCAATAGTTTTAATCTCATGAACCTTAAAGTCCGCCTTTGCGTCATAGCGAGCCATCGGGCACTCCTAATGCTATGGCAACAGCCAGCTGTTGTAGTGCAGCCTAGGCTGCAACTTAAAGCATAAAGGTTACATGGTAGAGCTGTAGGCAACGTTACAGAGTATTAATACGTTCTTTGTGTGTCGCCAATGTGCCTTAAAGTATTAAGCAAGCTGTTCACGCTTATGTTGGGCTGCGCTTTTGGTGGTTTTTGCTAGTCTTGCAGAGTATTCAGCACAAAAGGGATCATATCTTTGCTTTCCAGCAAGGTAGGGGGTACGCTATGCTACATGTGTAGCCATCAACCGTGCGCAAGACGTACGGCAAAATAGCATCGGTTAAACTTGCTGACTCCGTGGGATAAAGTGGGTCGGTAAAAGCGGAATATCCCCAAAACGCGACGGGGAAGGTAGCTGCGCTGACGGTTACATGCCACTAGGAGACGCCAGGCATTACCCATGGACGTCACGTTGCAGAACCAGGCTCCTCCGCACGACAGGAGCCCCCGGTCATCCTGCACTGCCAGGCCAAAGAAGCATCTCCGTCAGTACAACCCATTGCACGCAGCTGAAGGTCCGGTAATGACTCCCGCCCCAAGCATAGAGCGCTCACGCAAATGTCCTTGACACGAACTACCGAACCCGCAGATAACAGCACGCAAGGAGTAGAACTAAGCGACGACCAACCAACACCGAACTCCGACAAACATCAGCCTTCCTAGTAGCTCCTTTGTCTTTTACTCGACGACTTTCTCCATCCTCCCCTTAGGCAACCTACTTCTAGATGCCACCACATGCCACTCCCGATATTCCATCACCCCATGACTGCCCCCATGACTCTTAAGGACAGCACATCACCATCCAGCTAGAAGCCAGCGACGCGCCGTCCTACACCCTTCGAGTGGAGTCGAGCGGGGGAGTTGGCTGGGCCAACGCAGCGGCTACACGGCGGGGCACCACCATGCTTATCCCACGCCCGAGTCCTCCCTCTCCTCCGCTGCTCTTCCTCCGCTCCGCTCCACCCATGTAGGGGCTTTCCTCCAGCTAAGCCTGTGCTGCGTCGCCTCCTCCGCCTCCCCTTGCTCCCCCATGCCGCCTATCCAACTCTGCCCTGAGTCCAACACTTTGCAGCCCCGCTTTACTTCTTGGGCTCCACAATGGGGAAGGCCGCCTCGAAGGCAGCCTGCTTGTCGCGGCAGCGGGAGAAGCGCAGTCTGAGGGGGGTAAGGGCGGGAGGGGCGGGACGCGGGGAGAGTGGGGGATGAGGGTGGAGAGAAGGGGGAAGACTGGATTGAAGGTTTGGGGGACGGAGGGAGGTAACTTAAGCAGACGAAATGGAGAGGGAGCGGAATGAACGGCCCCGGTAAGCATGGAGGACCCCTTCCCTGAGACAACGGCCTCGGTGCAGGTATGATAAGATGCGTGCGACTCATGGCTTATACGTTTATGCAGTGGTTGGTACCAATCTTTGGTGCCTACAACAGTGTTCGCCTGCAAGGCAAAGAAGCCTAGCATGCGATGGTGCCCGCGCTAGCCAACCGGCCTAGCAAACTTACCCGTACCAATCCAGGCATTGGGCATACTCCTTGAACTCGGTAGGCGACTTCTCCATGATCTCCTTGTAGCTGCGTCCAGCAAAAGGGCATCGGCGTGACAATCAGAAACAGCTGACCGCCCTTGCATCCGATAAAACATTTAATCTACAGAATGTAATACCGATGCCGGATGGATCATGCACAAGATAGGGCATGTACGCCGCCCAGAGCAAATACGCCATGCCTCCCTCCCGTTTCTGCTCACAGCTTGTTGGTCGCCCGCACCAGGGCCTCAGACTCTGGCTTGCAGTCCTCCGGCCAGTCGTGCTTGCCCTTGCACTCGACGGCTGCTTTGTGCTCCTTCTCGGCACGGAACACAATGTGCCGGCTCATAGCGTACAGCTCATGAGAGTAAGGAACGCGCACCGTAGAGGACGACATTGTATCTGACAGTGTTTCCTAGCAAAGCGTCTGGAAAGGAAGTCAGTCCAGTAATATAGGTGCTTTGCGCAGACAAAGGCTATGTCTTGGCACAACTGTACTAAGGTACACAACGCACGCCCAAGCTACCAGAGCTTGAAGAAGCGGTTAAGTTTGGGGCGAGGCTGTTGGTAGCATTTTGTACGGCATTGCCAGTGTACACTACCACACAAGAACAGGGCTGGATGTTCATATGCTTTGTCAGGACATACAGTACTTTGGCAGGGTGCATGTTGGCATATAATCATGGCTTGCGTATGATTTGCAACACACACAACGCCAGCCATGGTTGTCATGCCATCGTTGTTGTTGCTCTTGCTTGTTAGGCTCCGGGGTCCATCCTATTATGAACATAAATGCAATGTGATCAGATTTGGTGCTTCTCGCATCACCTGCAATTGCTGCCATGCCTAGCATACCAAGTGAACACACCGCACCCGGAGAGCTGGCAGACTAGGCACCTTCGCCTGTGGCTGAGGTGGAACGCCGAGGAAACATGCCCGAGGAGGTTTGGCATGGCTGATATTGAGCACTTGGAGATTCAGAGCTGGCGCTAGTTGGTGTATGGTGCCAGGGGAAGCAGCGGCGCACGGCGGTAAGCATCATCGGGGACAGGCGCGCCCTGCTACACGGGATGCAGGCCACGTGAAACCAGTGTTGCCAGCTGGTGCGCTGCCGCTGCTTCCTGGCTGGCCCACCGGCTGCCAGGCGGGGTCAGGCAGGAAGGGTGGCGCTGTGGTGGCTGCATGTGCTGCCAGGCATACAGGGCTCCATCCCAACCCGGCAGCCAGTCAGCGGTACCGGGTACTGCCGTACACCGGCGCACCAGTGGCGCCTGACGGCATGCGGGTGCGCGGGTGTTGCAGTGGCGCCTGACAGCATGCGGGGGGTCGTGTGTTGTGTACGTGGACGGCATGTGCACGAAACGAGCTCGTTCCAACCACCAACAGCCGTAAACAAAGGTGGTTACAGAATCACGAACCCCCAGGCAAGGGGTGGCAAGGGGTGCCTCTCATCACAGCAGCACCCACAGAGCAGTTGAACCTGGAACACCGACACCAACAACGACCCACCTAACGACCTCCCAGAGCACTAAAACTGGGTACGATGCACCACTAACGACCTACACTAACGACCGTTGTCAACTAGCACCGCCATAAACAGCGCCCCTCCTTTCTATATTCCCTTTTTTTCTGCAAGCTTTTCACTGCTAGCATGATTCGACATACGGGGTTGCATACATCATATACTTGAACAAAGCATCTGCCTTGACATAGCAACGCACACACATGCAGGCCAGTTTTCTCAACACACACAAACATCATTAGCATCAACATGGGCTTTGAGTAAAGGTCGAGGTTTATAAACATGCGGGGACTCTCATCCGGAGGGGGCGACACGCCAAACGCGCCTGGAGGTCAGCCAATGCATTGAAGGTCATGGAGTCAACCTCACGACCGTCTCCCGCAGCCCCGTACCCGAACCGTCATAACCTAACGTCGTCCACGCACGCATCTAAGCTTCAGTACACATTACGCACGGGGATAGGGTAAAACGCTTTGAGCAGGTGAAGATCTTCGATCTGTGTCATGCTATACCCGGCGTCTATATGGCCCTTGTCCGCATCACAGCGTGCTGTCAGTTCCTGGCAGGCCATCAGCCCTCCCTCCCAACAAAACCCGACGCCACCCGAGACAGCCAATGCTCCTCTATCTCGCAGTTTGCGACTAGTTCACGGACCCGCACCATCAAGGTCGGTGTCAGCTATGCGGCCAGCTGCCGGCAGTTGCCACACAGGCTGCACACCCCAGCCCCATGCCACATCCCGTCACATCGACTGCGCCTCGTCTCCCTCACTGTCCCCTCCTCCGCTGCCTCCACCGCCTCTCTGTCACTCCACAGGGTCATCCCTTCTTACCCTCACTCCTAGACGGCTTTGTCCCCTCTGTACTCCCCCTCACCCCTCCTTCCTCCCCCTCTCCCTTCCCCGCCTCCGCCGGCTCCATCCCCAGCAGCCCGCACGGACTCACCGGCAGCTGCGACCGCCACTCCCACTCCGCCACCCGCCCCTCCCCTTGCGCTGCTTCCGCCGGCCTCTCTAGCTGGGGCGGCCTGCTCAGCCCCCGCTCGTCCTGCCACCCCTCCGGCCAGGCTGCCAGCCCCAGCCCCCGCGCCGCCCCCAGGAAAAGCTGGTCCAGTGCCGCCAGGCTGCTGCCGAAGCGGTACCAGCGCAGGTCGGGCGTCTGGCGGGGCAGCAGGCGGGCGGGCAGGTCGGGCGCCAGCGGGCAGGCAGAGAGGTTGAAGGAGCCCTTGCGAGCCAGCCGCTCAGAGCTCCAGACGTGCACCTGCATGCGCGGGGGAGAGGGGGAAAATTTCAATAAGTGGAAAAACGAGGGGAAAGGGGGGGGGTGAGAGGTACAGGGGTGAGGGGAGGGAGATGATGTGTATGGGGCGCCCCTCCTGTGCCTACAAGTGCTCCTCCACAGCCCCCACACGCACCACCCACCTGCATGCGCGCCCCCACCAGCCCACCAGCCCACCAGACGCATCTAACGACCCCTCCCTCCTCTCAAACCCCCCCCCCCTCACCTCCGCCAGCGTCACGTTCCATCCCAGTCCGCCTCGCATCAGCCGGTCCGCCCCCCCTCCCCCCTCTCCTCCTCCTCCCGCCTCCCCCCCTCCCGCCCCTCCCGGTGCACTGAGGTCCAGCACCAGGTCGTACTGCGCCAGCAGCGACTGAGCGACCGACACGGCGTCGGGCGGCAGACCCGTCCACAGGGGCGAGTGGAAGGCGGATTCGCCCAGCAGGGTGCTGTGCAGGGGGGAGGAGGGGGGAGGAGAGTTGGAGGAGTTGGAAGCCGGGGCTCACCGGGAAGGTAGCGGGCGGCAGAGGCAGAACGGGAGGAAGGGGGCCGGGGGAGCGGTTGGGAGGGCAGGCAAGGAATCGCCATAGGGTGTTCTTGGCGGCCCCACCTCCCATGCCCCACCCCATGCCCCACCTCCCATCCCCCACCTCCCATCCCCACCTCCCATCCCCCACCTCCCATCCCCACCTCCCATCCCCCACCTCCCATCCCCACCTCCCATCCCCACCTCCCATCCCCCACCTCCCATCCCCCACCTCCCATCCCCCACCTCCCATCCCCACCTCCCATCCCCCACCTCCCATCCCCCACCTCCCATCCCCCACCTCCCATCCCCCACCTCCCATCCCCCACCTCCCATCCCCACCTCCCATGCCCCACCCCATGCCCGAGCCTTGCCATGCAGCTCGTCAGTTGCCTCATTTACCCACATCCCTAACCCGCCCCCACCCCCACCCCCATGCCCCCATCCCCACCCCTAACCCCACCTCACTCCACGCACCCCATGCCCCCACCCCCACTACAGCACGCACCGCACGTTGTAGTTGTCCACCACGGGCGGCGCCACCGCCTGCCAGCGCTCCAGGGGGGCGGGCGGCTCGCAGAAGGCGGCGGTGAAGGCTGCCTGCTGCCCGGGCGTGCGGAAGAGCAGGCGGCGCGACTGGATGAGCATGTACTTGAGGTTGCTCAGCAGCCGAGACAGCGGCTCCCTGGGGGGGGGCGGTAGGGGGGTTAGGGGGGGCAGAGACCACACCAAACCATGGGAAATCACAAGGAGGACTAGGGGAGACTAGGGGAGGGGAGAGGGAAGGCACGACTGCTGGCCCGGCTGTAAAGGCGGCGGGGCGGTCAAGTCATGGAGAGAGGCGGAGAGTCCCCCCCCCCGCGAGCTGCTCCAACCCCACCAGCAGGCACCCAGGACCCACCCACCACCCACCACCCGCACCCCCTACCCCTCGCATTGGGTATTCTCCTCCTCACCCCTCTCACCGTATGCTGATCACGTTGACAAACTGCGGGCAGATGTGGGTGCCGTACATGTCGTACAGCCCCCCATGTAAGGTGTACTCATTGGAGATGTACTGGAAGCCGCGAGCCAGGGCGTACGACAGCCGCTTGCTGCAATCGCGCATCTCGGACCGCCGCTCCACGATACCGTAACGAGAGCAAACCCTGGAAGATCGCCGTACGGGGGACATTTTTCATGAATAGATGTTACCAACAGGACCAAACGAGTATTTGACGGCATGCGATGTGATGTACGGCGCATGAGCCATGTACGGCGCAGGCAGCACGTGGCGACTTTGGGAAACCGTTCGAGACGGGTGTCTTGCCGCTGTTGCACACCCCCACTTGTGCAACAGCCCGAACAACCGCTGCCCTGGTTCTGTGAGGGGGAAAGGGACCCTCCACTGTGCCTCCCCTTCCTGCAACCCTCCCTCCCTTCCTCACGGCCCCCTCCCCCAACGCATGGCCTTCCTCCCCCCCTCCCCCCCCCTCTCACTTGACCCTGGTGTTGGCCCCCAGCTGCCGCAGCACGGTGCGGTTGGTCCAGCGGCAGTCGTCGTCGAACTGCGTCACCCGGGCCGCGTTCATGCGCGGGCGCCGGCAGCCCGTGTCGCCTGCAGCGGAGGAGGGGGGCGGGCGGGGTCTAAGTGGGTGGGGGCGGGTGGGGTGTACGAGGGTGTACGGGGGTGGGGGTGGGTGGGGTGTGAGGGCACAATGCGATGGTGGTCGCAGGGATACCGCACACTTGGCTTGCCGGGGGGGAGGGTCGCGGGGAGGATACCATCCGGGGGAGTTATCCACTCCTCCGCTCTCACCCAACCCCAACCCCTCTACCCCCCCTCACGTGCTGCCGCCGTCCAGCTGGTTCCCCCCGCCTTGGAGATGTGGAAGTACTCCATCACGGACCGCTGTACGACAGATTCCATATGCACCTCGTACAACTGGGGGGTGGGGGGGAATGCAATAGGAGGCATGTGGGGTGGGTGTCAGTGGGGGGGTGGGGGCGGTTCGAGCCCTCCTCGCCACCCACCTCAGGAGCACAGCCCAACACTCCTCGAAACCAGCTGCCATGCAGCCTACCCAACTCCCAACACAGTGCCTTACCCCCCTCTCCCGCTCGCCCCCCCTCCCTCCCGCACCTTCTTCACCAGCTGCACCAGCAGCCTCGCCCCCTCGCCAGCACCCTCTCCCCCGCCTCCTCCGCCTGCTGCCGCTCCTTCCGACCCCTGCTCCCGCCCCTCCTCCTGCCGCTGCCCCTCCCCTTCCGCAGCCGGCAGCTGCCTGCCCAGCCCCCCCAGCCAGCCCAGCAGCAGTTGGGACAGCAGCACCCGACGAACCAGCGGCAACCCGCCCCCGGCAGCAACCACCGCAGCAGCCGCAATATCAGCAGCGGTGGTGGGGGTGGAGGAGGAGGCCGCAGCGGAGGAGGAGGCCGCAGCGGAGGCGGAGGTGGAGGGGCGAGGCAGGCGGGCGGCTGATGCCGAGGTCTTAGAGCGGGCAGCAGCAGCAGCAGCAGCACTCAGTAACCGGCGAGGTTTCCCTCCCAGATGTTGCTGCTGCCCTCCGGGCTCGTGTACAGCTCCCTCCTTGCCTATTCCCTTGCCTACCCCATCCGCAACTCTTCGTCTTCCCTCGGCTTCCGCACCGCCTCTACCGCTGCCGCTTGCTCTCCTCCCCGGGGTGCTGCTGTCACCGCGGCTGCCGCGGCTGCGGGAGCTGCTGCTGCTGCCACTAGCCCAATCGGAGGCGGGGTCTGCGCCCAACCGCCGTCTAGCCTCATCCCCTCCCTCCTCGCTCTCGGCCTCCCCCTCATCGTCATCATAGTCTTCGTCGTCGTCGCCCGCCTCCTCTTCCTCTGCCGCCGCCGCTGCCGCCTCCTGCTGCACAGCCTGCCTGGCCCCCCGCACCGCTGCCCGGCTGCGCGTCTGGTGGCGGTGGTGGTCGGAGAGGAGTGCGAGGGCCGCGGAGGCCCACTCGCGCAGCTGCTGCGGCGAGCTGGGGCCGCGCGGGTAGAGGTGCAGCGTGGCGAACAGGAAGGCCGCGGTGCCGCCGTGAAGCAGCTCGGCAGCAGGGTGGCGACGGTGTGGGGCGCAGCCGGAAGAGTTGCGTGCGGTGCAGTCAGGGCTGCTGATGCCTTGGTGCGCATGGAGCAGCTGTCGTGTAACTTCCAGGACTTCGAGAAGCCGGGACACCAGCTCTTGTTCTTGTATTGCTGTTAATCGCGTGGTGTCTATCCTGGCTGTTGTGGTCGCGTTTGCTCTTTTGGAGCTGTTGTGCAGCTGATGGTGGTTTCCGGTAGTTAAGTTCCATTCCGCAAGGCTTTGGTGTAAGACCGCTTGCAGAATGAAGCTTTGAGAAGATGCGGTCGGTGCTACAGTGGACGCCTCGTTGTTGCCCAACGGTACTGAACCCAGTTCAATGGCCCAAGCCCACCGTCGAGGATGGAAGTCAACAGCTGTCAACAACAGCAGAAAAAGCAAGCAAGATTTTGAACGAAAACGAATTGACGTAATAACCATTGATAGCGGCTGTGGCTTTCAAAGTCGCCAATGTGTCGCAGTCGTGCGTGCCGCTAGCGCGCACGCAAGACGTTGACGGAGTATAATTTACCAGCAGGTTCAAAGTTAGGCCAGAATCCATGCCATGTATGGAGTCTTGACGAACGAAACGTAGTAAAGCGAAGGCTTGACAAGAAGATAATCGGACAGCGTGTTGTGAAGATGGGTTGTATTGACGTTTCATCATGAACTTCCTGAATATGTGGCTCCCTATGGGAGCTATCACTGTGGACTGACATTGCTGCCGCCTGTCAGACTGTACCCGTCTCTGCAACAAGGTGGGCTGCATGAAAGATGCGAGCTTCCTACCCTGATCTACACAATATAACAACATGTATTCCTTATGTGACTGTCTTTGCACTTTGAGTTTTCACATAAGACTGTAGGCAGCAGCATTGTACCGGTACGTTCTGGTTGGTTGCCGCCCCAAGCCCAGCTTTCTCGACTAGCATATCGCCTAAACAGCGAATGCCTGCTTGGGAGATGCTGCATGTTGCCTTTTCCTAGCTTTAAGCTTTGTACAAGCTGTCTTAGGCAATGCCGGACGCCCGTGGCTACGGCCACACGGATGTCTTGAAGCGTCGTACACCTAGCCTCTTCCTCAGTTCATTCGCCCCCTATTAAGAGTTCTGCATGCCGTGCCGTGCCGTCATTCCATCTAGCACCCTGTCTTGGGCGTACTACAGCCCAGCCATTGCGACACAGCTTCCCAGGCGACACTGTAACATCACCTTACCGCGGGATTCCCTTACAACTGCACATAAGGTCTGCATGCGTGAAGCGCAATGGCTCTAAAAGTCTAAATGACCGTGGAAACACACCGAGGGCAGCTCTCCAAGCAGTCGCTTCCCACCCGCCAACACAGCAGCCAGCAGAAGCAGCGGCAGCAGTAGCCCCCCGCCTCCCAGTGGGGCGGCAAGCGCCGCCCTGCCGCCCCTGGACTGGCTGCCCTGCTAGGATCCTCACCGCTGGCGACCCACGGGTCCGTTGGCCCCTTTGACTTAGCAGCTGTGGGTGAAGCCTCTCCTGCTTAACAACACCACCTTACACAGGGAGTCGCAAAGGACACGGTTACCGCAGTTGTGTGATTATGGCCAGGGTTACATCTCAGGAGCAGGGCCAGGGAGTTGCTGTACGTGCCAGCAGCGCTGTAGCTGGCACGGCTGCCAACATGTGCCGGCCGTACCCCTACCGCATCCCAATATGCCCTCGCACCCTCCTCTAGCTCCTCCTTTCCCGCCCCAACCTCCGACCCGCCGATCACCATCTCTGACCCCCCCGCTCCCCGCCCCCAGCAGTAAGCACGCGGGCGGGGGCGCCCCCTCCGCTCCCCCTCACACCGCCGCCGGCCCCACCACCGAGGCCCCACCCGCACCCCCTGCCCCCACCAACCCACCCCCCGCCCCGCCCCCTGCTGCTGCCGCACCGGCCGGCGGGAAGTTCATGCCCGCGGTGAGGGCGGACATGAAGGCAGCGGAGTTCAGGATGGAGGTGCCGCCCAGAACGACCCGTGGGACGGCGCCGCCGCCACCAGCGCCGCCGACCATGCCACCCACGCCCGCCCCGCCCAGTCCCCCACCCGACATGGCCCCGCCTGCTGCCCCCCCTCCGCCTGCTGCCGCTGCGGCTCGCTCGTTCATCTCTGCGACCGTCTTGACCTCCTCGTAGGTGGTGCCGCCCAGGATGAAGACGATGACCTGGCGGGGCGGGAGGTGGGGTGGGGTGGGGCGGGGTGGTGGGCAGGAGGGGCTGGGTAGGTTAGGGTTGGCGTTGGGGAATAGGGCGGATGTGGTGGGGGTAGTGCATGCGGGTGCAAGGGTAACGCCACACCATAACCTCAACCCCCTCTCCCTCCCCTTCCTCCCCCTCTCACCTCCCGTGGTGGCGCCCTCTTCGCATTGGCCGCCAGTGCCGCCGCCTCCGCGGCACTGCACTCCGGGAGGGCAGGGTGGGGGTGTCAGACAGGGACGGGTTGGCGGTGAGGTGCGAGCCCACTGAGCCGCGGTGAAGGGGGAGGGGGAGGGGTGTGTGCTTACACGACCGGGAGCGTGCTGGGTAAGCTGGACGCAGCCCAGGCAGGGGGACACACGGGAGGGGCAGGGTGGGGTGTGAAGGGCGCCGTGCCGCACATGGCGCCTGTGCACGCATCCTTGCCCCTTAGCCTCCCCTCCTCCCTTCCGTCCCATCCATTTTGGCCCCCCCTTCCCCCCCCACCTCGCCGCCATGTAGGGGTAGGCTGCGGGGTCCAGCCTGTCTGCCGCCAGCTCCGCCACCGTCTCACTCAGCAGCGGCGTGTGCTGGGTGTACACGTTGTCAACACCCTGGGGGGGTGAGGGGGGTGAGAGGAGGGGGGGGGGTGAGGGGGGGAGGCTGGGTATGCTGCTGCGGAGAGGGAGTAAGGGCCGGTCTACCGGGGGGGAGCAGAGGGTGCGGCGGTGTCAGGGAGTGCGTGAAAGCAGCGGGCGAGTGCTGCTGGACACTCGTTCGTGCACTCTCTGACACCGCCCACCCACTCGCGAACCCCCCTCCCCTCCCCACCCCACCCTCCCCTCCCCCACCTGCAGCCCCTTGAACACGTTGCGGGCCTTGTTGAGCAGGTTGCGGCTGCCGTACAGGTCCCCGGCGCGGCGGGAGGAGCTGCCGTACCGCAGCACCGCCTCCGCGGCCGCGTACAAGCGGGGCTCCCTGCGAGATGGGGGGGGCAGGGTTGTGAAGTTGTTAGGGAACGGACTAACCAAGGCTGCGGGAGTCCAGGTGAAAGAATATAATGAGACACTGACGAAGCAACTGACGAGCTGTATGACAAGGCTTCACCATGGGGTCCGGGTGGGGGGCTGGGATAGTACCATCGTGCCAGGTATAGGCGTCAGATCAGTGCGGAGGACGGGAGGGGAGGGAGCAACACCATGATGGAAGTGGCTTCAACCACACTCCCCTCCACCCGACAAACTCAATGTCATTCACCAGGAGCTTGTGGTCGTTTTCAGATTCTTCATTCAAAACATTCGGTATTTTTTTTCTCCTCCCCTCCTTCCCTCCCCCCCCACCCCCACCTGTCCCGCACGCCGGTGCTGACGAGGCAGTCCAGCATCTGTCGTACTCGCGGCGCATCCGACTCGAACCGCAACGCGTACAGCGCCGCCAACCGCACCTGAGGGGGGTGGGGTGGGGAGGGTGATGATGAGAGGGGGGTACACATCACCGTACTAGACCCAGCCCGGAAGTGTAGGCAGCGTTGGAGCGAGCACGAGGGGCGAGTGCACGGGTGTCGCAGGCGCGGGTGGCGCACATGCGGTCAGGGCGAGTGGCACCACCAGCAGCCGCTCCCTCTCCCCCAAGGGCACCAGACACCCTCCCCCCGGTCCCATGCACCGCCCCCCTCCCTCTCCCTCTCCCTCTCCCCTCCCCTCCCCTCCCCTCCCCTCCCCTCCCCTCCCCTCCCCTCCCCTCCCCTCCCCTCCCCTCCCCTCCCCTCCCCTCCCCTCCCCTCCCCTCCCCTCCCCTCCCCTCCCCTCCCCTCCCCTCCCCTCCCCTCCCCTCCCCTCCCCTCCCCTCCCCTCCCCTCCCCGCCCCCTTGCCTTGTCCACATCGCTGGTGGTGGGTGCGCGCATGAGGCGGCTGACGTCCTCCAGGGAGGTGCCTGGGCTCAGGCTGGCGGCGGGGTTGGCCAGCTCCTGCTCGGCCTGGGGGGGGAGTGGGAGGAGGAGGGAGGGACAAACGGCGAGAGAGGGAAATGGGTAAAGCGGTAGGAATACCGGCGGGGAAAAGGGAGGGGTTACGGCTGCGTGTGGATGGACGAGGAGGGTGTGGTGCAGGGGGGAGAGGAGGTGCGGCTCGGATTCCCTCTCGAGTGCCCCGAAGGCCTCAGCAACACCCTGGTACCCCTCCCTCCTCCCCCCTCCCTCTCCACCCCTACCATGGACACCTCCATCAGGTTCCGCTCCGACACCACCTCACTCAGCTGCGTCATCAGGTTGACGTGCTTGGACACGTTACCCTGGGGGGGGGGGGAGGGGGGGGGAGAGGGAGGGGGGGAAGGAGAGGGAGGGATTAGACAAACTGAGCCGCGAGGAAACACGGACCTTGACCATAGGAAGGCAGGGGAGGGAGGGTTGGTGGGGCAGTACGAGCACTAGGGGAAGGGTCTGCAAAACGTGGGCCAAAGCACAACGGGAGCACCGGTATGCGCTAGATCAAGCTCCAAGGATTCCTCCCCTCAGCCTCCGACCCACGGGTCACCCCCCCTCCCCCCATCCCCCCACCTGCAGCTTCTGGAAGTCCGCGTGCTCCAGCACGAAGCGCCGCATGTCCTCCAGGCTCTCCACGCGCGAGTGCTTGGTGGAGGCGGACTGGAACTGCTCCACCAGCGCCTTCACGCTGGCACCCACCTGGGGGGGGGAGGGGGAGGTGGGGAGGTAAAGACTAAAGAGGAAACAACTAAACGACCGTTAGGGGGGAGGGGGTACTTGTGTGGGGTTATACTGCATTACCAGCTGGAAGGAAGGGGGAGGGGGGGGAGGGAGGGGGGGTGAAGGGGATGAAAAAGGAATACGTCCCAGGCCCGCCGGGAGCAGCAGAAACGCGAACACAGAGCAGGTCGACAGCGCCTACTCGCAAGCGGGAAATCGCGCTGACACCGCCACCCCCTTCCCGACCCACGGGTCACTCCCCCTCACCTCCCCATAGTTCTTGTACAGGTGGCGGCGCAGGAAGTCATCCTGTCGCGCGTCAAACACAATGTCACGGAACTGCTCGGGCACCTGCGGGGGGTCAAAGACCATACCAAACCATAGGAGACCACAAGTTAGGGCAAAGCAATGGGGGGGGGGGTAACACGAGAGGGTGGGAGCCACAGGGAAGGGTATGGCGGGAGGAGCCCGGTGCGGAAGGGAGACGGGCAGGCAGGGGCAGGTTGTTAGCTGCATGGGCGTGTGTGTTCCCGGCTCCTGCAGGCCGCCCATCTGGAGGCCGGCACGAGCAGGGAGCCTCCACGCAGGGGCTACATGCAGCAGCAGCAGCGCCTCTTACCACCTCAACCGCTTCGCTAACACAACGTTTCGCCCACCCCAACAAGCCCCCGCCTCTGAACATGGTCGCATAACACCTCCCCCCACCTACCAACCCACCTCCACCCCCACCGTCCAGTAACATCAGGGTTGGGTTCCTGCTGGGCAGTGGGAACTAGCCGTTCTGCTTCTTTTGCCCCCAAACCCCCATACGGTTAGACCCTCCCCCTTACCCCTCCTCCTCCACCCCCCCTCCACCCCACCTTGCCGCTGGTCAGCTTGACGGTGTTGTCCGCCACCCCCACCAGCTCGTGAACCATGGCCTGGTAGGACCACTGTACGACAGAGGGGGGGGAGAGGTAGAGGGAGGGGGGACGGGGGGAGGAGTGTTGTTCAGAAGGGTGTCCGCATTGCCTTGGATTCCATGCTTCCTTTACCGCCTACCCAAGCATTAGCACTCGCGACCCCTCCTCCCGCCCACAAAACACACCTGTGTTGTACCCCTGCCGCCCCCTTACTGCCGCCCCCTTAATTCGTACACCTTCCACTTTTCATTGCTAGCTCATTACTGTTCCGCCCCCCTCCCCTCCCTCCCTCCCTCCCTCCCTCCCCCCCCACCTGTGTGAGCAGCGGTGTGACCGGGTCGTCCCGCCGGTCCAGCAGCAACACCACCGGGGGGGCGGAGCGGGAGGAGCCGAAGTCGAACACAGCGGCCTCCTGAAAGGGGGGGGGGAGAAATGCAAAAGTGTGCCGTGATAATGATACAAGTTGCTGACAATCCCTGGTGGGGGGGAGGGGGGATAAGCGTACTCGGGGGAGGGGAAGGGGGGGGTACAGGTATTCGCAGCGGCCGGGGATCGTGAATATAGAAGAAGATCGCGAAACGCTAGACAATAGTGGGGCGAGAGCATGGCAACGACCCCAGCGCCCCCCCCCCACCCCCCCACCAGGTGCGCCCCCCCCCCACCTGCTTGTACGTGAGGCTGTGCAGCCCCCGGGCCAGCTCCGCCACCAGCTCCGAGCCGCGCTGGTAGCGGATGACGGGGCGCCGCCGGAGCGCCAGGAAGAGGGAGGACAGACCCTGGGGGGGGGGAAGAGGGTGCCGGAGGGGATACCGTGCGTGACTGACCTGACTGGCCCTGTGTGCTGCTCAGTTGTCCGGCCCGCTGATGTGACACCGTGTCCTTGGGTGTGGCAGGATATCCATCCCCCCTGTGGTTCGTCTTCTTGTACCCCCTTTCCCCCTTACTGAGCTTTCATTTTACCCCCCCTCCCCCTCCCCCCTCATCCCCACCCACCTGCACGCATCTGTCGATCAGCTCGTACTCCGCGGCGGAGGGCGCCGCCCCCGGCTGCCGTACGGCGAACAGCAGCTCGTTGCGCGGCACCGGAACCAGGAAGTGGAAGGGGTCGGGGCAGGAGAAGTCCGCGTAGTACTCCTGTGGGGGGGAGGGGGGGGGGTTTCAGCTGCTAGGTAACAGCAGGGGCGAGGGTGGAGGGTGGGGGGGAAGGGGGCTCCGGGGCGACATCAGATCCGTCACCCGCTGCCCCTCCTCTGCCCCCCCGCTTGCGAACCTAATCAACACCCTCCCCTCCCCGCCCCACCTGCACCTCCACCACCCCCTCCCCGCCCCACCTGCACCTCCACCACCCGCTCCTGCGACGCATCCGCCTCCGCCAGCTCCTGCAGGAACACCGAGCTGCCCGAGCTGAGCAGGTTGGTGAAATCTGGATCCAGGGATTTGAAAAGAAGGAAAAGGGGAAAAGATGCAGATGGGGAGAGGGCAGCAGGGACTGGGGGTCAAGAGCTGATAAGCTCACGGAATGCAAGGGAGGGGATTTTGTGGCTTGTGGGTGGCAACCACAGCATCGTGTTGGGGACGGTTCGAGGTTGGGCCTGACTGGGAACGACGACACTAAAGCGTGTCCAAATTGGCACTAGGATTACCCCTGTGTGTGTGGGGGGGGGGGCGGACTTACAAAGGTGGTAATGCTGGTAGCGCGGGGCCTTCAGCTCGCGCTTTAGGAGGATGATGTTCTCCCTCGTGGGTCGCAAGAAGCAAATCGCCTGCATGCGGCAGTTCAGCCATCACATGTGACTATGTGCACAGCAACCCGTCGTTAACAGGAACCGGAAGCGCGCCTGAAAGGGACACTTGTTCAACTACACATGCCGTGTACGCACCGTTAGCTCCTGGTGGGCACGACCGTCAGGAGTGTCCAAGCACTCCACGTGCACGACATTGCTGTCTGCTAACTCTGTCCGCCCATATAGAGTCGAGCAAAATCGCATGGTCTCCTTGTCCAGAACGAGCCCCTTGTAGCCTTGCGCCCCCTCCACCATGGTGCGTATATATGACCGAACAATCTTTTGTAAATGTAGCTCCACCAGAGCCTCCTGGCGTGCCCTATCGTGAGGCGGCAACGGCGCCTGACGCGAGGATGCCATTTTTGGTCCCTTTCAACTCCCTAAACAGTAACGACAAAGACTATGTGTATTTGTTTCCTCGCTAACAGTTTTCTGGTTTGCGGCAATCTAGGCTGACGCTGTGCGTCAGCGTGAAGCTTCGTTGACCATCCTTTAGGAAAAGCCAATAGCCTGCTCCTTACCGACGTTAAAACGTTTACATGAAGTGCTTATCTACTGCTGGTAGTTGCGGTCGACGCATGCGCTTCTCCGTAGCGGTGCAGTTGATCACTGCCGGTTTCGGAGAGGGACTACTGCTAAACAAGCCGAAGCCTTGTTTTACGTGCTGCATCGAGCCATGATTAGACCTATTATACAAGCTGTTACGGCTGGTGTTACACCGTGCTTCAGGGAGGAGGACACGCCGTGCCAACTCTTGGCAGTGCCGTCAGGTGCCTACAGAATGGAAGACTCTCAAACAACACGCTGGGAAAGTACCCGACCGTGCAACACAACAGGAGGCCCGTAAAGCCGTACAAGGGGCAATCACAAAGAATCAGTTAGCAACCAGTCAACCAGTTACAGCATCTGTGTCCAACGAGCTTCCGTACAATATATGGATCAGGCGAAAGTTTTAGGTACACAGCTGCTGCAACTAAAAGAATCGCGCTCCTCGGATTCAAAGCCGTCGCAAACCGCACCTTACTATGGCACATAGGCGCGCCGTAAACACGGCGAGGGGAAGACGAACGAACGGCAGTGGTACGGCAATCGCAGTCGTACGACCAGAACTATACAGCCGGTAGTACCATCCCTACTACCGTATATCGGTATATGTACAAGCCATAACACAAAGACGGATCGCAACCTGTCCATATTTTTATTTTTCTTCGCACGACACTTGCAAAGAGCTCGACCAGCAACCAGCAAATGTTTAGATGTAAACTTCAGGAGCACAAGGGACCGCCTGCAACGCTCAGCTGCGGAGTGGCTGGCAACAGGCGCCTCGCTTCCCCTCCCTCCTCCCCTCCCGAGGATATTCCCGCATCGGCGCATCAGGCTTCATCTTTCATGATTCCGCGCCTATTTTCCTTCCGCGTCCGTTCAGCTTCCCATATTGATGTCCGCGTACGAGGTCCGCAGCGAGGGCAGGTCCATCAGCCGCAGCAGCACCTCGTCTTCGCAGCGCAGCCGGGACAGCACGTGCCGCTGGGGGTATGTGGGTGGGGTGGGGGGTGTCAAAGACATGCCAGAAACCTCAGGCTAGGGTGCGTGTGGGACGCACAGCAGAGCGGGAGGGGTTATGAGAGCCATAAGGCAACACAGGGGACAGGGCGCAAGGGCACCTCCACACATGCTCCCTCACCCGACCCATTGGTCTCCCGTGCCACCCACCCCCCCACCCCCCCCCCAGCCCCCTCCTCACCGGCACGCCGTGCGGGTACTGCCTGCACAGCTCCGCCCGCAGCGCCTGCGCCTCGCCCCACCTGGCCTCCAGCTGCACCTCCTGCACCTCCAGGGGGGGCAGAGCGGCTGCGGGTGACGGGGAACACGAAGCGGAGGGAGAGGAGCAGCCCCATTCCTCCTCTCCTTCTCCCTCTTCCCAGAACTGCCGCTGCTCCCGCTCCAGTGGCGGTGCCCCCACGCCGCCCCGGGAGAGGTGTGGGCGCGGCGGGGCGGGCAGCGGCACCAAGCCCGGACCCAGATGGGCTTGCAGACTGTACGGCAGCTGAGATTTGCTGCCCTTCAAGATCCCCTTCTCGCCTGCTGCTGCTGCTGCTCCAGGTGCTGATGTGGGCTGAGGGTCAGTGTCGGACGTGGTGGTGGTGGTGGTGGTGGTGGCGGAGCTGAGCGGGTTTTCGGGGCTGGTCTTCAGGTAGCGTGCGATGGGGCCGGCGGAGCGGAGGGACTGCGGGAAAATGGCGGAGGAAGGAGAAGGAAGTAACGGCGGGAGAAAGGGAAGGGAAGGTTGGGAACAAGGCAGCAGAGGCATGCTCTGGCGGCCATCCTGCCAGTGCTCCCACAAATGCTCCCTTCGAGGGCCCCAACCGTCAGACCACTTCCTGGCTGCGAACTGTGCAGTATACGCGTCATGTCAAGGACATCGCCTTCCTAACGACCCTGCATGTGACTCTGCATGAATATAGTTGCCTTCCTGTACAGTACTGCGGGGAGGATACAGCATGCAACCATGAACAGCCAAGGCCTAACCCAAGCTGTTGCAATGCGCATTATGATAAACCAAGTTTGATCAACCGTTACACCCTTACCGGCCGCTGCTGCTCCTCCGCTTCGCGTTGCCTCCGAGCCCATTCTGTCTCCAGCGTTTTGCGAGCTTCCATGCGCGGACCGTTGGGCGAGCATAAAGGACGCTCCATAGCTGAAGCGTTAGCAGCAGCCTTGACCTTTTCAAAGTCAATTGAAAGGAGAGGCCGGCTTGGCATGTCGACGATGCCGTAAACTGGTCGACCTGAAGGCAGCGATTTGGGTCATGTGGGATTAAGCAACAGCGGCTACAACCAATTACTTGAGGTGTAAGTAACATAAATAACAGTTAGCTGTGCGAGATATCTATTACTCGCCGTGCCGGTCGTAAGTAACTGACGCCTTTGGCATCTCAAACCTCGGCGTATCTTCATCTTTGCATATTTTTCTGTATCCAGACATTATTATTTTCCGAGAACCTTTTCCAGGCTACGACTTCAGGGTTACCTAGGTTACTATCTTCATGCCAAGCTGCAAGCGGTAAAATAGTTACAGGCTGGGTGCAAACAGGCCGAACTTCAGCATGCATAAAATAATGCCTATTGGAAGTGATTACTGCATGAATCGGAACCTCAACGTACTGTACGGGTTATTCAGCTTTGCAACGGCAACGGTCCAGAAGCGTTCCGATTTCTGTGAAACTCCAGCCATCAGAGCTACAAGCGGGTGCTCTGCTCAATTAACCCAGCAACGCTATCCTATTATGTTCTAGTATACTTCCTTATGTACAAGCAAGTATATACGCACGACTAGCGGTTGCCACAGCAAAGAGGCTCTTTTGCACCCAACTACCGGTATGCAACCTTCAATTATGTGGCAGTCGCTACTGCGCATCAACTACATGCCGGGATGGGTTAGAGAACGCCACTAGACACGCACGATTGGCATCTATGCAGTACGGTTAACATCAATACTATATGCTGTTCCCGTTGTTACCGACAAAAGGTTGGCCCGAACAGTCCCCGACCTCTAGAATGCGATTTTTACAGGGGAGTCCGAACGACTCAAGTGCGACGCACAACCCTATGGGCCTTATAGACCTCTAGCTCTCCAGCTGGACGCATTCGAAAGCATTCCACGGCTGGGACAGCGCTCTCAGCTGAGTGCATACATCCGCAGGGCCCTGCCTGTTGGAATGCCCTGATAGCAGCATTCCCGGTTCCTTTGAAGCATACGTCGGGACCCTCGGGATTCTGAAATGTATATAAGTATATGAATTTCGTCTGCTGCCGCCAGAGACAACCCTGCATGCGTGTTTACCAAGTCAAACCTGCTACAATACTCCATTTGGCCACCTCCAAGCTGTCTAGGTATTAGGTCTGCTTAGTGTTGTGGGTGCAAACATCATCGACGTGGCATGCCATACTTCCTTGCTGCCCCGCTTCGCAGCCGTACGTCTTACACACTGCGCCACCTAACATTGTAACATATACTCCTGGCGGGCACACATGCCGCCAGGTTTCATTGCCGCATTCGATTTGCATGATCACTACTAAGAAGTGGCCGTTTTGGCATTCCATTCCACTGACCCCGGGTAAGCCGGCAAACCGTGAACAACCATAAGAGCAGCTCAGTTCCCATTTCCCACGCCCTTTCCAAATCTGTTTCGACACCGTCAACTAATGAGCGAGCAAACAACCACCTACCCGGTGTTAACAAGCCGAGAACGCGCACACATAAGTGTCCGGGGCCTCACGCCAGGCCTCACATACAAGCAGCCAACCCCAATACATCAGCCGTCCAAACCGTCCCACTAGCACACAACTGCTTTCAACATCGCGGTTATGTCGAACACACGTACAGAGGCAAACACGCGAGCAAACGCGAAAGTGACGAGGTAAAGCGCCCGGCGGTAAGGCACGCTTACGGCCGGGTACCAACCCCATGCATGACCAGGAGAAGGAGCAACCGCCGTAGCGTGGAACACAGATTGCGAGTGCTGCTGCTGCATACAAGTTAACAGCGATCCTGCGTCACAGAAAGAAACGTGCATACAACAGTCACATCTGTCCCTTCCAAACTTCCTTCCAAAGCACATTCCGCCACCACCAACACCGCTGCTACCATGGCCACAACAACAACCGTGTTGGAACCCACACCGCTGCATGCATGCCCCCTCCCATGTCCCCCCTTCGTGTCCCCCGCAGTGCTGGGCCATGCCCCCCCCCCCTATTCTCTGTGCAGTATCCACCAGTAAATGCTAGTGCCGTTGGTCAGTGCACTTGAGCTCGCCCCAATCACATAAAAAAACATGGGTAACCTCCACCGGCACCAAACACTGCCGCCATAAATAACTGGCAGCAGACACAGCAGATGCCACAGCAGGGGCTGCAGGCAGCTACCCCTGCCCCTGCCAGTTGAAGTTATGATTGAAATAATTGCTGTGTGCACACAACAACAACACAAACAGGGGTAAGCCGAGCCGTCCATGTGCCTCAGTGTGCCTAGAATCAGTGTTCAAGGACGTGACAGTGTACGTCTACCAAGTATACGGTGGGGTAAGCAACGACCTGATGAGCTCTTAATCTCCACCTGCCCTCGCCCATGCACACACAATCGCCCGTTTGTTATCGCAGACAGACAGAGGCTGGTGAGGCCCCGCCGTACACACCCCATCATCACCTTGGCCAGTACACATGGCCCCACCAGCAGGAGTACATACAGCAGTGAGCGGTTGAGGCGAGGCGAGGCGGGGTGCGACCTGAGCTAACGCACGAAGGTCCTGCCGGCTTTGCCTTGCCTTGGAGCCCATCATCACCGCATAGCACAGCAGCAGTCGGGGCTCCCCTCATTAAGACAATCATAACGACAATGACGATTTGTAGTAATACAATTGATATTGACTAATATAACCCGTAACATATATCATTAGCCGATCACCGCCGCCTGCATGTCAGCCGCAAGCAGTTGATGGAGTCACTAACGAGGAATCACGAATGGCGAGCGACATTGCAAGCGCGCACACAGTCACCAGTCGCACAGATCACAACTGCCAATGCACCTTTCCTCCTATCGACAGTCGACCTATCGACAACTATGGTCCGTACAGTTATGGGCCCTTCAACACACACACACATGTGCCTCGCGGCCAGTTTTTTTAACACACATGTCACCAGTCAACCCCGCACACAAAGCTGACATCTCGCAAGCACACAAGACAGATAGCACCTCCTCCTACGGTAATAACTACCCGCTAATACAGGCGCCCGCCCATCCACCTACCCCCGACATCCTCCGTTCCATTTGTTTCAATCGCCAAAGGCTTCCCAGTCACATCAGCAGCAGGCAGCACCTCAGCATCCTCAGCCCTGCCGCCGGGATCGTGCCCCAGTTACCTGGCCACGCCTCGCGCCTCTGCCCTGTGCCCACCACGTCATCCCCATTGACAGCCCCGGACCCAAACACTTGCCCAATTGGAAAAAACATATTGTGGCGGTCACATGTATGCGGCTGAACCCTACTACCACAGGAGCGCCACTGTCACAGCACTGAGCAGCAGCTCAGACCCCATGATGAGGGGGGATGAGGGCGCAGGCTTATTGGGGTCAACGCAAGGGACTTTCCATGCGGCTTGGGCGGACACCCCAACCGCAACCGTGCACGTAAACCCTGCAGTTCACACCTGTCAGGGAACAAGTCAAGAAGAACAACACACGCCTGTCATCAGCTTGCCTGCCTGCCTGCACACATGCACTGCATGCTCGTCGCCCCTCACTCCACCCTGTTGAGGCTTCAGTCCTAAGATGCTGCCAGCCTACAACGTCAGGCATTAAAGCATCAAAGCGAAATAACGGCAAGATAGCCATCGTATCTATGTTGTCGACCCCCGAAAAGCAGCGCAAGTCATAAACAAAACCCCCACCCCCATCAACTTCACAATCTGATCGCTGTCCTGTCGTCCTCGTCGCAGTTTAGCGCCCAATGCTGGTAAAGCGATACCCTTCGAGAGCTCAAAAGCAAACCCATATTGCGAAAACCACCATCTATTGTTGGCATATGATGGCATCTTACACCACCTTGTTTTCTGCAAAAACATTACCTGGCATACACGCTAGCATCCAATAATGATGCGGCGCGTGGAACTGCTGCCTTGCATGTCCTGCTGATTTGGTTTCTTGCGCCCATGTGGCATCCCCGCTTGGCATTGCATTGCATCGCGGCTCACCGTGTTTGCTTGCTTGCTTAACTCCTCGCATGAACATCATCAGCCAAAAGGCACCATTACCGTGATCCCCACCATTCCACGCATCCAAGCACGCCCTCCCTCATCCATCATACTTAATCCTTACACTCATCAACCCAACAACCCAAGGCCAACAAACAGACGAGCGACCCGGCCAAGGCCAACATCTGATAGCAGCAGGCCCTGCACCTCCGCCCAGCGGCCCACCTTCCTGCAGGCTCAACCGCGGACAGCCTAGGGCTCAACCAGCCCGCCACCACCGCTGGGTCCGCCGGGGGGTCCCACGCGCCCGCACACGCCGCCGCCAGCACTCGCCAGCGTCGCAGGACCTCCCACACTGTTCGCCGCCTCCACCGGCGAAAGGGGCTCAGGCTCCCGGGGCCTCAGGCCTGCTCCGCTCCGCATGCAGCCCGCACCCACACCCGCTGCCCCTCCACCTCCACCTCCACCTCCTCCTGCGCTTCCCCGACTCCCCCCCGCCCCCAGCATGAACTCCCCCAGCCCCAGCACCTCCGCCAGGGCCACGCTGCTGCAGTCGCTCGACAGGCCGGCGTCGCCAGCATCCAGGGAGGCGGAGGAGACGTGTACGACACCCCTGCCCCCGCCCCCACCGCTCACAGGCAACGACCCGCCAGAGTGCCGTACATTCCTCATGACCGAGCCCTTCAGCTCCGCGACACGACCGCGGGGCGGGCCGGTGAACCCGCCGCCACTGACGACGTGGTCAGCTCCACTGTCGGCGGCGGCGGCGTTGCTTCCCGACGCTGCTCCCGCCGCCGCCGCAGCCTCCCCTTCCTCCCAAGGGCCGGCCGGGCCGGATGCCTCGCCTCGGACGAACTCAGCATAGCGGCTGGACCAGCGCAGCTTGGACGAGGTATCACTCATGCCGACAACGGAGGGCTGATCGATGATTGCGTCGCCATTAGCACCACCACCACCACCACCACCACCACCACCACTACCAACAGCATCAGCGCCACTGGCTCCTGCTGCAGCAGGTGCACTGCCGCTGTCGTACCACCCGCCCGACGCCACGACAGCACCGCCGCCGACCCCCACGCCAGCTGCCAGCATGGCTGCTAGGCTGGCCGGCGGCAGCGTCAGCCTGCCGCACCCCACCTGCGCCAGCCCGCCGCAGCCGCTGCCGCCTCCCATGGAGCCCGACGTCGCCACCGCCGTCGCCCTGCTGCTGCCCGAGGTGGTGCTGGTGGCGGTGTCCAGCTGGGCTCGGAGCTGCGCGGCCGCCACGAAGGGCCGCCAGGCGCTGCCCAGCACGGGGAGCGGCGGGTGCTGCAGCGCGCCAGCGAGAGGGGTGGGGATGCGGCCGAAGGAGGAGCGGCTGCTGCTGCTGCCGGTGCTGGCGGCATGAGCGGTCCCATCCGCGACCTTGGCGGTGGTGGTGGCGGTGGTGGCGGTGGTGGCGCCTGCCGGCGGCAGGGGACCTCGCTCTGGTGTAAACAGAGTGGCTGACGCTGCCACCGCCGCCGTCGTTGTCGTCGTCGTCGCAACCCAACCGCTGGCTGGTGCCGCGCTGGTTGCCGTAACCGCGGTCGCGGCAGCGCCTGCTGCGGATGGCTCCGTCGTTGTCGACGGCGCAGTCGCGGAGGGCGCTTCCGATGATGGTGGTTGCGACTCGGGTGGTGTCCAAACGTAGGTGCGCATAAGGCCCTTTCCCTTGACCTGCAAATATTGATGTGGATGGGACAGGTGCATATTAAGGACTGAAACTTGGGAAGCGAAGGTGGTATCCATGGCCGCAGGAGGCGCGCCGCCGGCTCCCAGTTGGCCCCACCAAACACACCTCACATGCTTCCCCACCGCGGCTTCTCAACCCTCCCATCCTTCCTCCCCTCTTCCCGCTACCACACCCGCCTACCTCGATGCCCCCCGTGGGCTCCCAGCCCTCCGCCGCCGCCGGGTCCCGCTGCCGGAGCATGTCCCACGCCTCCTGGCTGGCGTGCACCGCCCCCGGCACCCCGGTGCTCTCCATGCGGCTGGCGGTGTTGACGGTGTCGCCTGGCAGGGGAGGGAGGGGAGGGCGGGAAGCGGGGAGGCGATGAGGGGAGGAGCAGGGGAGGGGAGGGTGCATGCAGGCGGGCCGAACGGGTAGCGCTGAGGCGCGGCAAGGGTATCTATGGCGGGCCCCACGCATGCATGATCGCCACACTGCGCCTTTCCTGTAAGAACGGCATCACACGGCTGCTGGCAGGCTCACACACCCCATGCATGTGCTGTTTCACCTGCCCCTTCCCCCCCACCCTCCACTCCCCTCCATGGACCCTGCTGGCCCCTCCTCTCTGCCCCACAGCACCCACCGAAGAGGCAGAAGCGGGGCATGCGCGTGCCCACCACTCCGCTGACCACCGGGCCGCAGTGCACCCCCACGCGCACGCGCACGGGCTGGCCGCTGGTGGGCAGCACCACGCGGGAGGCGGCGGACAGCATGGCCTGAGGCGGGGGGCAGCAGGCAGGGGGAGCAGGAGGAGGGAGGGGGGTTTGGGGGGAAGGAGGGAAGGAGGGAAAGGAGGGGGCGGAGAGGGTGGGGGGGAGGGTATTCGTGGCCCCTGAGATGTGGAGGATAGGAGGCGGTTGTTGGGCACGGCCGCGGGGGCATTGAGGAGGAGTGAGGGAGAATGCGAAAAGCCAGGTACCCGACCCAGCTTGCGCAGGAGGGAGGATGCTGGAGGGCTGAGGAACCAGGGAAGCAAGGGCAGCGCAGTATCCCCCCCTCATCCTCCGGCGTTACCCTCCCCTCACCATACGTGCCTTCCGCACGTCGCTCCCCACAACTTCCCCCAGACCTACTAACCAACACTTTGCCTTGTGGCACCCTGCCGCCTCCTTTCCCCATTGCTTTGCCCTAACATGTGGCTTCCTATGATGTGGTGCGGTCTTTGCCCCCCACCTTGGCAAAGCCCACCACGTTGGCCACCTGGTCCGGGTCCACCTGCCCCGCACCCTGTACGGCAGACATGCCGTCCTCGTCCTCCCGGATGAGCCCGCCCGCCACCATGTAGCAGTCACCGATGGTTTCAACCTGCATGTCCGAAGGGGGTGGGTGGTAAGAATGTGTGCGGCGTGCATGTGTAGAAAACTGGAAACGTGGAATGGGTCAGGCATGTCCGGAGGTGACGCATGGTGGGCCACCACAGTTCGACCGACCGACCGAAGGGGGCTGCACCAGACTGACAACCACGGCAACGGCCTTGCTGATCCCCACCACAGTGCGACCTGTAGCTGCCTGCCCGCCCACCAGCCCACATGCCCCGCCCCCCCTGCCCCACCCCGCCCCACCTTGTACACCCCGTACTCGTCCAGCATGGCATCGAAGCGCGTGAAGAGGGTGTTGAGGAAGGACATGACCACCCGGGGGGGCAGCACCTTGCACATGGGGGTGAAGCCTGGGGTAGCAGGGGGGGGGGGGGGAGAGGTAAGGATGCAGCAAGGTGGCGGGGCAGTGACGTTTGGTAGCTTGCAGCGAGGCGCATGGACTGGGGCATGAGCGGTGTGCAGTGCACCTCGCGCCAAGGTTGGGAAGGTTAGGCAGCCCGGCAGCCCGGCACCCCACACGTGGCCGCTTCCAGCACACTCCTCCACCCACCCGGACGCCCACCCACCTTGGATGTCCGCAAACAGCACCGTCACCTGTTCGGCGCGGGAGGGCGCAGAGGCGCAGGCAGGGGGGAAGGGGGTTGGAAGAGGGTTTACATGCAAGCAAGACACTAGAGGCAAGGCCGCTTGTAGGAACGGCTTGCAAGGTGCGGCAAGGGGTTCGGGAGCTGCCCAAGAGCGCAGCGAAGAAGGCCACGCCGCATGCGCGACGGCCGATGCCGCCTGTCACGTACCTTTGGGTGCCACGTAGCCAGGCGGTTGCAGTCGCGGATGTGCGGCCGCCAGTTCGCCGCCATGGGGGGTGACGCCTGGTTCGCGGCAGCAGAAGCCGAACCAGCCGAGCCAGCGGGCGATGACAATTGCTGTTGTTGTTGCTGCTGCTGGTCGTCTGGGTACTGGCACTGCTCCTGCTGTTGCGGGGAGGCGACGGAAGAGGCTGCGGTTATGAAGGGTGGTTGGCCGCAGTCCGCTTCCTCCATGATGTACTGCAGGACTGCGGTACGGCAGCAGCAGCCGGGGTGGGAAAGCTTGACACCAGAACGCGATGGAAGCAGCAGCAGCAGCGGGGGGGAGGATGACGTCTTTACGCGCGTCCAGCAACAGCAGCAGGCATTTACTCCAGCACTTCCCCCCCGTATTCGCCATGTCTTTCGCCAGGAAACCTGCTCCCCCCTCGTTCCTCAACTCACCATGCCTTGGGAAGATCTGCTCCAGCAGGCGGTGCTCCGTCTCACTCACCCGCGCCACGTGCCGCTCCGCAACCACCTTGGCGCTCACGTCGCGCTGCATCAACACCAGCGCCAGACGGGGAGGCGAAGCGGCAGAGGAAGACGAAGAGGCGCCAGAGGTCCCCGACCCGGGGGTCAGTACCATGCAGCTCGCGACCACCTCGTGCCAGCACTCCATGAGGTGTGAAGACGCGGAGACGGCACCTCCCTCATCTGTTTCCTCAAACCCAACGACCTCGTGTTCGCTGCGCCCGGCTACGTTCGTACAGCTAATTGGGCCGTGGTCAGCATTGGGGACGTTGCACCCTGCCGATGGTGTGACCGCGTGACCCATGGGTCGTTCCTCGACATTGTGTCTTACGCTGGACCCATGGGTCTCATGTTCCCCCTCCAGTATCCCCTCCAAAATGCCGTCAAGGGATTGGAAACCAGCAGCCGTTAGGTCGTCAACGAGCGCCGCTTCAAGTGTCCCGCCCGACACCGAAGTGTCTGTCAGCCCCGTCGAGCCTCGGGCGCCGCCGCCGTTACCACTATTGAAGCCGTTCGGGGTTCGGCTGTGTCCCGCCCTACTATTGGCTCGCTCGTCTACTTGTTGGACAACGACCGAACCTTCTGTCAAAGTGATTCTGCCGCCGCCATTGTAGCCCTCGGCATCAGCAGCACTATGCCGAGACGAGAGGAGTAGGCCCCTTGATGCAGGGCGCAAATGGCTGTTGCCGCTTCCTTGGCGGCCGACGCCGACGCCGCCAATGCCGACAGACGCCGTCGAGGCGGCGGCGGCGCGGAGGCTGGATCCGCCAGTCGCTGCCGTCATGCTTGCGGACCGCGGCCCGGGCGCACTGAACGACGCCTCGGTCAGCAATCGGCGCTCCGAGCCGACACGCATTTGCATGAATTGCGCGTGCGAGCGACTGGCGTACGGCCGCAGGTTCGAGGCTCCCGACGCCGTCGCCGTCGATTTGGGCAGAACAGGAGCGTTACGAAGCGACGCGGCGAACGCAACAACGCGAGAGGACACTGCCGGCGCCATTGGCATGCCATTGACGGTAACGCTGCCGCTGCATCCGCCGCTGGCACCCCTAGCAAAACCGCCGCCGCCGCATTCCTGAGCTGGGGCGTTTGGCGCCAGTGCAGCTGTCAGGTTCGAGTCCATGCTGAAACGCCGGGAGAAGCGCGACAGCTCCGCCGTATGAGAAACTTGCGAGCGGTTGGCGGCAGAGGGACTGGCGTTGTGAAGCGGTGCCGGGGGCGCCCCATGCGCAGAGCCTTCACCGGTGCCGTTACCACCATGCGTCACCACGGCAGCAGAAGCCGCAGCACCGCCGTTACCTCCTCCACCAGCAGCGCCGTTGTTGTCAAAGCTCAAAAAGTAGCTGTCAACGGTGAAGCCACTTGCGCCAAGGGCGCCGCCGCCGCCTACGCCGGCAGCGCGGCTGCTGTACGCTGTTGCGAACAGCGTGTTACTCGGCAACGCCGTCAGCTTGTCGGTAGCCGGGTCGGAGCAGTCCGCTGCCGCTCGGGGGCTCGTCGCCGACGTTCCACCTCCGCCGCCACCACCATTCCAATCGTACGACGAATCCGCCACAATATACCCCAGCGGCAGCATGTCGTCTGCCTCCGCTGCCTCTGCCGCCGCCGTACTAACGTCCGGCGTGGGAAAAGCAATTAACGAAGTAGTCTTTCGCCTTGCCATCGTGGGCGGCATGTTGACGCCGCCACCAGCGGCGCCAGCCGGCACGCGATCGCCGTTGGCGGCGACAGCGGCACCGTCACAAGTCATGTTGTTTGTGGTGCTTGGGCGGTTGCTGGCGAAGCTGTTTCCGCTGCCCACAACCATGTCAGGGTGCTCGAAAGCAACCTGTGTGCATGTGGCAGTGTGATAAATGGGGTTGAACATATTTGCGTCACGCATTACGAATGTTAGCAGTATGGCATGGGAGGTGAGGAGCGAGCCGCACTGGCTGAAACAAGCCTACGAGAAATGCTGTGCAAAAAAAGCCGCACTGATCCCCTGCATGCCTCTCGCATGGGACGCTTGCAGGCACGGCCTGTGAACACATGTCGTACAACCGCCGCTGTCCTACCTGCCATGTGCTCGTGCTCAGGGTGTTCACGGACGACCACTGCTTCAAGGGGCCACGCCGCCGAGCACTGAGCTGCCGGTTGGTGGCAGTGGCGCTGCGCGGCTGCTGCTGCGGCTGTTGCTGAGCGGGCCCCACTCCTGCTGCCGCATCCCTGAGGCCTCCCGTCGTCCCGACCGTCATGGACATGGCCCTACCGGTCACGCCGGCCACACCACCGCCTCCACCTGCGCGGACCACTTCTCCTCCTCTTCCCAGCCCTCCGTTGTTGAGCATGAGGCGCTGCCTTAGCTGCTGCAGGTTCTGCTGCAAAAGCAGGTCCTGCTGCCCCTGCTGCAGTTGGCCCTGCTGCTGCTGTGGCGGCGGCGGCGACTGCCCTGTCGGCGACGACTTGGCGCCCCAGCCGGTGCTGATGCGCATCCGCACATCCGCGGTGAAGGAGCGGAAGCTCCGTAGCGGCGACATCAAGACGCGCTTGCGAGAGCCGCTGCTGGGCCCTGCACCGCCCCTAGCCTGGGGCTCATGCGGCCCGGAAGCGGGGCGCTGCGCGAGGGCTTCTTTGCCACCCACGCCAGTACCTACAGTAGTGACGGAACGGCCGGCAATAGCGGCGGCGGGGTTAGAGGCTGCAGCACCTGCGCCCACCACCAATGTGGCCCGGCCGCCGCGACTGGCGCCATCGTCAATCACTGGGACTGCGAGCTTGGCGCAACGCGCAATGGCGGCGGAGGAGGGCGCCGAGGAAGAAGCGCCTACAGAAGCAGCGACACAGCCTGCAGTACCAGCGGCAGTAGGAGGTGATGGTAAGGTGGGCGAGGCCAACGTGACGACCTGTTTCGCCCCGTCACCGTACAACGCCCCTCCAGCAAGCATGCCGGGGGCGGTGGACTGCAGCCGCATCAGTTCTGCAGGCCGCTGCTCTTGCGCGGGCTGCTGATCGGGCTCCGAGGAGCCAGCAGCAGCAAGAGCAGCAGCAGCGGTGGCGGTTGCGGCAGGGATGGTTCCGGTGAGCAAGGCCAGCCGCAGCACGGATGGGAGCGCCGGAGGGGAGCCCGGGGAGCGCGCCAGGGCCATCAGCAGCGACTCCTGCTCCCATGATCCGGCGCTTGCGACTGCGGCGGCTCCTGCTGCTGGCCCTTCCGAAGAGAGGGTTTGGTGCCGCTGCTGCTGCTGCTGCTGGTGATCCTGGTGCTGAGTGGTACGGCAGGCTGCTACAGCTGCTCCTGATGCCGCCACCTCAGTCGCCACGGTGTCAGGAGCGGGGACAGCCACAGGGACGGCTGGCATGCAGGGTGCTTCCCCGTCCTCCTGTAGCAAAAGCGCGGGAGGCCGGTTTTGCAGTAAGAATGGATGACCGGTTAAACAAAAGCCGGTAAACCGAACGAGGAAAGGGGCTACACGCAGAAGGAAGGAGGGTAGTAGCGGCGTCGGCAGCACTCACGCACACGTCTACTCGCACTTTCCCAGGCAGATTAAACTCAGATCAGGGGCCCGGGAAGGGGAGATCGTAAGACAACAACGTTGGGTTTTAGCTACTAGTGGGGAAGCGTGCGGAGCCATGTACCCCAGTGGGGCCCGTCGCGGCGTGGCATGTGCGCCAGGCAGCGGGGCACCGCACAAACCCGAGGCAGTCAGCGGTGGCTCTGCTCCGCCCTATGCCATACCACGTAGAGCGGTACCGGGGCCCCACCTGCGGCGCTGCTGCTGGCGGTGTGGCAGCGGCCGCGGCAAGCAGCACACCCGCCTCGGGGGGTGCGACGCTGCTGACGAGGTCGGCATTGAGCGACTTGGGCACCCGCACGATACCTATGCAGGGAGACAAGGGCGCGGGGAGGAGAGAGGAGTGCGGAAAAGGACGGGATTAGGCCAGAGCGGCATGTGATTGACCTCCGCAGCCATTGGGCACCCGCATGGCGCCTGGTCGGGAGTTGAGGGAAACAGGAGTGGAGGGAGAGGCTACCACTACTCTCCCACCCACTTACCCTGCCACACACCGCCCTCCGCCGCCGTCGCCGACCACATCTGCATCAGCTTGCCCGGCTCCATGCAAAACAATTCGGCGAGGATAAGGCCGCCAACTTGGCCGACACCGCCGCCGCTGCCGCTGTCGTCACCGCTACCCTCGTAAATTTCAACGACACCATACCCACCGCTACCACCGCCGCCGCTAACGCCGCCCTCCGGTGTAACCATGGTCGGCAACGTCCAAGCGCCCCTGTCGCCATCGTTATACCCGCTGTCACCGTCAGCTGCGGCACCGCTGGTGCGGGCAGCAGCAGTGGCTGCAGCGGGTGCAGCGCCGCCAGCAGCGGACACGAGAGCGACCGGCCTCTTTTTGCTCCTGCAAATGAAGCTACCAGAGCTTATCATCCGCGACAGCAAACTACCACCGCCAGCTTTGAGGCTGCGGGCGCCGCCGTTTGCGGATGCGGCAGCGACGGTGGTGGAGGTTGTGGTTATGGTGACGACAGTCGTGGCGGTGCTGTTTCGGATACGATTGCCACCATCAGGTGGCAGTTGTGCCACTGTCGTTGTGGCGCCCGTGGCGGTGGTTGTGGCGGCACTTGCCGCCTTGCATCTGTCGCCAAAGAACTCAATGCTTGCGGCGTTCTGGCAAATCAAAGAAAGGGGGAGCGCAAAATAGGGAGGTGATGAGGTGGGCTTGGGAGAGGGCGGCAGCGTTGCTCCCCTGCTGCGGCAGGCATGCATGTAAGCGCACATCACAAATGCGTTATCCTCGCCTGCCCCACAGCCAGCACCTTCGTCTCAAAACCCTTCAGCCTCCAACCCAGCCTCATCCTCCTTACCTGGAATAGCACTTGGCCGTCATCTCTGCTGAACACGGTCACGGACACCGGCAGCGCGCTCAGCACCAGGCAGCTTTGGCGCCACCAGCCGCTGACGTCGGGCTCCGGGTTTGCAGGCGGCGTGCAGCTGGCAGCAGCCGCGCATGTGTTGGCAGGCGATGCGGTGGCGGCAGTCGACGTGTCCACTAGCACCGCCGCGACCACCTCCGCGTTCTCTGCGCTTTGCCGTGGCGGCGCGGCCCGTTTCGCAGGCTGGTTGCTGATGTGCGCGGGTGATGAGTAAGTAGATAGCGAGGAAAAAAGGAGGTGACTGTCGGAAGAAGGGCCGATGGGGGCGTCTGTTGTGGCAGCGGGTGCGCTGGGAGTGTGGAAAGGCATGGAAAGGGTGGTTGGGATGGACGGCTCCTGTGGCGAGGTCCGAGCAGGATTGAAGTGGAGGAGCAGCGCGGGCAACGGCTTGCCAGCTTCAATGCTGCCCGGCAAGCACGAAGCCGAGCCAATATCTCTTTTACGAGTAGGTGAACGGGAATTGGCCCAAGGAAAGCAGCATCGCAGCGACACCGGAGCAGTACTGTCTTCTGCTTCGACTATGCAGGGCAGGAAGGAAACCTGATACGGCTCAGCCACGGACATCCCTGCCCGCTTGCCATCGGAACGAAAAGGAAGGCGATGAGGTTGATAGGGTACAGTTATGGGTGCTGCGCACGCTCCGCCCCGCTGTAAGTTGCCAAGCTGACGATGCACATTGCCGCAGAGTTCCGCATCCGCCTCTAACAGCAGAGACAAGGCAGAAAGGTCTTCTACTTCGCTATGGCGTATCTGCTTTGTAACTTTTATGGCTGAGGCATTCGCCCAGAGAATGCATAATGTCCCGCAGGGCCCGCCATTGCGCTGGCCTTGCCGGTGAGGGCCGGTCCCCGAGCTATCAAGATTCCTTAGCGTAACTACGAGGGCTGGGGCACTGCTGCTGCCATGAAGGCGCTCCAAAAGACGCAAAGATGTAGGCAGCAGGGAAAGCCCTGGAGAGCAACAGTGCTGTAAGGAATTATCAGGGAGTAAACCTGCCATATGATGTATGCAGTATGTAGTATGTCTGGAGCCAGCCCTGAGGCAAAGTATCGGAACTCGGTAATACGTAAATATATTCGTGTGTTTTCACTGCATACATGGAAAATGAATGATAGAGTTCCTCCTACAGGTTCACGCCATGGTGGTGCTTAAAGGCTGTACTGTGTAAACAGTACAGCAGTTTCTGTACGAGGCAAGAATATACACAGGTTTTGAGGCCGATCGTCGTCATTAGCTATATGTGTCAGCTTGTAAACCATAGCGTCGGCTTCCAACGGGGTGTCTCCAAAAGCTTCGGGTGGCCCTTGTGGCTGATACACGCCCTCGACCGTACAATAGCCTTTGTCATGTGCATTGCCGAAAATTCTTTGCTCAAAGTCGCAAAAGCAACGTAGTGTTGCTTTGTATTATCTGTGGTCTCTAAAGGCTTGGCTATGGAAAGTAAGTTACGTTAAAGCGAATGCACTTTTCCGCTCTTTGGGGTTTACCTAAGGGGCTAAGGCCCAAGCTTTTTTCGTCTCCCGAATCGCGGATGCAAAACTGTCAACAACAGGTTATGGTCGTCTTGAGGAAACGTGTGAATGCGAGTACATCAGGGCAGGCCGCTGCCGAGGCGTGCAGTAGCGGCAGGCAGACGTGCGCTTATCTGTTCAAAAGCTTTAGAACTCCTATTTTTAAAAGGCCTGTCCTACCTATCGCACATAACGCGGCTATGTTCACTTCGGCTCATCACTTTCTGCGAGACTCCCTCTAGTACAGGTGGCCCCGGGTATAGTGAGACACCTTTGCACTTACACGGCTCGCAAATTTGATAGAAAGCACGAAACGAAGGCGAATTTGCGGCAATGTCTAGCCCTATGAGTCCTTCGTACGGCGTAGTAAGCGCGGCCTGCAAAGTTAAGCCTATCACACTGACACTCACATTATTCGAGACGAGGTCACAATGCGCTCATTTTCCGAAAACCGGGGTAATCTGAGACACCTGATTTCAGCACTAAAACAGCCTCAAAAAGCGACTAGAACGCATTGCCTTGCGGCATATTAACGTCATATATCATTAACAATATAATAAGCAGCCGGAAACCTGCCAATGGTCACAAGCCCTGCTTCACAAGGTGAGATCCGCATCACATCATCATGTGCACAGCTCCACTCGTCCACTGACACCGATTCGCATTGTCACAATATGAACTGATAAATATGTATGATAAGAAACCTGCTTATGCAATGCGCGCTCTCTCCCGGCTCTCCTTGAGACAAGCCTCAGGCCTCCTCGCTGCCCACACTCATGCCGCTCGGCTCACTGACTTCCGACTCAGAATCACTCTTCTTCCCACGACCCTTCCCGCGGCCCCTCCCACGACCCCTCCCCCGGCCCCTCCCGCCACCCCTGCCACTGGCACCGGCCCTGCCACCCCCGCTGCCACTGGCACCGGCACTGCCACCACCCCTCCCACTGCCACCGCCACTGCCGCCACCCCTGCCACTGGCACCGGCACTGCCACCACGACCGCCGCGCCGTCCACCTCCAGAAGCTGCTTCTCCTTCGGCTGTTCCTGTTGCGTCTGCGTCAGCAGTGGTGTCGTCGTTAGCATCTGCACCAGCATCTGCACCAGCGACGGCGGCGGCAGCAGCAGCAGCAGCAGCAGCAGCAATCTGCGCTGCCGTAGCAGCAGCGGCTTGCGCAAGTGCAGCGGCCAGGATGTCCTCTGGCAGAAACTGCTCGTATGCGTCGAGCCGTGTCCGAAGGATTGTGTTGATCGACACCAGCTGGCTGCGGTTCATACCGGCCACAGCTTGCCGCCCCTCCAACAAGCGCTGCCGCTCGGCCTCCACAGCGGCTGCCTTCTCCTGGCGCGCACGCTCCCTTGCCTGCCGCTTCTCCTCAATGCTGCGCTCTTCCGCTGCCCGCTTCTCCTCCTCCTCTCGCAGCTGGGACGCGAAGTCTTGACCAGTCAGCAGCAGGGGTATCTTCACGCGGCGGGATGGTCCTTCTTTCTCAGCTGGCAAGGGCGGCACCTGGACGATTGCTGCCAGCTGCGATTGCACGTCCGGCGCATCGTTTCCGCCCTCGAGCTGTAACGCAGCTGTCGCGAGGGCGTCAAGACCCATTGCCGGCTCATCATCTGCGTCGTCGCTGGTCTCCTCTGGGTCGCTCAGTACAGGTACGGTGAGTTGAGCCGCCTGTTGTAGTTGCTGCTGGGGCAGGCGGTCAATGACCTTGTCTGGGTTGTACGGATGCAAGCCGCAGTGACGGAAGGCTGCTTGCTGTGCAGCGACGGTGAAGGTGGCCTGTGATGCGGCTCCCATAAATCGGAAGACAGCCACCTCCGATATCGTAGTGCGTCCCGTCGCGGTGTAGTTCACGCGCTGCTGGCTGACCTTCGCCTTAAATCCGCCGAAAATCTGGTCACAGGGTTGCAGCTCGTGCGTGCACTTGCCAGGAAAGGCCAGTATCTCGATACCCAGCCGCTTAGCCTTGGCGATGACGTCCGGGTGCTTGCGTGAGCTGTGACCATCGACTACCAGTCCGACGGGATTCTCTGGGCTGACACCGCCAGGTACGTTCTTCGCGAAGTGGTCTAGCCAGTCAGCGAAGACCTCGTGGTTGATCATGGCGGTCTTGGTGCAGACGAAGACCGCACCTGGCATGGTCTCGTCGCAGTGCATGAGGGGGTTCTGAGCTCGGCTAGTGCCCTTCACGATGAAGGCATGCGGAATGAGGGCATCTGGCGAAAAACACGTCACCATGGATGTTAGCTGCCGCATAGCACCCCTGTTGCTGCCGCCAACACGGTGCACCGAGCCTGTGAAGCATGACAGCACGACACCCTTGACCCACTTCCCCAGCATCATGATGGGACTCTCGTCCATGTTGAAGATGCGCACCCTGCCACCGACGTTACTGAACCGCTGGTAGAACTCCTTGTAGGCAACGAAGAAGGCCCGGACAACCTCTGGCGTGCAGGCAGCAATGCGGTCCGCCTCATCCACCTGACAGCTGCGGAGGCGGAGATTGTGGCGGTCCTTGAAGCCGTACCACCAGTCCTCGCTTGCGATGCCGTCAGGCCATCTGGGTTGACGCTCGGCTGCCTTAGCTTCCACGGCCTCCAATTCCGCTGCAACGCGTCGTACGTTGTTGATACTTGGTGTGAGACGGCGAAGTCCCATGTCCTTGATGTACGTCAGAAGCATCTGTGATGTGGGTTTGGTGTTATGTACACAGCTGCAAGACATTTTGGCTCTTTTGAGGGGTTTACCTGCTCACTGACAGATGATAAGGCTGTTGGCGGTCCGGGTCGTGCACCGATCTGCTGCTTGTTGCTGGCGTAGCGGGCGAATGTGGCAGGATGGATGCCACAGTGCATTGCGGCTTTCCTGCCGCTGCATTTTGTTCGTCTCATGAACTCCAAACCCTCCGCAAGCTCTTCGTCCGTCCATGTCTTCAGCTGTTTTACTGGCTTTTCTGCAGCTGGCTTCGCGGCTTTGCGCTTCTTTGTGGGCATCGCCTCTGGAACTACAGTCCATAACGATCTAGCAGGTCTCTAAGGATTTGGCAGCGTGCGGCAGTAACAAGTAAAAGGCTTCCAGCTTGCCGGCCCGGAAAGTGTCAGGCTACACGCAAAACGCGATGAAACACGACCCAGAGGCCATGCAAGGCTTCTAATATATATAAGGGATCACAGGAAGAGTCTGTGCTGGGTGTCGAGGCCGCAGTTTACATGGTAGCCAGTTCAAATCAGGTGTCCCGCAGGGTCGGCAAAGCAGACATTGCTCCGGAACCACGCGACCCTTTCCTTCGAAACAAATTTGATAAAAAGCATATATTCAACCATTACTAGTTATATATAAAAGGGCTTAGCATTCTGTGCACCCACGGCGCCATAATTTGGAGTGTCTCACAATACCCCCTGTCTCACAATACCCGGGGCCACCTGTAAGGCATTCGTGACATCGTACATGAAGTGTCTTGACCGCTTGGATGCACAGGGCTGCTGTCACTACGTACTAGTGTTTACCTCACCGACCTCATGGACACTATCCGCAAAAGACAAGGATGAGTACGCGACCATGTACACGCCGTGTACATGGTCGCGTCCCAAAGTACGTGCCTAACAGCATTACCACCCGACATCGCTTCCCACCATCTGGAGCTGCTGATGCTGCTGCTTTAGCATGATAACGGGTGCCTTTGCAAACCCAACGATGTCATTCTCATGCTGCCCCAATCCATATACGCCCCCTCTGATTCTTCCCACGACCCCATCCTGTTTCATCCCCTCCCGCCCATGCTACTGCATTGTCTGCTGCTGCTGCCCCCGCAAGTCCGCTAGGGCTTGGAACAACCTGCACGGGTGGGTTGCAGTGTGCGAGAATCAGCGCCAGTTGACGGGGGGACACGCAGGAGGGACGAGGTGGGGGCAGAGACACGACCGCTCCCCTTGTTGACTACCCCCAGTCGACCGCCCAACCCCCACTCAACCGCCCCCCCCAGCCCCCCCACCTGGCCACATCACGCGGCACCCGCGCGGGTCGGTACTGGGAGTCCAGGAACACCACCACCGCCTCCGCCTCCGCCACCACCACCTCATCCTGGCGCTCCGGCTGCTGGCTCCCTGCCGACCCCACCTGCGCTGCACCCGCGTCCTGGTGGAATGGGCATACGTGTGGTTCATTGTCAGAAGGGTGGGATATAAGGCGCGCGTATAGGCGGCCTGCGAGCCGGTGAGGGCGCTCATGCTCCTCCTCACACGCAGGCATGGCGACGAGCACCTGCGCTGCACCCGGCTGGGCTGTGTGGCTGCAGGGCGGGGTATGCGGCGTGAGAGGAAGGGGGGCGGGGGAAAGCGGCAAGGCACGGAGAAGCACGTGAGGAGGCAAGTGTGGCAATGAGGAGGGGCGGCGCCGGCACATACCTCACCCCACCTCCCCCACGCGCAGTTAGTCAGTTTCCCTACTCTTACCCTCCTCACGCCCGTAAGCACACGTGCACCCACCTGCTGCTGCCTTCGCGGCATGAGGAGGATGCGCTGGTGCAGCAGCAGGCGGGCAGCCGTCACGCGGGTCGTGGAGAGGGTGACGCGGAAGGTGTCTCGGGACCTGAGGCGGGAAGGGGGTAAGCGAGAGAAGGGGGGAAGAGGGATCAGAGAGGGCCAAGCGAAATGAAGCCTCAAGGTAGGGCAAAGCAATGGGTTTAAGCGCCCGAGCAAGAAGGGGACCGTCCTCCATGCGGGGCACACACCGACCGACGGGTTGATGCTGGCAAGGGTTTAGGGAAATGGACTGGGCGACGGTTCACAGCGGCGCGGCGCCCACCTGAGGGGCGCCCTAAACGTGATATTGAGCTGCGACAGGGCCAGCGGAGCGCCCCGCCGCCCGTACTCGTCCACGTCATGACCCAGCGCCGCAAACGCCTCGTGACGAGCTGCTCGAGGAGGAGGGGAAAGGAGAATAATTGTAAAGCGAAGCAGTTGGAATTCCAATCCAGTGGGTTGGGAGAGGAGAGAGGTGTGAATGTGATAGAAGGGTTAGGACAGGGGGTAACGCAGATATTCAGGAGACGTTGAATGAGTGGTTAACGCCCCCTTACAATAGGCGCATTGGCATATGCACACGACAACATACTCACAAAGGCGTGTATGCCGTACCGTGTTGGAAGTAGCTGCTGTAGACGGCGTTGTTAACCACAGAGAATTGATCCAACTCGTAATCTCGGACCTGGTGCGTACGACCATAGGTATACGGCAGTGTACGGCACATACCGGTATAGGTACATAGGGAGATCAGCTTCCTTAGGACCTACTCAGTGCTCGGTTGCTGGTCTTGAATACATGCTTTCGACAGCTGATGACGCAGCACGCAACCGTTTTCAACCACCCCCTAAATACGTTTGCAGCCAGTTGCAAATAATCCCCAAAGCATTACCCCAAGCCCTCATCTCCGTCCCCAACGCCTACCTGCATCGTAATGCTGAACTCGCCGCCAGGAAACTGCCGTGCAACGTCTGCTGGCAGCAACTGTACGTCATCCTGTACAACAGCTGGCGGGTGTGTGGGACTACTTCCACCGCCTTGCACGGCATTCGTTGGAGGCAGCGCTGCTAATACTTCAACAGGGGCGCTACAGCTGCTGGAGCCAGGTGGGGCTCCTCCTCCTGCCGTGGTCGCAGCAGCAACATTGCCGGCAGCGGCTGACGGCACACATTGCACCACTGATACTGCCCTGAGGTTCTGGCGGGTGCATGCGTTGTGGCAACACCGAATGGCGGGTGCGGTGGTGGGTCCGAATGCGGGTGTTCCTGCCCCCGGGAGCGTCCGCAGCAGTGGGGCAGCTGAGGTGGCCGCTGTCGAGGCTCCAGGCGGATTGGTGGCTGTGTTGGGAGGGGTGGAGGCGGGAGGGGCGGAATGAGCTTGATGAGGCACGAGGATAAAGGGTGTGATAACAAAGCTGGCTGACGAGCTGTCCAGTTTATCAAAACAAGGATTGTTGTTAGGAGGTGGGCCAGCACAATAGCAGCCGGTTGTAGCAGATAGCCTGGGGTGTAGGATACATGCAGTACATATACCCGGTATATAGCATAGGGAATGCAACGGCGGTGGCTGGTCAGGGCACCATTGGGCTGTTAACTGTTGTCAGCGTGTTAGCATACAAGGAACCCCCGAAACACTAGCTGTCCCGCTCGCAGTTAGGCACACCTGGACGTTGGCGTTGGGCGATGCAAGTACCTACTCGGCTTGCACGGAAGTAGCTTTCTGATAACAAAGAGTGGATTCTATGCGATTGCATTCTTGTATTTCTATGCGTAGACTAAGCGACGTGGTAAGCTTGCAGGATGCGCTGGGAAGAGCCAAAGTGCCAATCACACTAAAAGCTAAGACAAAGAACGCAGTGAACTACATGCAACTGCATTGACAGTGCTGCACGATGTTCAGTGGGGATAGGCTCCTGATTTCAGTAAAAGGAAATTTTCGGAGCGCCAAATTACCTGCCTAGGCCAAGGCACTAGATCAAGCCTCCCTTCGGTCGGGTGAGAAGGCGAAATCTGCTGGCACGCTTAGCATATTGAAGTGGTTGGGAACCAGGGCAGGGAGTCGAAGAGAAGGTCATGGTGCTAAGCCCGTCTATGTGCATGAAAGGAAGCCGAATCTTACAAAAGAAATGCGCATACGCCTATGCTTCCAAGCGCGGGCCGGGCCAGGGTGGGACGTTGCATGAATGCAAAGCGCCCCGGCTGGGCTAGTTACGTTAAGCTTTAGCTGGATGACACACAGTCCTGCCTGGGCAGCTGGGCTAGATACATTGCACCCCTCCCCGTGATGTTCCTGTGTTGCCTGAGCTCAATTGAGCAGGGCAGGAATACCTACATGCATATGCAAGCCCTTTGGGAAGGGCGCGGACGCTGCGTGGACGGGGGCTATGGCAGGACAGGGCTGGGCATGGTGCGTGTATGAGTGACGGTGATTCGCCCGGTGATGCCTGCGCGCCCGGGTGCTTGGAAGTTGGGCAGGACACGGATGCCTGTATGGATGGGCAATAACACCTGCACGTAGTGGCGCTGTGATGTGGACAGGGGGATGTCTGCACCTTAAGGCACGCATGGGCGCAAGTAGTCTTGGGTGATGCCTGCACGCGTGAGCACTGGCCCTTTCGCAATATAAGCACGGGCGGGGATGAACGCGGCAGGGATGCCTGCATGCCCGCGCTAGGGCCCGTGAGCTGGGCGGGTGTGTGTGCATAAGGGCGGTCATACCGGGAGAGGGTGAGGATGCATATCCGCAGCTGGGCGAGATGAATTGTGCCCTGCTCCAGCACATACCGGTACCGTCCCGGCTGGGCGAGATACACTGCACCCCTTCCCGGCGCCGGCAGGGTAGGTGCACTGATAGCCTGTTTGCATGGGGGTATGTATGGGCGCCAGCTGTCAGCCAAAGCGGGAAAGGCTGCATGCACGGGTGGACGTACTTCAGCCCTTACCTCAGCAGGGTGAAGATGCATGGACGCCCTGCATCCCGCAGTTGGCCAGTGTGGGGACACCGTCCCCGCTGGCGTCTAGGAAGGGTGCGCATGCTGCGTGTACAGGGGCTAGTGAGCAGGGCGGTAATGCGTGCGCCCAAGGGCGCTGATACCTTGGGTTGGGGCCGCATGAACACCAGCACTTGGCAGGGCAGGGATGCATGCTTGCATGGGTGCCAGAACAACGCTGGCAGGACGGGGCACAACGCATACTTGTTTGCCTGCGTGCATGGGGGTGCAGGGATGTCTACATACCGGTACATGGGCCCAGCTGTCAGGCAAAGCGGGGAAGGCTGCACGCACGGGTGTACATACTTTAGCCCATACTTCAGCAGGATGGAGATGCATGCAAGCCAGTGGTCGGGAAGAGCAGGGAGCCAGCACGCGTGGGCGCTTTGGTATGGGCAGGATACCTGTGCGTTTGAGAGCCGTAGTGGGAGAGCGTGAGGGGTCCGTCTTGCTAGAGCACCTGTTGACATTCATGGGATGCCTTCGGCATGCCACATCTGTGCTGCTTGCGCGCTGCGTTCACTCGATGCTGTCGTTTTGCATGTTCTTGCTGCACTCAACCTGTGTTTGCGGCAATCGTCGTATTGGCAAACCTTGAACTGTGCGAGCATGCCGGCACGCACGGGTGCTTTGTACCGGTAGGTGCCTACACGAATGTATGGGTTTCGGCCGTTAAGGGTTGGGTAGCCTGCACGAACAGCAGGGCACGGCGGGGATGCCTGCCTGCACACGTGCTTGGTACTTGGGCAAAGTGGAGATTGCCCTGCACGCATGAGCGCTGTGATTTCGGGAGGAGGGACGCTTGCACGCTTGGGCGCTGTGCTTGGGCAAGGCGTAGATGCCACACATGGACACCCGTCTTTATAAAGTATAGAGGTTCTTCCACGAATGAAAGCTAGCCCCTTGGCAGCTTGAGCACGCACGAGGATGCATGCGCACAGCATTTGGGCAGGGGGGATGTCAGCATGCACCTTCTGGCACGCATGGGCTCGAGTCTTCGGAAACCACTGTGATGCCTGCATGCATGAGTGCTTTCACAGTTTGGGCACAGGCGGGGATGCACTCAGCAGGGATGCCTGGATGCAGGGTGAATGCGTTGCATGCACGGGGGCCAGTGAACAGGGTGGTGTTGTGTGCCCAAACAGGCGCTGCCGTAGCACGCACCATGCATCCCGAGATGCACTGCAACCCTTCCCGACACCGGCAGGGTAGGTGCACTGATTGCCTGCGTGCATGGGGGTATGTATGGGCGCCAGCTGTCAGGCTAAGCGGGGAACGCTGCATGCATGGGCGTACGTACTCCAGCAGGGTGGAGATGCATGCACGCCAGTGGTTGGGTAGAGAGGGGGAGGCAGCACGCATGGGCGCTTTGGTGTGGGCAGAATGCTTGCGCGTTTGGAAGCTGTACTGGGAGAGAGAGTCAGGGCCCCCAGGCCACCTGCTGGCCTGCCCGTTCATGGAGCTGCCTGTGGCATGTGGCACCTGTGCTCCTTGCTCGCGTATGTCACCTCAAGCCACCACATGCGGTTGGCTTGCAAAGCAATGATGGCGGGATGCAGCAGGTCAAAGGGGGGGCGATGATGCCAGCCTGCACTTGGCAGCTCAAGCACGCATGGGGCCGCACGCGCACAGCATGGATGCCTGTATGCCTGTTATTATGGGCTTTGGGCAGAGCGGGAATGCTGTGTGTATGGGTTGGGCAGGCTGGCGCATGCCCACATGGGCGTCAGTACTTGGCAGGCCAGGGAAGACATGGATGTTTGCTGGGCAGGGTGGAGACGCTGGGATCGAGCGTGACACTTACTTGTACTGCCGCTCGCGGGTTTTGTCGGGGCACGTGCTGACCTTCATGTTCGTGAAGCTGCTTGGCGCATGTGCAGCCCGCACGTGCACACTTTGGCTCACCGTTCTGCTTCTCTATCATTCTAGTAACGCGTTAGCAAGCATTGCAGGCGGCGAATATGAGTTTGGCGTGGAAATGCAGAACGCATGCACTACTCAAGTGACAGGCCATCGCCGTCCTCTTCAAGGAAACATATTTAAAATGTTCTAGCTTAATGCATCTAAGCGCTTCACGCGCTCACAGAACGTCTCTGAGAGCGCAACTAGAATTCGTCGCCCCTTTGCGCTTTCGGCGGACGCTTTTCGCCTACACCGCTTTTGTCCATAACCAGTAACTATAAGCTAGTACAATGCAGCCTTAGCTTTGACAATTTCACGTCCGAAGCTCAGCCCAGAAGTCTGAACGTCGCCCGACGCGAAGGAGCCTTTATTTACATAGCTTTTTTCATACGTTTTTACAGCTAACGTCAGAGCGTACATCACGGTTGTTCCTGCGTCCTTCGCTGCAACCCTTCTATAGCGGTTCTGGAGCCCCAGGTTTTCTTGTCGTACACCAGTCCCCTGCGGGCGAAACGTTAAAGGCGTGCCTTCGAAATCTGCAGATTTCGCACCCAAAACGAGAGAAAGAACGTGCCGCAAAAGTTATCGTTTTACTGCTGATCCATTCACCAATGAGCGGCGCCTTGGCCCTGGTGCAGAGCTGTACCGTCCTACACCCTATAGCAGTTTCCGCTTGCCCAATGTAGTTGTTAAATGGTCAGGCATAGACCGAGGTGGTAATGCTTGAAAGCTGGGCGGCAAGTTTGTAGGCTACAAGAATCGCGCAAGGGGACCGAACCATACAAAGAGGCTTGGGGGGGTCCTCCCCAAACTTTTCTCAATCCCTACGCCTTATCAGTTATATAACTTATCTCTGAAGCGAGCCCGGCCGATGCTCTTGCCCCCCAAGCCTCTTTGTATGGACCGGTCCCCATCGCGCAACCTGAAGGCCGCTGTGCTTGCAGTTGGAACCATCTAGGAGTGTCCTGGCCAGAGATGCTAAAGAAGCCTAGCATAATGTGTTTATTCCACAGATTTGGTGTGAGGGCAGCCTCGGCAGATGGACTTGCGTGCATCGATGCTAGTCTGAGGCTGGGTTAACATAAGTTACTGCGCGAGGAAGTGTAGACACGAGCCAACGTAGCTACAGCAATGAATTATCTGCACAAGGCACTCGCGGAAACTTCAACCTTCAGTGCTTGACAAATATGTCTGTCAGTTGCCGGTTGTTACCGTACAAAACTTCGTATCGCCCGCAGCATGGTAATTATAAGGGCTTTGCTACCGGCTAGGCGTGTCTTTAGTGTTTAGCTATTATGCTTTGCGTTTATCAAGTGCTGCACTATAATGCCCAGCGGCGAACCCGGCGCTCATGTTGGGTTTTAACGATACCGTGTCAAAGCGCTAATGAAGCCTGAACTATCCAACCAGCTCTTTTCGTTAGCTGCTACTTACTGAACAGCTTGAGTGCGGCACAGTTGGCCGCACAGTTGCCCACGACGCCATAGTAGATGATGCACCCTTGGAAGGCTAAGCAGCCGCTTCAAATTTGTCTTCATCGTAGGCTTAAACGTAGTGGTAGTCAGTCAACCCTGTCACCTTCGTGGCTTGGCTGAAGTTGTCTTGAAGGCTTAAACCGGTCGGCCAAAGCCTGGGGCAAGCTGCGTGCTTTAGCGGCTTCGCCCTGCAAATCTGACAGATGGTATGTTACAGGCTGCAAATCTCGCTAGGCATTCATAATGCTGCTATGCCCCTATATGCGTAGGTTTAACCCTCTGCTCATCATACCGCTCCTGCAGGGCCCTTCAGGAAGCGGCGGGTTGGTTGGCTGGCTGAAGAATGTGTTCAAAAAGGACAAGCAGCAGGCGTCGGAGGCGATATCAACAGCGGAACCACCAAGCCCAAGCTTGCGAAGCTGGAGTCGCAAGAAGCGTATCGCCGCCGAGCAAGTGCTGCAGGTAAGCAACAACCTTAAAACATGACGACAGCTATACGCAGGAAGACCCCCAGTCATTTTGTATATATAATCATGCTAAAGGTGGACGCTACTTC